ACTTTCCTTGGTGAGCCTTTCCAGCAGACGAGCTTCTCCTTTTTTAGTCGCACTCCCGATGGTCTAGAAACGCGTTTTCCGCGACAGAAGTTTTGCCTTGAGCAAGTTAGAGACTTCTTGCTGATTTGATGAGCGAGTATTTTGCACGTGTTCGTGTTGACAATCCCAAGGCGCAACTTGCCAGCCAACTTGTAGCGCAACTTCAATCGTCAATGCGCAAGAACCTTGAGCAGGTGGATTGGCTGGACGGACCCACTCGTCAGGCAGCTCTTGAGAAGTTAGGCAACATGACCACACTTGTCGGGTATTCGCATTCTACCGAGCAATATCCGATTGTATTACATGGTGACGCATCGCTTGCAGTTAATATGCGGATCATCTTCACGTACAAGTTTAATTACTCTATGGCACGAATTGGTACTACAGTGAATCGCACCAGCTCGGTGTAGGCGTATTCTGCCGATGCGCATTATTCTGCAAAACGAAACGAGATTATCCTCCCTGCTGCCATATTTTGCTGCTGAAAACGACCTTGTACTAGACTTTGGCGCCCTCGGTAGCATTATTGGTCACGAAATAACGCATGGTTTTGATAACAGCAGAAAAAAACTATGCTCCTGACGGCAAGTTGCAGAATTGGTGGAGCCCTGACGCAGCAAAAGCATCCTCACAGCGGGCTGACTGTTTCGTGAAACAATACGATAGTTATGCAGTGACAAGTGCTACAGACAAGAACAAGGTACTGGATCATGTCAACGGTGAGCTGACTTTGAATGCGAATATCGCGGACAACGGTGGCATCAAGTTGTCCTTTGACGCTTATCAAATATTCATGGCCGATCAGGCCAAGGATTTGGGGAAGGGAAGTAAAGCTAGAGCGACAGGGTTTACTATACCAACGAGTCAAGCAGCATACTGAGCCTGCTCTCTTTTTTCGTGTCTTCCTCTATCTCGTCATTGTCGTCCTCAATTAGAGCTTCAGTGACCCTTTTGCACGCTACCACACGTCATCTGGAGCGGTGCGATCGACAGCAAAACAGACCGTTGCGTATCATGCTAAAATGCGTCACTCTAAACTTGTTGCATAAACAGCATCACAATGCAAAGATAAATTAGCGCTGCAGTCATCGTGTCAAACGCTTTGAAGTAGAACGGAGCCAGATTGCCAGGGTCACACCACCACGTGATGCAGCAATGTTCTACACAGCGACTCACGATGCTTTAGATACAGTAGAACTTCGCCGATGTGCTTTAATAGAAATAAGTTAAAGTAGCTGGAACACCACCATATTCTCGCCACTCCCTCTATACGCCGCCAATGCATTGCCGTGTCTCGTGATCGTCTGCGAGTATCACATCCGATCCATATCTCACACAGAGCACGACGAACACGGATGACCTTTCGAAGCTACCACCAGGAAGAATGAGTGATAGTTCTTGAGTGTCGCGCTTATTTGCATGCCACCCTCAAGTCTTAACTCAAGTGTCCGGTTGAGGACAACACATTTCAATGTTGCTGCTGCAGAAGCCCATTGAAGAAGGAGTAACTGCACTTTTCCATACCTCACTGAGAGCGAGTCGACAAAATGCTTTGAAGGAGCTCAAATACTACAGAACCTCTTCATCAGTTTTTGCGCGGCCGAATAGACGATCGTGTGTTTTTGCGCATTGTATCACCTACGCGATACTTTGTCGCTGTATCAAGCCACCCACGAGCAACACAAACTGCGCCAGATCGTTATGCTTCTTACATAAAAAACTGTCGTTTCTGTTGTTCGTGTTTGGCAATTTCTACTGTTCCGGTAGAGAATGAACGTATATTGAGCGAGTGTCATGTACTTCATGGAAAGCGCTTGCAAGAGCTGATAACACTTCATGACTTTGACTTTGACGTCGCTCATGATATTTTGGTGGCATGATGACAAGAAGATTGGAAAAAGTCATTGAATGGAAAAGCAGCGCCAGATTGGCGTACATCCGTGCACATAGATCAAGTCTGGAGTTGAGATGTAGAACTGCGTCTTAGGACGACGAAATCAATATACGTATTTCGTATCATGTACAACCGAAAAACGTTTCTGCTCATGAAGTTGTCTTCAAAACCAACCCAAACCTTTGTTGAAGATAGAAAGCCCTGCTTGTAGGCTGAGAGTGCTCATGCAAATCGTACGCTACGAGTTTGGTTGCGTTTGATTAATGGGTTATTCAATATTGTACGCAGTATCTTCTCGCTGTCTAAATCTTTCTTCTATAGCGAGACCAGATTTGAAACTCCTCTTTCTTTGTCCAGCTTACAGGGACCCAAACATACAAGTACTACATTGATAGCACAAGCTTATTAGCTAGTACTTTTTTTCTATGATCTCGTAGCGTCGGCCACTTTCAAACGATGTCACATTACAAACAAACTTGAAGTCTAGAAATTCTTTCTGTTGGACGGGTTGAATCTCAGATGAAGAATAATGATTTTGGTATAAATTCGTGACAACGGCACTATAATGACGACTACGGCTCTTAGTGGTGATGTCTGTCGTTGCCGCTTACGAACTAACTACACTACCCCCTTGATCAAAAGGGATCATGAGCAATGCTTCCAAACACAAAACTATTCAAATGCTCAAGATGTATTGTATTCTTTGGAAGATAGATTGATAAGTACTTTGAAGCATACTATTTTGCTAGCTATCTTGCTGCCTTCATACGACACTTCTGCCTAGGCGGCCAAAGCAACCAGTTCCGCTGATTTTACACGGATTGTATTAAGCGTAACGGGTTTGGCCGGCTTCACATAGTTGCTTGGGATTTTCTCATCGACAAGGAACGACCAGGCGGCTTCGACTGAGATGGCATCACCAACACCGAGGCTCAGTAAGAGAAGAGCTGCCTGTGTAAACGATTTCCCCTTTTCCGAGTCACCAAACTGACATCTTGGGTTCGACGTCATACAGAACGTGGCACGATCTCTGCGAACTGCTGCAATGGCAGCAGTGCTGATCATGCCATTCGTATCAGCTCGTTTTATCAAGTCGTTGGCAAGTGTCAAGTTTACTACCATCGGATCGTGACCAAAGTAAGCGTCGTCACGCACCAGCGATGCATCGTGCTCAAGACCAGGTTTGCTGAGTTCATTAAGAGCAAACACGCCGTCCGGCGCTTGCCGAACTTGGTTTGTGGCCACTTCATCAGCCATGTTGAACATTTGCACGACTGCGTTCTTCAAACTATCCTTTGTAATATCTTGTCCATTTCTTGGTAGATATCCGCCGTTAGCCAGGCTATTCAGTGCTGGACAGGGCGAGCGACGAAAGTTGGCATTAGTGTTTGGCAAACCCGATGCTTCAGAGTTACAAGGCTTGTAATATTCGCCGAGCTTTAGCAGATTAATATCGAGCGAAGTTACATCGCTAATAGCAATGAAAGCGAATGTAGCGACGCAGGCAGCGAGAAGCATTGAGACTCCGTGGAAACAATTGGTGTTGAGAATGAAGCAAATTGGAAGATGACTACGGTTAGCAGCAAAACCTCTAGCAGACTTCCATCATGTCACATCAATACATAGCCCTTGATGTGAAAAACTACTGGACCAGAGTGTTTCAGAGCAAGAGATGTTTATCATGTAAGTTGGAATAACAACCTATGTAGGAATTTGTATCGCTTTAGCTTTGACACTTATCTTTATAATTGTCTGGTCTAGCAAGCAACCCATGATATGCAACCTATACATTAATCATAATATAAGATGTTTCCGTTTTGCACGCGTTCTTTCAACATCTAGTTCTGTGCTTTTTTTAAAAAAAACCCTAAAATTAAAAATCTTATATTACACCCCTTACATAATTCTTATATTACATTTTTCCTTTTTTACCTTTTTTTTACTTTTTTTTTTTTTTTTTTTTGTACATGAATCACGATTTTTGAACATATGACGTTAATAAGGTTGGCTTGCCCTACATGACAATACAAATGATACTTGTTTGTGAGTGCAACCCAGACCATAACTATAACCCTGTGCAATTTCTCCTTCAACTGGACCACCAAAAAGGCGTCAAATGTTTAAAAAAGTTCTACGGCTAATCCAACGCGTGTGGAAGTTGGTGTGTCAACTATGTCACGCCAAGGTTCGCAATAGACAACAGTTTGAGTGTGTGTTAAATCAATCAAGTACAAATGCCGAACGCTGTTACGAGTTCAGTCTAATCTCGGTGAAGATTTCTATACAGTACTGTTTCACTTTCGATTCAGCCCGACGCCAGAACCGGTACGTAGTACTGTTATTCGCTTCATGAGTATAAAATTTGTCGGCGTGGGTTGAAAGTAGACTTGATAGTTGATTACTAGGTAATAATCATATTAACCAACGTCTGGCAAGGGTTGTATTTGTAGCAGTTTCTATCGTTTATACCTTCTAAAAACGGTGTAGTTCAATAAAAGTTGCCGCAGAATAAAAAAGACGTTCAAACATGGTTTTTAGACATGTCCATGCGCAAAAGCATGTTGGCACAAGCTCATATGCCACTGGATTGGAAGAGAACGACAAGAGCTAAATCATCTTTAGGGCTCCTAGTTAACAGTGCTAGCCGACGAGCACGAGGGCTATCTATCAACATTGGCCATGAACAGCTCAACTGTGCTTACCCGGACGAGGCGGGCGCATAGGACGATGTGTAGCGACGCCTAGGGATTACACCCTGAGCAGCATATGCATTGCTCACTTTATATACAAAGAAACCGGGCAACGTTTTGCAGGCAATCCTGACAATCAGATGCAGCGTTCGGAAGTTCTGGAAAACCGGCATGCGACAACTCGGTGCAATTGGTAAGCGCGATGTTATTTTTATAGAAGATCCATTTGGTAAGCCGACGCACAGAAACGTCCATCAACGGTACACGTCTGCTACTGAGCGCACGGCAACCTCGAGCGCCGTCACCGCAGGTGACTAGTCCAAAACAATTACCGGACTCAATTGAGGCGAAACCGGCGTTGTTAACCAGGTTTAGGATCTACCAGACATCTTGCAACCCTACGTCGAATAGAATTGTCTGCATCTCTCAGTTCTGTAAAAGTGGCAGGAAAAAGCCACTTGGTGGTTGCCTTAAATTACAGCTGTAACCTTGTCTAACAACAGTACAGTATCTCGGCAGTCTTATTTCGAACTTGCCGTGACATTGTACTTCATATTGCTACTTCTCCTTGTGATTCTGCAAAGCATCGACACTATCTGAGCCGAATTTTACTTTCTTCCATCATCGTCACGTGAGACACTAGAAACAACACATTTTGTTGTGTCTTGCACGGTGCTACTTAATGTTACTTCTCCCGCTAACAAGTCACTCCCCTTATCACTATATAGGAAGGGGGGACTTACTGGAATATCTGCACTTTGCATCCACCCTTAAGGCAATTTCTAATGGACTTTACTTCACCCAATGAGTCTGATGTAGACATGATGCATGATGACTCAATGTTGAATGCCAATTTATCGGCACAATATGTTCATCATCAGCAACAGCATCAAGTCCAGCGTTCATTACCTCCACATCCAGGCATTCCAGGCATGAACACGGATCCACAGGCTGTTTTTCCTGGGGTTTATGTGCCTGGTTTGAACCCGATGGAACAGCCACAACAAGGTGATGCTATGGAGGAATATGCACGTCTTATGGGCATTAAAGTGGAGAATGACGATCCAAATGTTAATACCAATGCTTTTGGTGTACCTAATGGCCCAAATAGTGATATGGCAAAGATTCAAGCCAATGCTGCCTACTTTGAAAATCTCATTAATCGTGAGCGCAATGATACCATGGATGATGGTAACAATATTACGTCCATGACACTACCAGCAGGTATTGGCGGTGGAATGAATGGTCAATTTATGGCTGCTCCCATGGCACCTACGCCACCCATGTACAATCCAAATTCAGAATTGGCGTTTCAGGACGGTGGATCGCGACTGTACGATCCGTCGTCTGGCTTTCCGAGACAAAGCCCACCAATGCCCTTTCACAAGGGACCCCAAGTTCGACCGGGCATGTTGCCACCGGATATGGTCGGATCTCAGACACTTCCACCTGAAATCATCTCGGCTATGATTAAAAATAATCCATCTCATAATTTTGACAATTTGAGTGAAGATGAGAAACAGGCACTGATTAAGGAGGAAAAGTCGAGAGAGCGCAATCGGGACCATTCACGCAAGTCGCGTCTTCGCAAGAAAGAGTTTGTCGAGTCACTCAAGCACGAAGTTGTACAGCTACAGGTCTATCAGCAGATTTGTGAACAATGCATGGACTGCATTGCTCTTGTGGTAGCTGAGGCGTCAGCGGTCATTCTTTTCTCAAGTGCTGCGTACACGCGTGTACTTGGCTATCAAAACCACCAGATTGTGCCCGGTCAGACGAGTTTTTTGGATATGGTGCACCCGGTAAGGAGCTACTAAACGTCATTTTCCTGTATTGTACTGTTTCGTCGTTGTTGCTATTCTGATGTCGTGTGTGCTTATGTTATCTTTGTGTGGTAAAAGGACAATGTGCAAGAAGTTCGCGCGGTGTTCACAAAGCTCAACACTTTGGGCGAGACTCACAGATGTACGTCACTTTTGTTGCAAAACGGTTAATGTCTGTTCAGTGGCACAGACTAATCAAAAACGCATTTTGTATGGTTGCAAACAGTTAAATTTCGAATAAAGTCAATGGACGGCGAGTACTTTAACGCGGAGACAACAGCACGTATGGCGGAAAAGGGCGTGGTGTGTTCGACTCGCGTGGATCGTGATGTCTAGAAAGCTAGCTAAATGCAGTAGTCCTCGAGCATTAAAACCGATGGCGGTAAACCAAACGCGATAGGACAACCATGTTCAATGACGAGCGAAATCAGGTGATAGTAGATGGGCACTGCAATTCCGTGAGTGTGCGGAGCAGGCAACCTATATTTTTAATTTTGTTGGTTGGGAAAAAACGACAGATGTGGAGAGCAATATGTCGAGATGCCGAGTGTATGGGAAAAAAGAACTAGCAGAAGCAACACAAAACAGCTCGGCAGCATGAGTGCTGTGAATTTTAAATATATACGACCGCGTTTTGATGGCTGACATGAAAATGAGTGAGATTCCAGGCGTTGGATTTCTAAGTCTTACTGTAACTTGGCGTTGGATGTCTCTATCACTGGGTAAATTGACAGTCTTGCGTTGGATTGGCAACTAACTATGAAAACAAATACCGGCTCAATCTTCTCTTGTTTTGCTTTGTATGGATTGTAGAGCATTTTTTTAGCTCCAAGGTTTTAATAAAGAAAGATGTGATGGATGATGATGACGCATCCTCCTCTTTTGTCACCAAATCACAACTCAGATAAAAGAAACGGCTTTTCTCGTAAAGAGACGTTAGGTGGTAGAGCAAAAAGTGCTTTTCAAGTTGATTCATCATCGTCTGTTTAGCTAGATCGAAATAGATATATTCTCATGATTGGGTACATTGTAAACATATCAGTTTTGTTGAACGCAACAAGCAAAAATTCCTTCAAGCTACACTTTCTACGACCAAAAGTCAATCATTCCAAAATAAGTGTCACGCATTCAGTCAGTCAGTCATTTTGCAATTTGTTAGCAAATAAAGAGTATGGAGATTCATGCGATTGACAATATATCGAAAATATTTGGATTACCTCATCCTTTTCTAACTGAACCTAATCAAGCTTTTACACCATTAGAGACTTGGCAACAACTTACAGCGTTATTGGCGACACAATTTGTCAAGATTACGCCATTGGGTTATTATCGTACTCTTGATAGCATTGACATGTACGTTCCATGATCGATTTCTTCATTTGTCTTTGTCTGTCTATCTATCTCTATTATCTAATCGAAACAATCGACTTGTGATCTAATCAGATATGACTTGATTACTCTCTTGTTTTGTATTTCATAGTTATGTCTTTGAATGCTCTATCTGTTGTGATACTAGTAGCTATAGACGCTATTGTTGGAAACTATATCGACGTTATCGACATTTTCAAAAGTATATTGAACACTCGTCCGAGTTCGTACCCAATCGATCCGTGCGTGTACCACGTCTCGCCCAGACTTATTTTAAGATATTTCATGCACAACACTGCAAAGATCGGCTTGTGGAGCTTTATCAATGGCTGAAAAAAGTGGTAGAAATCACGCAAACATATTGTCAGCAATTGCATCAAAAACACGAGATGCAGGAAAAGGTCAAGCTACGTGCTCTACAACAGCAAAGATTGGCACAAGTTGGCAAAAAGACTGCGAAACAAGAGCATACTGGAAAAAGTCATTGCAATACTGCAGATGGAGCCATGTCAAGCATGAGCACAAGCAGGTTACGAACACCGTCAAAAATGAACTTGACGACTAGTACGAGACGATGGAGTAGTGTTAGCATGCAGACTATTGAACAACGAGGAGATCCAGTGTTGTGTGTGCTGAAAGCGGACAAGGAAGAGGTTCTTCCGATGGTAATGCTAAGTTGTTTCTTGTTTGCGGGGGCAAACTGTCCATTCCCGCACGTGTTTCGGGGTATGCCAAGTTTTGCTTTGGCTATGGAAGAATTGAATGTGCAGCTTACAGAAGCAGTACCGGCTGCCTATCCGTCCAAATTAAACAACTCACAGACAACAAGAACAGGTTTAGGATTGAGGCTGACCCCGAGTCACGAGCAAGAGGGGCATTTCTTGGGGGCTACTGTAGCAGGATTTCTTCGAGACCAACATGAGCTGGACCCAGCACTGGCGGGCGTTCCAGTTGGAGCAAGACTAGTCCAAGTAAATGGCATCGATGTGAACGTTTTGCCTTTTGATCAGGTGCTGATTCAGCTACGCAGCTTGGGTCTACCTCTGCGTCTTCGATTTGTATACAACCCATACTTGAATCGTCAAAGAAGTAGCTCGGTGACGTTGCGAAACAGTGCTGATGCTACGCCTGCTGCAATTAGCGAAAGGCAAAGAGTAACGTTGAGTGCTGGGCAAAGAGGCAGTGGGTATCCGGCGGTAGACTCAGTCGAGATTAGGAACTCTCATACAGATGCGAATTGCCGAAGTTACAGTGTCGATGCCCATCGATCGAAGCCTGGTCTCTTTGGTTTAGTGTTTGGTGAGTTATTTGGTGCTACAAGTGGATCTGAGGTGAGCACAGCTCCGAGTGCAACAAATGGGGTCAGTGCTGGTATGATGAATGCTAGTGGCAAGCTGCATGGCGAGATAGCTGATACAACGTTTGGTTCTGATTACCACTTATCGTTTAACGGCAGTGGAACTATTCTTTTTTCTTGGGATGACATTAATGGGAGATCACGTGACCTTATTCTGCGTGGATTCTTTTCTTATTTGCCACAGTCATTTATGCGTGAACTTCGTCGAAAGCGTCGTGCGGAGATGAAAGCGAAACCTATGTTACCTGAACATTATACAAACGACAGCGACGATAGTGACGAAAGTGACGACAACCAGTGTTGTGAAGAGAACTCGGCAAACTTGGGGCATAAGGTGCACGGTGTCTGGAGCACTGCGACTGGCCCAATAGGACTTTCGTTTGGAGCGTGCAAAATTTGTGACGTCGAAGCAGCGATGCTAGAGGCATCACCTGCATTTTTTTCGTTCAGACGCGAGCATCAAGGCAGCGAGAGGCATTTGTGTAAGGGTTTTATCTTGATATCGATCAACAGCGAGAGCACTTTTGGTGTTTCTTTTGCCATGACAATCAATCGTCTGCGTTCGGCTTCACGCCCCACAAGTTTGTGTTTCCGTTGGTACACGGACTTCAGTCCATACTTGGAGACAAAATTGGTTAAGAAGAATGAAAGCAGCAATAATCGCTCGACCAGCTTGCGCAAAGCACACGCGATCAAAGCTAATGCATTTGTGAACAATCTGGACTGTGTGGCAGAAGCCCAGACCGATTTGAGTAACAGTTTGCAGCTCGCTTTGATCGAAAATGCATCGATCCGCGATGAGATTGGGGTTCTTCAGGATGCTCACCGCAAGTTGCGGCTTGCACAGGAGTACTCGGCTCAGCGTGAACGCTGTCTACAGGCAAACATTGAGCAAAGCGATGTTTTAGTTGCCAGGCTCAAGGACGATATAAAGGTGCAGCGCCAACAGCTAGAGAAATTGCGTCTACGTGCACAGGAGGCCGAGAGCGAGCTAGCTATGAACCGAAAAGAGTATGAAATTATGCTCAAGGAAGCACAAGAGTGCGCAAAGGCACGACTTGCGGAGCACGAGAAAGATTTGGTAAAGGAATCGAACCGATCAATTAATGACGCTAAGCATCGAGCAGAAGATCATGCGAAAAAGATGCTAGAGATGGCAGCAATTGAAAGTCAACGCAAACATGACGAGTATCTTCAGAAGCTTGCAGAGGAGCATTCAGATGAGGTGGAAAGTCTTATGCAGCAAGTAGCAGTATGGCGTCATCAAGTGGAAGTGTTGACGGAAGCAGAGAAGCGGAATTATGCAGCATTAGTGAGCAATGGTGTGAATCCATACACGAGATATTGTCACCGCTCACGCTTTGGTTACACAAGTACAGACTTGCCCGATGCAGATTGGAGATTACGTGACAAGAAGAATGATCGTCAACGTATAGAGGGCTCAACTATGACGACTTGTTGTGCTTCTTCTACTACGAAATGGCATGATAGTAGTAATCCATTGGATAAGATCACGATGGACAAGGGTCACGCGTTTTCCAGATCGTCGGATCAGTTGATACAGTCAAAAAATAGTACATTTTGGGATCGCATGGTGTCACTATTGGCCACAGAGTAGGATGAAATCTTAGAATGATGCTATTTTATATATTATGATTAAATACTTTATGCTGCAATGTTCTGTCTGTTTGGTTTTAAACAGTAAAGTATCAAAACTACTTCTTTCATATTTGTGATACTAGTATTATTATGATCTGTAAAGTAGCAGTAATGTACTAAATAACAATGCCAAGAAACAAATTAATATATTAAATATACAAGGCTGACTGACGCCACAGGAGCTACTAATTACTACAATATAGACGTCATATAAAAGTATTACTTTAAAATATTAAAATCAAAACTATCTTGTATCAACAGTCTCCAATCGTCTACAACTCCTACACACAACTACTTGTCCTCTATATCCACTCGTCTTGCATATCAAAACCGACTCACCAAGTCATTGATTGACACACAAGATGCATTTTTGTAGATGACGCTTTATTGCATTATCTACAGTGAGTGATACCACTAGCCAACTTTCTAGAGCTGCTTTCACCACGTCAGTAGCAACTAATGGACCTCTAAGCTCAGACTTTTTGAGCATTGGATTGCTGTTCCAGCTCCAGCTTCGTCTCAAGAGCAGCACGTTAGACGCTTTGAATCCGAAACGGTTGGACGCTTGAAGCAGCAGTACACGTACATTGGTGTTTCTCGGGTTTGATCTTTCGTAGCAAAAAGTGACAGCACATCATAGTTCAGGTCCACATGGGCAAGAAACGTTTTCTTACGCCACTGTTTTCGTGGTGTGAGGCAAATGAGAGACGGACCTGGATTGTTCTTAGCGGCATTCCCACAAGCTACCACAAACTCATCGAGTGTACGATACAATTGCCGGAAGAATGTGGCAGGTCGTTTTGCACGACCACGGAAGCCGTAGAAGATAAAACCTACGTCCAACACGCAAGCGAGTGGGGGTACTGGGTATTCAACATGACAGAATGACACGTGGACCGTTTCCTCAGACTCGTTGTCGTATTTGTAAGCACTGGATAAAGCAAAAGAGGACTGGAGAGTGAAATAGCCACATGGCTTTAGCTGCATATTTTCCTCGTCTCCACTCTCCGCATTTCTAGACTCGATGCCCTCGGTGCTAGTGCCCTTGTAAAGTTGTAATTGTAAAACTTTCGTGCCAAGTGTACCGCTATCGTCAACACTGAATGACAGGTCACCAGCCAACGAAAGTGTATAAACATCCGTGTATCCGTCACGTAGTAGCAAACGCATTGCAGAACGACGAGGATGCCAGTCAAGAACAAGCACATGACTATCCATTCTCAGGTTTGACATGACAGCGGATGGCAAACTGTTACCGATCGTTTGCTCTTCTGCCATGCACTTTTCCTGGCTCAACAGAGAGGTATCACAGGTTAGCTCTGCCAGTGTATCGCGGATAAAATCGAGCACTCCATCGTGCTTCTTTTGCAGAGCATCCGCTTGTTTTTGAGGATCCAAATCCTTGTCAAAGCTTGTGCCGAATCCATTCGGATCGACTATAAACTCCTTACGGACACACCCCCTTCATAGCACCTAACGTCAACGACATGTCACCATGAGACGCATTAACATCGCTACGACCCAGACTAGTTCCGTCACCGACCCACAAGCGGATCTATTTGAAACAAACTAACGAATGAGATGATGTCTTTGCAGGCAAGAAACAGCGAATGCCAGCAGCAAACTTACCTCGCGATGATCAGAAAGCACACTGAAGTCATCGTACACAAGGTCTGGGCCGCGTCCAAAGATCGATTCCTGCTGACCATACCAGTTACAGCAAGGTAGCGTGACCACACCACATACCTCCTCCGCTTGCACAGCACTCAATGCCTGATCCAGCGTCACATGTGCATGCACTAGTACCACAATTGCTCTTCTTAAAACAATGCGCACGTGTTCAATTTTGTTTCGCATCACCACAAGATTTGACACCTTTTCCCACCCTTTCGATCGCTTAGGCATCACCCCAAATTGATACAAAACTATCAGCACAACTCGAACCTCATGAACCACATACACAAACACACCTCGCTCGTCCCACTCTCCATTGCTGGATCGACACTATAACTCGTCCAGCCTTGCATTCGAAATGCAAACATAGCAGCCGTACGTGCTATTCATCACAAAACAAACAAACAAACACCCAAAGCACAATAGCTCGAATGTGTCAACAATAATCTATCATCACCAACTCTCAAAAGCTCGAAACAACCCCATTTGCAATGCATGACGCACGAGTATTGCCATCTCCGACAACTACAATGCCATCATGTTTGTCATGTGTCTCGACATGATTTTGTATGTTTCTAGGCTGAATATATCGCCGAACAGCATTAAAGAGACCCATACTCTAAGCGTCATCAATTACACCAGACACATATAAACTGCATTACAACCAACACGTTCTACATATAGAAGAACGTTACATGAATTGATGACAAACTCATGATTGTTATTCTACCTCGGTAATCTCTTTTGCATCTGGAAATAATTCGTGCTCGAGTAAAGCAGAAGCACAGTGCAGTTTGCCTACAAACTCATTGAGATATCGCAATGATACAGGAGGTAGAGACGATGAATCTTTTGCAATTGCTTGAGATTTATTTGGCAAACATGTCGAAGAGTTTTCAGAGCTAGAAGAAGGCTCGGGACGTCGACAGAGTCGCCACTGCGAGACGTGTCGGGTTGGTGCCATGGTGACCACTTGAAGATTGGCACAATCAAAGAGGTACACGATTTGTTGGGTCCTGCAAAAAAGATGACTCAAAAGTTGAAATAGGTCCAAATGGTTCACTGAAAACCACCGAAATTGGGTACATTTGGTGCCGAATGAAGGACACGTCTGTCTGTACCTGGTTGTTAGGTTTACTTCCCTTTAGAGTCTTGGAATGCTTCCATACCTTGAATCCACGATCCTATAGTAAGTCCTTTTGGACAGTATGCACATATTACACCTAGTTTTTGAATGTCCTGCACATTCCCATACTCGTTATCAAAAAAGAGCATATCCTCAAACGGAATCCCGCTGTCTTTCTTGAGTTGCTCGAAATGCACGCGTTTGTTACAAGGATAAATGGCTTCATAGTCAATAATACTTTGCAATGATGTTTGGGTCACTTTGTGATCATTCTCGTCGTCTTCTTTACCATCTTTGTCGTATCGTGATGGACCACATCCATTGGTCTCAATGTCCACGTCCATAAGACGCATGCAAGTCTTGGCCCATTTCGGTTCCGTTGTCCTGGAGGCCACAGCCACTTTGGTTGTACCTTGAAACTGTGAATCCGTCTTGAGAATTTTCATCACAGTATGCACTGCATTGAAAAAGTGAACTTGTTCACCTTTGCAGTCTGTCACTGCTCCTGTTGTTGGATTCTTTTTAAAAGGAGCTCCCCATAGTTCGTACATTTCAGGATACCATAATGTAAAATCGAGATCAAATATCACAAGACGTGGAAGATGAGTCCATTTACGAGAGCCTGAAATGACCATATCACTAGATCTAGAGGTCTTGTTCTTCTTGGAACGCTTAGTCTTCATCAGTTTATTTGCTTTTGGTTTACAAAGTATGGAGGAATGCCATGCACAATACGAACTTAGTATAACCGTTACTCATCTTTCAAATCTGCCATAAGTTCGCAGCGAGCTACCAAGAGCATGTACCCATTATCCCTTGTTTGTAAATTATACTTACTCGTCTCCCACGTAAACTCTAAATTATAGCGTTTTCGTCGCAAAACAATTGACTAATGTATTTTGTCCCATAATTTTACCATCTACCAAAATAATAGTCCATAAAGTAGCGCTTTTGGTACCTTATAATAAAGTCATTGCTTCTAAAATAGATTAACAAATAACTGCACGAATGGATTGTAACTCGTAACCGAACAGTGTCAGAAATTAATCGATCATAGTGAGCTTGAGTAGTAGTAGTATCTTACTCAATGACGATTCAACCTCTTTCCTGCCCTTCAAATTCTACGCTGTTGGTACATTAAAATAAACGCAATCGTTACTTTCACTCCACTATCTCTCTTCCTTCCTCCTTCTTCTTCATCTACAAATTGTACGGATCAGTGTACGAAAAGCCCTGAAAAACGTGACTCTTTCCAATTGGTGCATCCGATACCACCGAGTCCACGACTTCTTGTCGTTTGAAAAATTCAGGTACGTTGTTCACCTCGCCGTCTGACTTAATTATAGGCCTGAATGGCACAGGCACATCACGCTTATAGAGCTTTTCCCAATCTACGTTCGAGAAAAATGGATGATCCATGATTTCTTGAGCACCACACGGACCAGAGCCAAGTCGCTTCGCTGGGTTACGACAGATGAGGCCACGCAGCAAAGACCGAGCATCATCGGAAAACTCGGACGGAAAGCGCAGCGGAAGCTTCACAATGTTCTGAAAATTGCGCTTACGATTCGTATGGTAAAACGGTGTATAACCCGCAAGCATTTCAAAGATGAGAATGCCCAGTGACCAATAATCCACTGCCTTGCCGTACGGTATACGGCGAATGAGCTCTGGAGCGATGTATTCAGGCGTACCACAGAAAGTCTGCATGCCATCCTTGCTATCAAAGCGGTCATGCGAGAGACCAAAGTCAGTAAGTGCAATGAACCCCTCGTCGTCCAGCAGTATATTCTCCGGCTTGAGATCGCGGTACACGATATTGTATGTGTGCAAATGCGAAATCGCTAACACGAGCTGCGCGGAGTAGAATCTTGTGCGCACCTCGTCAAAATGCATCGCGCGCCGCAGATGGAAGTGCAGCGTACCACCGTTGTAGAAGTCCATCACAAAATACAGCTTTGCGTCATTCTGGAACGCGTACCGTAGCTTCACCATAAAGGGGTGATCGACGCCCTGCAGAATACGTCGTTCCGTCTTCGTATGTTCCACTTGATTCTTTGCAAACACTGCCGCCTTCTTGATCACCTTCATAGCGTAAACTTTGCCACTTTCGCCACCTGTGGCACCTGCAATCTGTTGCGGAGTCATACCCATCGCCATCATTGTTCGTGGACTTAACAATCGCGCTCCCTTCTGTTGCTGAGGAACCTTACGTCGGACCAACATTACCTTACCAAAGGCACCGCGACCAACGACGCGCAGCAAGTCAAAATCATCAATTGTCAAGGAATCGTACTCACGCGGCTTTAGCTCGCAACCACCTCCAGCGGCGCCACCAAGTACAGTGTCATACACTGACTGTTTCTTCGGACATAAAGATTGATCAGGAGGTGTTTGCCTACTGTCTGCATCTTGTCCACCGTTCCTGCCATGCTCACCATTTTCCCCTTGTCCTTTAGTTTTGGAGTTCTGCTGCTCCTCCAACAATGTATTCAAACGAAGTTCGCGCGCTGCACGACGCTGGAACTCGTAGGGTGTAGGCGATGCAAGAAATGCAAACACAGTATCCAGCACAGCTTTTGTCGTGTACGCTGGACTTTCGTTCGCACCTTCACAAGGTCCTGCAGACAAGCAAATGCAGCCAAAGCCTGTCAGCTGCGCAGCACTTGGACTCTTTGGAGAGCGTAGCCGCGGCGACGACGCATTCGATGAAAATACATCGTCACTGCTCGTCGTCGTTCCAGTGCCACTGGGACCTCCAGTTGTAGCAAAAGCTGTGGCATCACGACTAAGCTCGGTGTTAAGTGGAAAGTCTGACCTCGACCACGAAATACTGTGCTGCGAGAAAAATCGTTTAAAACCCGAATTCCATAACGGTGCAATCTTGTGCGAGCTCTCAATAAACGCCACATTGCCCAATCGACTCTTAAGTTCATAGCGGTACTTTGCAATCAACTGCGTCACCAACACGCCACCATATCCGTAGGCAATAAAGTGCACTTTATGAGCTGCAGACGGGAAAATGTAGTTCCGCCACACGTGATCGCAATGCTCCTCGGCATTACTAGAACCTCGAATCGGCATTTTCTCAACAGTTCCATCAGGTGTCACCATTAATTGCGTATTCATGTTTGGATTCATCACTAGAATGCCATATCCAGCTGCAATAGCTTTCTGAAAATATGGTAGCATCGAACCCACTTGTACTCCATCCTTGAGCAATACGCTGCGACTCCAGATACCGCAACTTAATCCTCGAAAAGAACACACATAGACTAATAATTTCTCAGCAACACTAAAGTTTTTACTAGTATGAAAGATACAACGTGGTTCATCTGTATCAATCATCATTCGAAACCCATCGTTCGTGGAACAAATGCTGGACGAACTAGAGCGCACAGAGCTACCGGTGCTTGCACTACTGCCTGTATTGCTAGCTCCTGGATCAAAGCCTGACTCGACTGAACTGCGTTCAAACTCAAGTGGAGGAATTGCTTGTTCTAGAAATAATAATTCCTGTAGCATTCGAGTATGGACAGTATCAATAAGACCACGTAGTATTTCTTCGCCATGATCTCGAATCTCCTGTTTTGAAATACGTTGTTTAGTGGCTTTATTTCGCACTTCCCCACTTTCCATTAATTCAAAACGATCGTTCGACCAACGAGTGGATACAGCAGTAAATGCTACAGGCATTGTGTCTTCTGATATTGTACCCATGTCCCATTTTGGTAAAGGTGGACGACGTGATGTATTGGTCCCATATGTGTTGGTAGTATTACTGCTACTAGTAGTACTAGTAATTACAATCCCGTCCATTAAAGCAGTCAATGTAGGTCGTTCATTGCTTGTAATACCAGCATGTTTTGCACTTATTAAAGTAGACGTCGAGATGGATGAAGATGACGCGGACGATGAGGATTTCCCATGAACAGGACGGTACGTGGATTCCCACTTGACCTTGATCATCTTGAAAGCCTCTTTTGAAATGGTCTTAATGCCTTTGCTTGTACTGAATGTTTTTAGAAGGTTGCTTGTATCTCGTTCTTTTTACCTTCCTCGTCCTCTGGCTAGTAGTGATGCTGACTAGTCAAAAGAGACAGAGATTTAGATAAGTGCGGAAAGACGACACTGTAAAAGTTCTTTGGAGCGAAAAGATGTTTCTTTATCTGTGTATTATGATATAGTGGGATTGTGATCATTTGTATACTACAAGTATTTTGATAGTAATCTGACCTGAGTACGTGATAAAATAACCATAGACGTTATATCAGCGCAAAACGGTACGTGGGACGTACGTTAAGTTGCTCTCCCATGTTTTTCTTCTTTTAACCAATCGGTAATCCCTGTGGGATTATGTAACGAAAACAATTGTGGCGTGCGCCACATCAAAGCCACATGCTCGATTATCGTCAAGCTCCGCCCGCAGCAACAGCAAGTTATGTCGAAAGCCAACAGTTTAAACGACTTTGTCTTGGATCGAGTCTTTGTTGTTTTTGACACTACCTACTTGGCTAGTACTGCAAGTATTGTGACCAGCAGGCATTATTCATCCACATTACATCGAGATTTTCGGACTAGCGCTTAGTAAACAACTTTAACACGAAACTGGGCGAGGAATCAAATTATGGTTTGATACATTGATAGTATACTTTGTGTACAGTGTACATGTCTAGCATGATACAAGTAAGGCATGCAGCAGAAAACATAGAAATCTAGTCACCGCTGGGCAGCGTCTTGGTCGGAACGTTTCTCGCATGTTTTGTATCTTTTCTTTATTTTGACGCATACAACAGTATCAAGGTGGTAGAGCAATAATGTCCTTGAAACCAGTCTATTTACTTAATAAACCCCAACGATTTACCACCTTTACATTCCCTGTATGTTCAGTAATTCATGTTCTCGAATAGCAAGATAACATTATCACGTGCTCCATTGAATATTGCTCCAGTACGGGACGTTTGTTGCATCTTTGCGATGATTGATACGCTCAAAACATTATCTGGGCCATCAACCCATATCATGTCCGTGATGAGCGGCAGTATTTGATGCAAAGGCTAACGCTTGCAATGCGACACTTCATGCCTGTCATTGAATGCGATATGTTGGTAGTTTCTTCCATTCTCCCACCAAAATATGATGAGCGACGTCAACGTCAAAGTCATCAAGGTCTCATCCGCTCTTGCAAGCGCTTTCCATGAAGTACATGACACTCGCTCAATATACGTTCATTCTCTACCGGAACAGTAGAAATTGCCAAAACGAACAACAGAAACGACAGTTTTTTATGTAAGAAGCATAACGATTTGGCGCAGTTTGTGTTGCTCGTGGGTGGCTCGATACAGCGACAAAGTATCGCGTAGGTGATACAATGCGCAAAAACACACGATCGCCCATTCGGCCGCGCAGAAAGCTGATGAAGAGGTTCTGTAGTATTTGAGCTCCTTCAAAGCATTTTGTCGACTCGTTCTCAGTGAGGTATGGAAAAGTGCAGTTACTCCTTATTCAATGGGCTTCTGCAGCAACAACATTGAAATGTGTTGTCCTCAACCGGACACTTGAGTTAAGACTTGAGGGTGGCATGCAAATAGGCGCGACACTCAAGAACTATCACTTATTCTTCCTGGTGGTAGCTTCGAAAGGTCATCCGTGTTCGTCGTGGTCTGTGTGAGATATGGATCGGATGTGATACTCGCAGACGATCACGAGACACGGCAATGCATTGGCGGCGTATAGAGGGAGTGGCGAGAGTATGGTGGTGTTCCAGCTACTTTAACTTATTTCTATTAAAGCACATCGGCGAAGTTCTACTGTATCGAAAGCATCGTGAGTCGCTGTGTAGAACATTGCTGCATCACGTGGTGGTGTGATCCTGGCAATCTGGCTCCGTTCTACTTCAAAGTGTTTGATACGATGACTGCAGCGCTAATTTATCTTTGCATTGTGATGCTGTTTATGCAACAAGTTTAGAGCGACGCATTTTAGCATGATACGCAACGGTCTGTTTTGCTGTCGATCGCACCGCTCCAGATGACGTGTGGTAGCGTGCAAAAGGGTCACTGAAGCTCTCATTGAGGACGACAATGACGAGATAGAGGAAGACACGAAAAAAGAGAGCAGGCTCACATGAATGCATGAAGCGTTTGTTGTCACACGTCTCCATGCAGAGACCATCCAGATCTTGATCGTTTCTTGCGCGAGGGTATTTGCATGACCGTAGCTCATTTAGAACGTGGACGAGCGCTGGTTTGGGCTTGGTGGAGAAGCTATAGACGAGGATGACGGTGAAACAAAGGCCAAGCTACTTAATAAGCAGCAGCTCCACAAGATTCCCGTCAAAAACAAACCAACAAACGTTACAGAACAAGTTTATTGTAATTACAGCACGATAAACTACCATAGCTCACACTCCGTCTTCGGACTCTTCGGCGAGCCAACGGGACACGAAAACACACGTGCAAACTCGCGCGAATTGATTGCAACTCCGTTCACGCGCCATTGACCCGGCGAATGCTGTTCTGTGTTCAAAGAGTCTGTCACACTGTCGTCTGTTGCCTTCTCGCCGTAGAGCCAAGCGTACGAGATGAAGAACAGCTTGTCGCTACATCAGCAGGTATGCTACTGTATGCTGCTTGACTCGTTGGTATAGTAAACCCTGTCGCTCTAGCTTTACTTCCCTTCCCCAAATCCTTGGCCTGATCGACCATGAATATTTGATAAGCGTCAAAGGACAACTTGATGCCACCGTTGTCCGCAATATTCTCATTCAAAGTCAGCTCACCGTTGACATGACCCAACACCTTGTTCTTGTCTGTAGCACTTGTCACTGCATAACTATCGTATTGTTTCACGAAACAGTCAGCCCGATGTGAGGATGCTTTTGCTGCGTCGGGGCTCCAGCAATTCTGCAACTTGCCGTCAGGAGCATAGTATTTTTCTGCTGTTATCAAAACCATGCGTTATTTCGTGACCAATAATGCTACCGAGGGCGCCAAAGTCTAGTACAAGGTCGTTTTCAGCAGCAAAATATGGCAGCAGGGAGGATAATCTCGTTTCGTTTTGCAGAATAATGCGCATCGGCAGAATACGCCTACACCGAGCTGGTGCGATTCACTGTAGTACCAATTCGTGCCATAGAGTAATTAAACTTGTACGTGAAGATGATCCGCATATTAACTGCAAGCGATGCGTCACCATGTAATACAATCGGATATTGCTCGGTAGAATGCGAATACCCGACAAGTGTGGTCATGTTGCCTAACTTCTCAAGAGCTGCCTGACGAGTGGGTCCGTCCAGCCAATCCACCTGCTCAAGGTTCTTGCGCATTGACGATTGAAGTTGCGCTACAAGTTGGCTGGCAAGTTGCGCCTTGGTATTGTCAAAGCGAACACGCGCAAAATACTTGCTGACCAAATGGCAAGTAGTTTTTAACTTGCTTAAGGCAAAAGGTCTGTCGCGAAGTACTCAGGTTCTATACCACTGAGACTGCGACCAAAAAAGGAGAAGCTCGTCTGCTGGAAAGGCTCACCAAGGAAAGTAGTATAGGAGTCAACATAATTATACGTCAGAACAGCTTTCAGGGTATTCAAAGTCACAGAATCTCCAGTCACGAGCATTTCAGCGCGGTCGAAGAATGCGGGCGTCTTAATGACCAAACTGACGTCCTGAGCTGTAAGATTTTGAAGCAAACCTGTGCCATTCAAAAACCGTGAAAAAAGTAATGGGTATTTGAAGCAGCTTGAGCCACGCTCATACGGCTAAAGGGTGCTGCAGAATCTTTGGACTGTTCTTCCTGTTCAAAAAGCGGTGCAAGTGTTTGTTCAAAGGCAACCACTGCTGAAGCTCGGGATGCTGCTGCACGCAACTCCAATCCAACCAATCGAAACAACTCCATCACATACGCATGGAATGCGTCACGGGTTGAGCCAAACTGGTTGCGGTCTAAGTAATATTCTGGACCTGGCATAGAAAGTCCAGTTTGCGACGCATACAACACGTACACATCGACTTCTGGATCATCCCCCACTGACGTAAAGACTTGTCAACAAATTTGGTCCTGCTTTAGATAAGGCTCCTGCCAATTGAGACAGCTCCATCTTTGTCTTTGTTGCAGCAATCTGCTCCAACACCGGCGACAAGAACCTTATCGACACATCGTCCGCCGTCGAGCTTTTGGTGTTGTTAACGTTCATACACGACTCGTATAAGTCACCCAGCAGCAACCAGCCTTGGTGCATCATGTCGATTAACACCTTTTCGTTTTCGGCTTCCACAGCAGATAAGGACAAGATCACACGAGATTCGTCGTCTAGGATCTTTACTATTTTTAACTATGCGCCACAACTAAACGCGTGGAAGCGCAGCACGGGTCGTTAGCGAACCCCACTGGGTAACATCTCCATCCACGAGTTTGTCTTTGCCGCTAAGTAAGTCACACTTGAGACGCCACGCATAGTGCCACCTTGGCTAGACTTACCACCAAAAGAAACAGTACACCAAGGCCTCCCAGTGCCCAGGCAGCTACCAGCTTTTGCATCAATAGCAGCGGCGGTGGAGCGCACCCCAGAGACTCATCTTTGCGGTACACATGTGGCTGCTAATCGTCCAGCGTAGCCCATTGTATCATTTAGAAGGGTATCAGACCAACTTGCTATCTTAGTCGTAAGTGAACAATATTGATTCGGTAAGAATTAGTACTATCATAATTAAATGTTGGTTACAAAATTTCATACCTCTGTTTTTTTTTCAGATGCAAGATGCTCATGCTCATAAAAAAAAGTATTGTCACTGTGGTACGTCGCCATTACTTGTATAAATTAATATCATCAGTACCATTATCTTTTTTAAAACCAGTTCGTAATTTCTAAACCATGACTGGCGGCGTAAATGTTGGGGGCGGTAGCTCGACTGGTCGCGCAATTTTCGCCCTATGTGGTGGTCTGGCAGGGGCATATGTTGGGTTTTGTCTGCAGACAAAATACATGGAAGAACGTCGGGTGCGGTATAAATCAAAACACAGTTCACAGTCGTGGGTTTGTTCATAAGGTTCTTTTTTGTTATCACAGGTCAACGCGTTAGTGGAAATAGAGGCACAGAAGCGTTTGAATCGAGAAAAGGGTGTTTCTAAGTAACTGCTTATTGAATCTACTTGATTCGTACTGTTTTCTGAAATGATGTATAACTTGCAATAGCAAACTGAAACTCTGATTGCGGCTTAAGACTTAGTACCGCATTTGTCGTCTGCTTAAGTCATTCAGTTACTTTCCTCGCGCTCAACGTAATCACTTTACCCAAACTTACGTTAGTTTCTTTGTAACTCGCTCCACATGAGTTATAGGTCGTCGCAATATTATCCCATACCGTCATATATCTAACTTACTGAGCTTTATGCACTGAGTAGTCTTTGTCAGCTCGTGCTGGTCGAAATGCTGCGAGCTTACTTAAAAGTTAATTAACTGCGTTTTTTAAGCATGCTCTGCCGACGTACAATCTCACCCGAGTTACACAAAGGTGTGTATTTACACACGCCTGCCACACGATTGTGGTGTGGCTGTAGTTTGGGTACGTAGCGATTGAATGTGGACCTTGGCAGAGTCACGTGGTCATTATACTTAGATTAAGTATAATGAATACGTACCTTTGTATATATTAGGAGGCTACAGAGCCAGATAAATAAGTGACAAGCACTAAGACAATAATGTTTCTATATTGTGATAAGCCATAAATAAATTAGTTTATACCTGCTCTGTATAGCATTCGTTGCTACAACTTTGTTCGTTGTGAAAAAGACGTTGTATCTTGAATACTGTATTTTAGAGACGTCGTTGTTTACAACCACAAGGCACAAGCTTATACAGCTAGCCTTGAGTGGGCTAAGAATCCTTCGACGTATAAAAATCTTTGAGCTTGTAATTCTCTGCACTTAGTGCATAAGTCGCTTTGCTACAGTAGATCTCCTACACCTGGTAGCACTTGTAGTCAGTCCCGCCACCTGGGTTTGCGACTACTTGTCGATGTGAGAATGGACATCAAAGAGATGTCCGCGGTTGGCCTGTCACAGGCACAACAGGAAGGGTTGCAGAAGCTGCTCCCTATCCTTGGCCCTAAGGGCGTGGACATTGCCCAGGGCGAAGACGAGGGTAACAAGCGTATTCATATGCTTGATGAATATAATAAAGCTCTAGTCGAGCATGTAAGGGCACAGATGCCTTCTTCTGCGCCTTCGCCTATGACGACTATGGCGCAAGAAGTGGTCCGCAGACCAAAACCCATACAAATGGAAGTCGATAAGTTCGACGGCAAAGAAGGTGACAACCTTATGCTTTGGTTCTGACAGGTTGAGTCGGCTATGTTCATAGCCGACATCACCTATGAACCGTACCGTGTGGGCTTTGCCACGGGCAAGTTAGGTGCTTAGCCAAACAGTGGGCATTCACATGTGGTGCATCACTGCAAGATGCTTTTCCCACATGGGCCGATCTGAAAGCTTAGATGACCCGGCATATGCACCGCCAAACCAAGCACACCGTAACCGGTCGCGATTTTTGGCGTGTCGCCAAGGCAAGCGTGAGCTTGAGTCATATGTACAAGAGTTGAGAACTCTTATTGCTGTCATGGTCATAGACCCTATTCCTGGGACAGTGACCGTCACGGTCTTCATGGAGGGCCTCCGAGTCGGCGTTGCCAGAACGGAAGTCTTCCGGGTAAACCCGCCCTCATTTGAGGAAACTTTTGGAGTGGTATGGAATGCCGAGACCAACTTTAAGGCCGCAAGGCCTGCACTTATAACTACTCGTCTGATGGGTCTGTTTCCATGGACTGTAGTCAAGTGTTGGATGAAGAAGCTGAGCTTCAAGCTGCGGAGCAGCAAATTGTGCGCAGATGTTATATCTGCAAGAGCACAGGCCATTTGATGGCAAAATGCCCTGCAAGAAAGGCATATTTGGCCTCGAAGGGCCAACGCCCCACGTATAAACCTTCTGGTTTGCCGCGGGGAAACGGCGGAGCCTAGTAGGCGCGGGGCGCCCTACTGGGGAAGAACTGAGTTTTGTTGAACCTCTAGGAGGTAGAAGTAAACAGGGTCCAGCCCCAAAGAGATCCGAACTCTAAAAAACGGAACAAGAATGCAAGCCAGGCTTGCTAGTCGCCATAGTGAAGATCAAAGGCTTTGATAAGCCATGATCATTTGATCTAATCGGGGCATCGGGCAATTATTTGCGCCGTGCCACCGTGGAAGGTAGTCAGCAGTATGCTGAAGCGCTTGTAGCGCGTAAGGGTGACACATTCACAGTTCACTTAGCGACGGGTACGCGTGTTACGGTACCCAAAGTCCCGATGGACTTAAATGTAAAGTTCTTGGACTTTAAAAGCATGGAACGCTGTTTGGTCTTAGACCTGGATGCGAGGTATGACCTTATCCTAGGCAAGGCATGGCTTGAACGTCATGAGCCATGGATTGATTGGAGGTCGAAGACCTTAGGCGCAACGCGCATTGCTCCTGGTGGAGCTCTGGAGAGTCATGAACCCACCTCTGCTAGGAATCAAAAGCGCTTTTGGTGAGGATATTGGACCGAGTTGATTAATATGTTGGACGTCGGAATATCCGACATTGTAGACACTGTAAGTTCAAAGACCTGGGAGAGGACCAATGACTGTCGATAGTGTGGTTGAGAACCCACTAGAGGGCAATATGACATGTGTCATGAGAATGGTGTTACATCATGAAACAACGTGAGTGGTGTTGGTGGCTGCAAGCCAAGATGTCAGGAAATGAGTCGAAGTGACATGTGTGACGAGGAACTGACTCGGGAGGGTCGAGTGAAGTCATCAATGGATGTTGTCTTTGAGAATAACGAGGTGCAAGCACTAGCGACGAGGTACTGGCCCAAGTGGGTCGGGTAAAGTCAAAAATGACGGTTGTCTTTGAGGACAACGATGTGCGAACACCTCTAGACGAGGCATTGACCCAGGAGGGTGGGGTGCAGTCAGTAAACGAAGTGGTCTTTGACCTTGAGGTATGTACACCTGTGAACGCTGATGCGTCGGATGCTGAGAGCATCATGATAGCCGATGATAGTATCGTGAGTGACGGTGATAGCAAACAGCTATATACACTCGTCAATGGTTTGACTGGGGATGTTGAAGAGCCGGTGGCTTATTCTGCTATACCCGCAGTAAGTGCTCTGTTAGAGCTGGACGAGCTGTCCTTTGCCGAGTTTGGCAGTGCCTTACAGGCAGGCGACATCGCCGAAGTGGTCGTTGTACGACCTGAGGAGGAGTTAAGCTCCTAATTGCGTTTGGATAAAGTAGTTCTTGAAGATATCAAGAAGGCGCTAATGCGCGTAGTGGAACACAGATCCTGAAGGACCCATTGGATCCTTATTTTCCTTTGTTAAAGGAATATGGAGATGTTGTATCCAAAGAACCTCCGACGAGGTTACCTCCAGATAGAGGTGTACGTCATGGAATTGACTTGGTTCCAGGAACCAAATATTGTGTGACACGACGATAACAATGTGACGTCATTGAAAAGCTCTTTCGTGCAAAGCACGCGGCTGGCATGGTGCGTTAGAGTAAGTCTCCTCACTCTACGCCCGCGTTTTGTGTGAAAAAGCCTAAGGGAAGTGGCGAATGGTGCGTGCTTACAGTAAGCTGAATGCAGCCACTATCCCGGCTCAAACACCGATTTCTCGCGAGGATGTTCTTCAGAACAATATGGAGGGATGTACGATGTACAGTGCCCTCGACTTAGTCGATGGATATTGCCAACTGCTCATGCGAGCTAGTGATATCCCGCTGACAGCGGTCAGCACTCCGAGTGGTAGGCTCTGGGAGTGGTTAGTGATGCTCCGAGGGCTGTCTAACGCACCTGCAACGTTCAATCGTCTAGTGACACAGTTGTTTCGGCCCATAGGGCGTATGCAACGACATACGTTGACGATATATTCGTCCATAGTCGAGCCTAAAATGGCAAGACTGATGTGGAGAATCACATCGAGCACCTGCGAGCTGTGCTCGGTTGCATGAGGATGCATAAGTTATATGCCAATATTGACAAATGCATCTTCGGTGCGGAAGAGATTTCCATTTCGGGATGCTTCATTGGGAAGCGAGGAATCCGGGCAGACCCTGTTAAGGTCAAAGCCATAGTGGATTGGCCGGTTCCGAGGAACCAGAAGGACCTCCGCAATTGGTAGGGTTTGGCAAATTACTCACATTACTATAGCCACAACTATGCGGAAGTGGCTAGGCCATTATCAAATCCTCTTCAAAAAGGTGTGGAATGTTGTTGGAACACCGATCACCACGAGGCTTTTGAAGCCATTACAGAGAGTCTCCTTCAGGCGCCACTGCTGGCTTTGCCTGATCCTGATCTTTCCATTTAGCGTCGTGTGTGATGCTTCGGACTTTGCCATTGGCAGTGCTCTCTTGAAAGTTGACTCTCAGGGTCGAGAACGCGTCATCGCGTTTGAGTCTCGGCAGCATAAAGCTAAAGAGAAGATCTATCCAGCTCATGACAAGGAGCTACTTGCGATGAAGTATGCCCTTGTTAAGTTCAGGGTACACCTGTTGGGATCAAAGCCGTTTGTGATCTATACCGATCATGCGTCATCACGCACAGCGACAAAGTCGCCTCATCGCTCGCAGAAAGTGGCTCGTTGGCTCTCCTTTTTGCGAAGTATAACTTTGAGGTGAAGTATAAGCCGGGAAAACAGAATGGTGTGGCTGACGCGTTATCGCGTAGACCTGACTATGAGCTTGCTCGGCTCAATTTTGCGTTTGTCAGTCACGGATCGTATTCTTGTGCGTATGCACGCGATGAGGCAGGTGTTAGCAATCTTTAGGCCTTGACTAGCGCAGTGTTTGATCAATCTAATGCTAAGCTGTCACCACGTAATCGTGCGAGATTTCATCGTTATGTACTGACGGATGGCCTGATACAGGGTCGAATGACCAACCACGTGTTGTGGTGCCTCATGATAAAGGCTTTAAGTATCAGATACTTTATGAGGCTCAAGATACGCCACTTGGTGGTCATTTGGATCGTGGTAAGACCTACATCTCGGTGAGCATCCTTTATAAGTGGTCCAAGCTGTATAAGAGGACCAATATGTATTTACGAACGTGTAAACGTATCAAAGGGTGAAAATATAGCCTAGCATGGCTGCGCCTTTGGCAAGTTTGCCTGTACCCTCAGGGTTGTGGCAGTCCATTAGTATGAGTTTTGTGTTTGGCCTACCTCGCGATGCGGCAGGCAACACTGGGATATTGGTATTTGTTGACTGAATGAACAAGAGGGCTCATTTTAGTGGCAGGGCCAGACTCTAATGATGAACAAGGAAGAGCGAAGTTGCTTCTGTATCGAGTCTTTATGTAAAGGACCCAGACAGTTGCGAACTATAAAAATTCTAGGGTTACGAGGAAGGGTACACTGATACCTCATCATAGGGTACTTACATTAAGCTTTATCATTAAGTTGTACGAGAATATTTTGTAGGTAACTATTAAGACTCGCAATAGTGACCTCACCAGGGACTGAAATTCGTGAAGCAATACGATAGTTATACAATGACTAGTGATACAGATAAGAACAAGGTGCTGGGTCCCGTCAATGGGGAAGCCACTTTGAATACAAATATTGGGGAAAACGGCGGCATCAACTTGTCCTTTGACGCATACCAAGCATACATGACCGAGCAAGTCAAATCGTTGAAAAAGAGGAGTAGAGCTGGCGCGCCAGAGTTTACTACACCATCGAGTCAAGCAGACTACAGCAGCTTGCCTGCCGACAAACTATTCTTCATCTCGTATGCTCAGTCATTATGCGCGGAGCAAAGCGACGAAAGTATAACCACACAACATCTTTCGCCCGAACTATGGCGTGTAAACGGATGCAATCAATTCGCTCCAGTTTGCACGTGTGTTTTCGTGCCCCGTTGGCTCACCGATGAATCCAAAGAAGAAGTTTAAGCTATGGTAGATTGCTGTGCTGTAATCACAATACACTTGTTCCGTACAAGATGCACGGAACAAGCGTATTGTGATTATGACAGTAATAAAGCTAAGCTGCTTAGGAAGTAGGATTGGCCTTTGTTTCAGCGTCATCATTGTATAAAGCGCACAATGGTGACGCTGAAACAAAGGCCAATCCTATTGGGTTTCACAAAGCCCAATTCAGCGCTCACCCGGCTGCGGTATTCAAACGTAGATATTCCTTGCGCTAAAAACTGATCTCGATTTGATTAAAGCAACTCTTTTGCAGTACGATTGAGAGTTGTTGCAGAAGATGTGGGTATTTGCAAGTTGACCGACCAAAGTTGGTATTGGAAACATGCCCTTTCCTATTATTTTTTGTGATTCACTGTCTGATAGTTGACCTGGTAAGCGGTATCTAAATTTCTAAAACAATTGTTTTAGTTTTTTTCTTTTATTCGAATTTTCATACATTTGCGTCCATAAAACACAAGACCTACAATGACATCGTTCTTGCTCGGTGATGAATATGCATCCTCCTCTTCCTCGTCTGACAACGAAACGTCGTCTAGTTTAATGTTACATACCAACACGTATCCTTCAATATCCACAGCTTCCATACCAACTCAGTCGTTGCCGTCAGCAGACGAATTGTTTTCAAGTGATACAAGCACGGTGTTAAATACCGGTGTGTTATCAGCTACTCCAGCACCGATGAAGAAGCGAAAGAATGATCAGGTGTCAAGGCCAGCGACAAAAGTAGTTAAATTAGAGACTAGGAAAGCCGTAAGTAAGTCTATGACTGTGCCATTTACGCCACCACAGCTACGTCGCCCTAATATCTCAACGGAAGACAGCAGGTTTGTCACGAAATCTACTTTGTGTCTCTCCACCTTGTGCTCACTTAGTCTGCCGTGTTGTATTTGTCACGACTGCAGTTTATGGAATACAAATAGGACACTTGTTTTGCAGAAGAAAGTAAAGGAGACTGACACAAAGAAATAAGTGAGCTTTGACTGTTACGAGATAACCAGCCATTGGATACATACGACGAGCATGTTAGTTTGTTGCTTGTCATTCTTGTGTTATACGCCCTTTGTGGCTATAAGCCCTTTGCATGGCCTTATTACATTGTCCTTGAGCATCTCTGTGGCTGGACCGAAGCAAATAGATTGGTCGGATTGTCTTCTTTCCAGTGTCAAAACCTGATTGAAACAATGGGGCCACGAGAGTCACCGACTTCTTGGCAGGGGAAAGTAGGCACTGTCGGTACGTTGGACTCCCTCAATTTCTTCATTAACGATAGGCGTTCGTCAATTTTCTCTAGTCTTTTCTGGATTTGTTCCACTCTAGTAGGAAAATTACGAAGTCGATCAGCATAACCTATGAGAGAGCTACCTTTTGCTTTCTCTGCTTCATTAAGATCTTGAGACAGTAATATCGTATCACATGGTGAGATTCTAAAGCCATGATGTCTTTTTTTTCAGTGTTTAAGATTTAGTAGTTACCTGCAATGAGTTGGTCCACCGTTTGCTGTAGTGTCTTCTGTGCAGCTAAGAGTGTCTCGACGTAGTTGTGACAATGATCTACTTTAGGCCAAAGCGTCACAAACATACCCTGGGCAAATGAACTATCTTTTCGTGTTGACATTTGAAACCACTTTTTCTTAACAAGTTATAGAGCCAAAAGTCAAAACAAAGTCTTTGACGGATTCAATATGTCACGTGAAAATGAGCAAGCAACCTTAGGTGTTTGAGATGTGAAGGAAAACACTGTCCAGCAACTCAAGCTTTCACACCAAGTTGAAATGATTCACAGCATTCTCATCAACCTACTTTACTAATACTAGTCGACCTGCTTCTCGTCTTCCTTCTTCTTTTTATTCATCATCATCATCATCATCATCATCTAACTCCAGTCCATCATCTTCTTCATGCTCGACATTGTCAGAGTCGGCACTTTCTTCATCCTCTTCATCAAAAAGGAGGTGCATTCGCCGGAATCGCGCATCGCTGGTATTTTCTTCATCAACATCTTCATCGTCGTCTTCATTAACCTCTCTGTCATCATCAACATCGTCATCATCATCATCGTAAGTATGCACAGTACTTGTCGACAGGACAGAGCGTTCCATGTTTTCTTGCTCCTCATCGCTCTCGCCCTCGGTAATGATTCGAACTTTACGCGATCGTTTCCACGGTCTCCTCTCTGTAACTTCATCGGCTGCATCTGAGCACGTGACTTTGTCTCCTTCGTCAAACTTTTCGTCTTGAAACCATTGAGCGCGATTAACCTTTTTGTTCAGATTTAAAGCCACTGTACCTTCCTCTTCACGATGGTGATCCTTCAGAGCTATACTAGGGCTTGCACTGCCACATCCGCGTTGTAACCGCTCCTCGTCGTGATCGTTCTGAGCCCCAGCACTTACGTTGTCCACTTTTTGCTTTTCCTCGCTATCTACCGGTGCATTCTCATCCTCGTCTTCGTCATTACTGTCAACAATTCGATTCGCATTCTGCTGACGAGAGCAAATAGCGTCACGGCGGCAGCGCTGGTCTTTTTGACTTTGTTTAACTGTATCATGTTCTTTATGGTCAGCGTCTTCATCCGAAGAAAAGTGGCCCTCAACACTACGATCATTGCAGCGTTCTGACCTTACTTCACCATCAACCTCCTCGCCCTCGTCATGTTTATCCACAGTGTCTTGTCCATCAAAATGTTCATCTTCCTCGCTAGAAAACGCACCATCGGCGTGATACGCTTCGACAACTTTAATGTCACGTTCAGATCGTCGGCTCCGATGCGGCCACCGTCTTGCCCGCCATTGCTCCCTCTCTTCGTCAGCCGCCTCATCGTTACTATGGTGCTCTATGTCATCTTGGCCGTTACCATTCAAGAAGCGAGCGATGGGTTGCTCGTTGTGTTCGTCACTAACACAATCATCCACAATGAATAAGTTGTCTAACTCATTTTCTTCTCCATCAAATTCACGTTCACTATCGCTATCATGATGTGTATCACGATTCCGGCGACCAGCATCCCTTGCTTCACCATGAATAAGACTGACAAAGTCGGCAACCGGGGTGTCCGAAACCTCGTGCGGCTCACGTAAACGAGTAGCAATGCTAAGCTTCAGCCCGTATAAGTCGTCAGCAAAGTGGAATGTGTACATGCCTGTATGATATTACACACAAACCCATTGTTTACCAACAAAAAGTAGTAAGCGCATCAAACTTTAGTGCAAGACGTAATCTGCCTTCGTACCACCAGGAACGTCAAGCCGCAAGCCTGGAAAGGTCACCACACCACTTTGAGCACCGCGAGTTCGTTCCATCACGCAGTTGTCCTACCAATGCGTCGCCAAGTATAACGAATATCAGCACTTCCACAACACACACTACCACTACAAATGGAATTATATTCCACGTACCGCTTCGTCGCATACGCGAAGACTAATTTCATTGTAGTATGAGCTGCACACAAATCCGTCGTCGTCTCCATCATCATTCATGAAAAATGGCATCCCGTCTGTCATCTCCTCGTCCTCCTCCATTTTAATAACATTCACAGAGCATTCCTGGTGTTCGTTGTACAATTCAAAAATGCTTGGAAACTCTACGATAGCAATTCCAACGCGCATGTTCAAAATCCCGTCCTCGTTTTCATCGTTTGTATCCAGAACTATATTCCGAGATACATACAAATTACCATCGCGGGTATCTTCAACTTTCAGTACCGGGTATTCGTCGTGCCCTCCATCATCCTCTTCCGATCGATCTAATAAACTCTCATCTTCCTGTAGCTCATCGCCGTGATATCTTGCAGCACGTTTACTTAAAGTAAATACTTTCCATTTACTATCAAGTTGATCAAGCTTGTTTAAATATATCTTCTCTTCCTCTTGGTGGTACGACAAAATTCTCTCGGCAACCGACGGGATTAGGAGCTACACCGAGTACAAATGCCGTCAGGAAGCCATATCGAATTGCTCTATCAAACGGTTACAAAACACTTACTTGGCTAAGATTCCATAGCGTGACGTTAATCGAAAACACCGACGCTAAAGACGAGTTTGCAAAGAACGGCTGTAAAATCTCAACGCGACAGATTGGACAATGTGCTTCTTCAATTGATCGCATCAATAACGAATCCAAGAGACACACACGACTTTAATCTCAAGTTAAACGATGATCGACAGAAGAAACAGCAACAAATTTCTCACGAACTCATTCTTCTTCTCCTATACAACAACATACCAAAAGGAATGTCCGCACATTGCTGTTATTGGCTAAGATAGCAACAATAAACAGTAACACAATCGGTATTAGATTCCAGTCAGGATAACCTCACACACACAAAAGAAGCTCAAATGAAGTCAAGACCTTGAACATCGTGTACTGACATATAATACACTGGATCTCCGTCTCCAGCATCATTTTTGGTGCTGAAACGAGTCGTTTATCGCCCATTTTAGGAGCATTCGTATCATCTCTTGAGCGTTTCTGGCTCAAGTTATCTCCATTTGTTTTCACGTTCTTGTCGTCCTCTTGTTCCTGCACTAAGTTCTTGTTCGTGGCTATAAATTGCACCTCATCCTGGTCACTCTTCTTCTCCTCTTCTTCTTCTTCCTGCTGCTTCGTATCGTTACTTTCGTGCTCCGTCGTCATTTTTTAACGTCAAAATGTCGTGTGCACTAAAATTCCGAAACTTTTGCAGTTGAAAATAACATTATGAACATTATGAGCATTTCAAGTTTTTTTTTCCCGGCGATTTGGACGAAGAAATGCAGAGGTTTCAACATCTTTCCATCTAATTATTCAAAGAGATAGAGTCTTCCGTCTATTTGTGCACAATGGAATCAGTAGCCATGAGCACAATTTTTTCCTCCTCTCGTAGCACTCGTTACGCGCATAATCTTCAATCTTGGTACACTTTGGTCATTCAACAAACGATACGTTTGTTCAAATAGGTCATCAACTTTTACCTCTTGTTGAATGAAGTATCTGCGGCTTCAATCGGATCCCTACGCCACAAGATCATGTGGTTGAGGATAAGTTGTAGTATAGAAACGTAAGAGGATTGTGATTCATGTGATTGCGTTTGTTGCTTCATTCGGCGAGTTCAAACAGACGGTTCTTTTTGCTGCCTAGTTGTAGACAAGACTGCTTACACTGAACAAGTGTCCAAGACATTTGTCGATTGTTGAACCAACTGCGCGACCCATCTCCTCCTTGGTGATACGTTTGCGTCATCCTTGTTGATCCAATGTATATTGCACGACCCATGCGCCCAATTCTTTTACACTGACCGTAGGCTTTGAACTAAATCTTGCCAACTGTTGAGAATATTCATCAACGCAATTCTTGTTCCTCATGGCCATCCTGACGTCATTGTGCCGCGTGTGCTTCATTAGTTATCAAATACAGTAGACCACTGAGATTGAAAAAGCTGAGGTTGCTTCTCTCAAGCCTGCATGCATCCACCAACGTTCGAGCTTTTTATTAGAAATGATAACGTCCATTCCGGATAGCTTTTCACTTGCAATCTACTTAGGAATGAGATATCTGTCAGTCGTAATGTCATATTAGAAGCGTTGAGATTATGATAGCAACGGAGTGGAACTAACCTGATTGTCCTTCTCCATGGGTCATCTGATATACTTGACTCACTACGTACGACCCTCCTTCAGCAACATGTATCAGTGTAATTTTGATGTTGTGTAATTATTCCTGTCTGGGTCATTGACGTGGAGTCGGGTCAAATGCAACTCCGAAACGTCATGCAAATAGTTCACCACATATGTGTATCTATAGTCTGGACCGCAACCTCTGATTTGTCACGACAACAAGTTTATAAATCGAAAAGACAGATATGGTGGAACGCTGATCTCATTCTTACAGCTGGATAAGGGGAGAAGTAGCATCACCGACCAAAGATGGTTTATCGTGCTGAACCTTTGTAAATTCCGCGCATCACCAAGTGCGCTGTCGTCTCATCCTTCCTTCGTCGTAATTGGTGGGGCACTATTCATCACTCGATCATATCGGGGTTTGGTTTGACTGGCTGCAGATTGTAGCATTGACAGACACGCGATACTCCATGCAACTCACTTAGAATGATACAGCGTCATCAGCCCTCGGAAATATGAACCTCTCTCTGACACTCGCAGTAAGCGTTCATGCTGACCAAATTACAGACAACTCATTTGTGCAACCATAATATTAAGGCGATGACGCGATTTGCTTTTGTGGAAAGTCAGGACGAGATAAGCCACTTTTGAGAAGCATCAATGCATTGTTTGCCATGGCCTTTCAAAGTGTGGTAGGGATGCTGCCTTGGTGTTCTAAAAATTGATGACCCGAAGGTGGTGCGTCATCATTAACTTGAACATTCATCCGGTAGAGAAAAGTTTGTCTGGATTGCATGTATAGGTATCTCCCTCACGAACATGCTTTGCAGTATGTCATTTCAAAGAGAATGAAAGTTTTGAAAGGGATCAAGATGGTATACAAAGCTCACCCTTTACTTCCAGGCGACGAGAGATAGAGAAAGATGCAATGAGTTGACACAATCCACCTTCTCTGCATCAGTCTTTCCTTCATATGATCGATATGTGACCTACTAAGTATATGAATCCTCCTAGAACGCTATGCTACGCTCTTCTCAGTCTACGACACTAATAAATTGTTGTCTGGTTATCTTTTATGGTAACTCTGTATCCTGACGACGTGATAAGTACTGAAACAGCTGGCTACGTAAGCTTTCAACAAGGACGAATACTGATGTTTTCCGTAGGGTGAGCAGTACACCTTCAAATTAAACGTGCTTACGCTCGTGAGGGTGTTTCATGCAATAAAGCTAGATACTGTAATACGTAGCTATTGATGTCTAAGCTCCACATAGGCTTGCATCACACAGATATGAGAATGCATTGTTTACGTATTCTTTCCACTACATTATAAGCAAAAGGCTTTTTGTGTGTGTTTTATAGATAGTGATGAATATAGATAGGTTTTTCTGGCAGATTGCTTTTATAGCCCATGGTCTTATTCCTACCTATATATCTTTTTAATCATAATGAATCAAGTATCACAGTGTAAACATCCTTGAAACACGTATATCATACTTTACTATACGTTGTACAAATCATCATATCAAAGATCAAACCCATACCTGTCTGAATTTATATCCACTACGACCTTGTCAATTCAGCACATTATCCGTCTCTCTCTCTAATAAGGAGTTAATTTGTTACAAGTGACACATCATGTCCTTAACAATTGTCAATACTGAACAGGAAGCACGACTTTATGGTCGAATGAAAGCAAAAGAAATCTTTCAATCCATGCGATGGAAACGAATTCATCTTTTATCGGATGATACAGCAAAGCTCTATGAAAATTTACCACAAGGTTTAACGTGTCATATGTCACGCATTGGTTCATATAGTTTACGAGCAGTGAAAGTATTACGTGCGTCATTAGCAGAAGTTGAGGCAGTTTTAACCGGACAGACCGAATTACTTGGGAGGGATGACACACCATCATCTCTACTTGCTCGTTTATTACCAGCTACTTATGTCTCAGGTGGTTCTATTCGACAGTATCCAATGCTTTATCATTCAACAAGTGAACAAGAGAAAGTAGCATTGGAATATACAAGAGTCAAGCCATATACAGCAGTCATACAAGAAGAGGCACAAGAAGAAGTAAAAAAGAAGGCCGTGGTGCTCGAGTTAATGGACAATCATGTGCTCTTGAGTTATACACTGTTGACTCAATTACAACGTTCTGATACGAGCAAGAAGACGAAAAAGGAGAAGGAGAACATGGTGGTAACTCCATCAGTTCCATCATTGCTGCATTTATATCGTCCAGTGAGGTCACCAGTGTTTGCAGAGAGAAGACAGGACTTTCGATTGGAAAAATTAGCGACCAGTGACTTTGATATCACGTATATTATCCAGGAGACACCACGGAGTCGAGAAGATGGAGACCTGCAGAAAGATGCAGTGCAGACAGTGACACTAGAGGTTGTACTGACGTGTTCATTGGAGTCAAGCCAAGTGGAGATGGTAGTAGATAACAACAACAAGAACAAGGCAAAAAAGGATCTAGAGCGTCAGCAAAAGCAACGAATCCGACACGATGCTTTGTGTTTGACTCGATTGCAGCCATACATTGATGCGTATCGACAGGAAAAGTTCTTACGACCGCAAAGTTATCAGAGTCAACCGCGAGAGCCACAGCATGATCCGAGAAATTGTGATCCGAACATGTTGCGTGGAAGTTTGTTTGCTGGTGGACGGACATGCGGTGTCTGTCACCGCAAATTTCGGCCGTTTCGGTGGAAAAGGCAATGTGAAGCATGCGAAAAGCTCGTGTGCAACCAGTGTGTCTCTGTTCTGGCTGTAACACCGTCGCTATCGCGACGCAAGAAACGCATGTGCTCACAGTGTATGTATAACGAGACGGCTAATGCCGCAGCGATGCACAAAGATGCTGCGGAGGCGATACATGATAATGCAAAGAGCTTGGGCAGCTCGTCTGGATCGGTTATAGCTCGCGCGTTACGTGAGAACTCCAGAGCGAATGTTTCCCAGTTTCCAAGCCTTGATTCACTGGTCACGCAGCACAAGTTGAGTCGAAAGGCAGCTTCTGTTGAAATGGGAGAGTCATCGAAGATCTTTGGCCGTCTTCAGATTGATTTTGGTTTAGACCCTTCGCTTGTTTCAACCTGTTCAGATATTCCTGATCGTCGACGTGCTCGGTCTCGGCAGTCACAGCTTTCGCAGGGGTCAGTTGTTAGTACAACGTCGAACGCCAGCAGCACAAATAACCTTGTTGCTGCAACCAATGACAACCGACGTGCGACGCTGCCCACCCACATTGATCTTTATGACGTAGAGTCCGCCGTTGTCGAGTCGATGCGTTCTCGACGTGCTAAGACTGTACTGCTCGACGACGCCGAGAAGAAACCTGTTACGCACAAGGCGCTAGACTTGATCACTTCTGTATCGTCTTCACCCCCGACATATTACTTGCATTCGACGTTGACAAAGGAAGTCAACTACGAAGAGGAGCAGCGGCAAAGGATGGCTATACCTCATGCAAGCTCATGTGAGACCTCCAAAATGGAGTTTATTCAGCTAACGACGCCTAAACCGGACTATGAACTGGACTTTAGCTGGTATAACATTTTCCCTAAGGCTCCCGTTGAGCGTACTGCTGCTGAGTTTTCCCGCGCGAAATATGTTGAGGTGACTGGATTAAAGCTGGATGCTCGCTCGCTTGTGTTCCTACGCCATGACAAAGCGCTGGCAGATCTGGCAAGTTGCGTGTTAAAAGTGGCTTCTCAGTGGAACACATGTAGCATCAATGTCGTTGGTAGCTACAAAGTCTATTGCCTAGTGACGGCTTTTAACAAGCCTGATCCCCTAGACCTTGATGGCGGCATGTTGGAGCTAGAGACTTCACCAGTGGTGGTCGACAATGTTGTTCCTCGGGAGGAAAGTGTGAGCTCATATGTAGTACATTACCGGTCACCTTTTTTCGTGGGTGAGATGGAGCAAGATTCACGCTTTCGAGCCCACCCGCTCCACACAGAACAGCGTGCTGTATCATTGCTAAGCTTCCCCATTTATTCGTCAGGTGCCGATGCCAGTGGTGTTCACTGTGATGGTGAAGCTTATTGTGTGGCTACATTGGACTTGTGGAAAAGAGACAATGTACCTGCAAGTAGCTACATTTCTCACGACTGGATGTCCAATATGGGTGATTTGCTACGCAAGATTAGTGCTCGACTGGAAGATGTGGCCCTGGAGTCGCACGCGGGTCTCATACCTCTCCCCCATTCTACTCACTCGCTTGGATCATTATATGATTCGAGAGGGATCGCTCGACATGCCGATTCGATCATCAACCCTTACGAGATTGGCAGCGAATCCATGGTAGATCTGTCATCTTTTTCTCAAGCGGAGACTATGGATCAACTTACGAGTCTTTCATATGCTAAAGTCCGTGGCGTTGGCCTGGGCGGCATTACTAGTCCTGGGTCATTGACATGGAAATACAATAGCGACAACGAGAGTACTACGTCTAGCCAAAGTGCCAGTAGCTCATGTAGCCAGAGCTCACGCTATTCATCACACCTTTATTCAGCTGCAGACATGCACACGACGATTGAGTCGTTATTGCATCAGGCTTCGAAAACATCCCAGTACATTAGTGAGACAGGAGTATTCATTTAGATCTGGTAAAATGTCAACAACAGTGCTTGATGAGTTGTTTGACTACACGGCATTTGTTATGCTGCTTTCTCAGGTGCTTGTAGTGGCGAGGTTCTGACAGACGCTTGACTCGTTGGAATCTTATCTATTAGTATCAGCCATACTACAGGATGAAGACATGGCAATGCTACCGGTCAAATGAAGTCAGCGATTCCGACACATAAGCAAGCGGGTACTGTGTTTGACCTATAAAGCTCCTATCTTTACTTACAAAGTTTAGAGATCGCTCACTGGCCTCCTGCCTCCATGAACGAAGCCTCGAGTCGCCATTGTCAGCCAACGGAGAGCAATATTAGTGTAGGTGCATAGTCGTCTTGAGTTCGGAGCTGACGTTCTTTGTTGCCTCTTTGCAGTCACTTGTGTTCGTCTCTTCAAGTTTCCTTCGTCAAAGTTCATCCACGATTGTGTCTCAAAGCCCAACTAACTTATATGATAGTACGCACAAAAATGGTCTCCTTGATCTTCTTGAGCTCGCGTGTTACCACTTTGGCGTGGAACTTCTCCACTTCTAGCGCAATGTAGCCGTGACGGGGGTCCGACTGCAGATACTGCGAAGTCACGTTAATGCCGTAGTCGGACAGCACCGAATGGATCTTGCTCAACACGCCAGGCACATTATGGTGCATGTGAAGAATACGCATGGAGTTGTTGCGAGTGGGCAGCATGTCAATCTCCGGGGTGTTTGTAGACGTTGTTGTAGAGCCTTCATTAATGTAACGCACCAATTTTGACGCTACTTCCACTGCAATGTTGCCCTGGGCCTCCTCCGTGCTGCCACCAATGTGGGGGGTGAGGATCACGTTTGGTAAACCACGCAGGAGCGTATCAAACGGCTCGCCATTCTTAGCCGGTTCCTTGGGAAAAACATCCACAGCCATTCCAGCAATCTTGCCGCATTCAACAGCGTCTTTGGCAGCATCAATGTCGATGACCGTACCACGTGCATTGTTGACCAATAGAGCACCATCCTTCATCCGTGCAATCGTCTCACGATTAATCATTTTGTTCGTCGTTGTTGTTGCTGGCACGTGGAGAGTCACGGCATCCGCCATCTCCAACAGCTCCTCTAACGAATCCACTTGCCGTGCATTACCTAGAGGCAGACACTTTATAGGGTCGTAGAAAACCACCTTCATACCTAGAAGTTCCGCCAATACCGATACTTGAGATCCAATGCGTCCATAGCCAACGATGCCCAAGGTCGTACCACGCACTTCATGAGAACCAGTAGCTGACTTGGTCCAAATGCCCTGGTGCAGCTCTGTAGAGCGTAAAAAGAGCTTACGATGCAGTGCAATAATCTCACACAATGTCTTCTCTGCCACTGACCGTGTATTTGAAAATGGAGCATTAAACACAGGAATTCCAATGGCAGCAGCATCAGAGAGTGCAACTTGGTTTGTACCAATACAAAAACACCCTATCGCCCATAATCGATGTTCGTGCCATCCGACCGTCTGGAAAAAGTCGGCATTTAATTGTGTCTTGGATCGTATACCTAAAATATGTGCATCACCACCAATTTGAGCAAGTTCTTCACCGGATAAAGCAGGTTTATACGTTTCGACGGTATATCCTTCTCGTTGAAAGACTTCCTTAGCACGAGGATGAATATTCTCCAATAGTACGACCTTAATCTTTTCCAATGGATACGTTACAGGTCGATTAATATAGTCAACATACACCTGTGTTTCATTGAGTTTTGTCGTAGTGGTAGGAGTTTCGACTGCTTTACATGTTGGTACTGAAGCCTGAAAACTAGAAAAGTGACGTCTTAGTATGGACTTTGTATACCGTGATGATATTGCTGTAGGTAGCATTGTTTAATAGAGAGAAAGTAAGGACAATTGAGCAAAAGGGGTGAGACCTTAGACGGTTGAATGGACGGATAGAGAATGAGAAACAAGCGACCACGTCGGAAAAATCCGATCGAGTTATGATGAGTGGAGTGAAAATAGCGTTAATGATTCAAGAAGGTCTGGTGTGGTCAACGTGAATAAATAGAATCGAAATCTGATGGTTTGAAACCATTGAGCTTGTTATTGGACGGATTGTATACTAGACGCTCAAAATGATCATGTATCGTTAAATGCCGTCACATCAACAATGTGCTCTTTCCAAATTTGTAGGGGCCGCATACAGCCCCTATTGCAAAGTACACTACAATCCACTTATCACGTGTCCTAAGCTTGAGAGCACAGCTGTGGTCATGAAGTGACTGTCTTTTCCGCCGAGACTAGTGGTGCGAACCTTTCCTCTCGTATAGTCTGGTGCCTGTACTCTTGCAAACGCTTTAAATCGACGTTTGAAGTTCTACTTGTCGTCCCTTCTTAGCACTCGTATACGGCTTCGACCTGTCTCTAAAGAAGGCCGTATACTTAGAATCTTTTGCGTAGTCACGTACTAGTTTCCACCAAAAATATTCTGCAAAACTGTATGCGATGGGGACTTTAAAGCTGTTCATGAACCTGTTTCTTAGTCGGTCCAGTTGATACATGGTTTTTTCTGGTCCACGCAGATGACACCGGCTATTACGTTAGGAGTATTACGATATAAAGTGAACTTTTGTCTCGTATGAATGTATTTTTCTTAGGAGTTACTTCTTTTTCATTTCTCATCGTTTGCTTCCTCGCGGCAAACCAGAGAGTTTCCCGTGGAACGTCGGCCCTTCGAGGCCAAATATGCCTTTCTTGCAGGGCATTTTGCCATCAAATGGCCTGTGCTCTTGCAGATATAACATCTGCGTACACTTTGTTGCGCTGCAGCTTGAAGCTTAGCTTCTTCTTCCACTTGACGACAGTCCATCGGAACAGACCCATCAGACGAGTAGCTACAAGTGGCAGGCCTAGCGGCCTTAAAGTTGGTCTCGGCATTCCATGCCACTCCAACAGCTTCCTCGAATAAGGACGGGTTTACCCGAAAGACTTCCGTTCTGGCAACGCCAACTCGGAGGCCCTCTATAAAGACCGTGACGGTCACTGCCTCAGGCAGAGAGTCTATGACCATGGCAGCAATGAGATTTCTCAACTCTTGCACATATGCCGCAAGCTGACGCTTGCCTTTGCGACACGCCAAAAACCGCGACCGATTACGGTGTGCTTGATTTGCCGGTGCATACTGCCGGGTCATCTGAGCTTTCAGATCGGCCCATGTCGGGAATACATATTGCCGTGATGCACCGCATGTGAACACCCACTGTTTGTCAAGCACCTAACTTGTCCGTGGCAAAGCCCACACGGTACGGTTCATAGATAATTTGGGCTATAAACGTATCCGACTAAATTGGCGGAACCAAAGCATAAGGTTGCCACCTTCTTTGCCGTCGAACTTATCGACTTCCCTTTGTATGGGTTTGGTCCGCGGACCACTTTTTGCGCCACAGTCGCCGTAGGCAAAATCTGCTATTGTCGCCATGGCAATCTACGCCTTTTCATGCTCGACTACAGCGTTAATATACTCTTTAAGCATACGAATGCGCTTGTCAACCTCTTCTTCGCCTTGGGCGATGAGGTATTCTACGACATTCAGGCAAGGGTAGAGAACATCTTTTGCAACCCTTCCTGTTGTGCCTGTGACAGGACAACCGCGAACATCTCTTTGATGTCCATTCTCACACACAGAGAAGTGGTCGCACACCCAGGTGCGGGACTGACTACAAGTACTACCAAGTGTAAGAGAGCTACTGTAGCAAATCTACTTATGTACTAAGTGCAGACAAGCTCCAAGAGCTGTACGTCTTAAGGTTCTTCGCCTCTCAAGGCAGCTGTACAAGCTTTGCGCCTTGTGGTTGTAAACAACCACGTCTTTCAGAGACCAGTATCAAAGATACAATTCCTTTTACAAAGGAAGAGAACGCTCTAGCACTTGTGCTATTCAGAACAGGTTTGGAACTGATTTATATTTATGTTTATCGTCTAGCACTAAATATAGAAGCACCTATCCTATACTTAGTGCTAGTCACTATTACTGGCTCTTTAGCCTTTTATTATTATGCAAACATGCATAGTCACTATACTTTAAATCAGTATAGTGACCACGTGGCTTTCTGCCACGATGTGACCCTTCGTACTTCAGGTACGGTCACATCACCTACTTTGTACCCAAGGTACAGCCACACCACATTGGTGTGGCAGGTGTGTATGTAAAATACACACCTTTGTGTAACCCCGTTACATCTATGGATCATCAACTCCATTGTTATGACTCCGTTGACGGCAAAAGAAGGTGTCCTACACGATACTATTTGCGGGACTGTGTCACAGCTCGAAAAACGTCAAGTGTTTGCTTACTCGACGTGCATTCACATCCAGACGAATAACGCCGTAAGCACGATGCCAAGACATTTGCTTTGTGCGTTACAAGGATGATACAAGTCAACTTGAGATACAGAGCTTCTTAGCGCTGCCGCTATACTCGAGCGCCCGGCTTTATTTAGGTATATGCGTGTGCTTGTTCTGGATGAACAGGTAGGAGCTTTACTACTGAGCTAACAAGATTGTATCGGATACATTCTGTATCTGTCATGAGTACTACTTTACCGTTTTACACATCGGACGCTGCTAGGGAAAAAAGTATAGTTAGGAAGTATGGACAATCGTGGAATGACGAATGTATTACCGTAGAGGAATGACGCCTGCTTCTTTAATACTTCCATTCTCAAGCTACAGCTGGTTTTTCTGTTCTTGAATCACGAATACTACAGATGGTTTGCTACTATTGAGACCAAATCATGTGAGAAGCGAGATCTGCATTACGACATTTGTCGCTGCTGTTTTTTATGTGACCCAATTCTTTGGAAAAGTTTTACGCAAAGTATACTGATCAAGAACGGAATCTGAAAGCAAAGTTGGAAAAAGAAAGTCATTCCTACCGTATCAACAAGTTGTTTACAACGTTACCCAAAAGATTGGACTTTTCGGCACAACACCTTACTTGGTTTCGAACCAAGTCGTTTCGTTTGAATATGAATATGAAAAAACTTCCTCGTCATCATTTTCGACCAGCGTCATCCTGCGTCATTTTCTTTCTGTGCACATTAGTACGCAGACTCATTATGCAGATGACGCTTTACGTGCATTCTCTTTGCAAGCGAGATGCATTCTTGATGACGATTGTGGAAGATAATACCAAGGATCGAGCAAGTCTTCGCTAATTACACTTGTTCCTGGTGCCAAATATTTGGAATTAAAGCACATTGTCTTTGTGCTGATTATCGGTTGCTTCAACCAGATGAGTGGATGCTCGCGCCCACGACGCTATGACAAGAGAAAAAAAGTTGGTAGGAGTAGGAATGCTACCGTATTTTTTTATGTTTTCATCTGCACAGCTTTAGATGTAAGAACATTGCAGCAACTACAAACTTCTCCTGAAATACTGCACTGCAAACGTTATTTCGCAATTTCTCGGCTTCCCACTACTCCGTCAACAAGCTGTCTTATCGCTTCGTGTTTGTCTTCTCCACACCACCATCAAAATGCGTCTCGCTTACATCCTCGCGGTCCTGATTGCGGCCTCTTTTCATACCACCACCATGGTGCTTTCTCAGACGTCGAATGCAGTCACCACGTCCAAGCGTAAACCCTTTAAATTCGATCCATTTAATTTCCGCAGCACTACTGTTCCACGCTAATCCATGCGTGACTCACCACGGCGTCTGCGAGCACCCCAGTAGTGGCAACAAGGCAACAAGGTGAACATGATTCGGGAAAGGATGAGTGCTGTCGCATTTCCTCTTGTTAAGACTGCAATTCAGTGTTCATTCTTTGTTGAAGCAGTGCAATCCCGGTACATCTTCAACGCGTAATTTCATATCGGGCCCGGGGATGTATCTGCCTCGACTACTTCTTAGCAATATAAAGATGGTCTTCAATCTATTGAAAACCGTCATACCTTGTTGTTTTTGCTTTCTTGTCTTTATTTCAATATAATCGTCTTGCACTACTTGAAGTCTTACCAACAGCAATGTCTATGATCGTCACATTGGCATGGAAACAGGCAAGACATTAGCAGCAAGTCATTGCAGCTTAGATCATAAGAACTCTGAACTGTGCAATTGTTTCAGCAATTGCAACGTATTATCTTGCATCGATTCTACGATGGCCATGGCCCATGAGTTAGGAAAGATAAACGTCAGTAAAGTTCTATTCCTGTTGGTTCTCACCTTCTTTGACGGAATGCCTTACCGTACGAAGCAAATTGACAACACCACATAACTAGCTAACTGCATTGAGGTTGCCACACTGAAGTAAGTGGGACGCAAATCTCAACTCCGCTGGCGTTTGGTCGGGCTTGATCTTTAAATTGCTGTTGGGCCTCAGATCGGAAAATGCGTTACTAGGTTGTGGTTTTCACCGGTGTGTAAAGCGGTAGTGCTCATTGTAAGAGTTGCATCATACTGTTAATACATAGCTTTTCCTACGCCGTCAATAGTTTGACTGGCCAAGCCTTTGCGTGTCATAGGTGCATGCACTTGAACTTGGTCATCACAACACTGTCGATGTAGAGCGTTTGACCCGTGGCCAACAGCATCCTTTTCCAAACAGATTCGTCGATCGTGCCAATGTACACACCAAGCGTATGTTATTATGCGCCACGCTACAGCACTTCATGCTACACATTTGTTATAGCTGAGAGCTGGTCTCATAGCACTTATATAAAGTGAGCATAAGGTCTAGATACAATACAGTTACTTGTGCTGCTCTCAAGTTGAGCAACCTTTGATCATGTTCAGTCATACGTAGCATCGATTGTCCGATAGTCGCGTCGAGGTCATATGACCGTACAGCTCGGTGAAAGAGAGCAAGCTAAAGTTGAGCTCTGTGTACATTTACGTTAAATACCACAGTTGATACAGCTTTGAGAGTCGTCTCCAGGTACCGTCGTCGATGGAATTGCACTTCTCATCGTATCTGTCTGAATCGGTGAGTCGTTTCACGGGGCCTCCCGCGTTCTATCGATCTTTAATCGAAGAGAGACAGGTTTGTATCCACGTAATAAAGTCAAGTCGTAGCTCTTAATTATCTGACATGAGTTGGACTGAGACGCACGACGTGCATGCTCACGCTACTTGCTGGAGCAATACTGTAGATCAACAAAACACGCATGGATTCGTGGCCAGCTATAGTGACATTATCATTTACATGATCCAAGAGAAATCGCTTGCTCCGGGGCTTGGAATGACAGATGAACTCAGTAAGACGTTTGTTGCGGTACCAAGACCATGTGACGAGCTTTCAAAAGCGATTCAGATACACCCGATTGATGAGTTAGACACCTCGTGAACAACCTGCCTCGGCTAGTCTTGCTCCATCCCCTACGGCTACACACCTGAATTCGTGAGCTACACTTGCGACCATGTCACAAAGGATTGAGGATGATGAGGCACTCAACAACACCATCGCCATTTCATACTCAACGACCTCATGATCGTTGACGCGACCGTGAATACAGCAGCATACAGAAGTAGAATAGTCGGCACCGTACGCAGCAATTCCCAAAGACGTAGACGATCACTACAGGGTAGACATACGAAAGATCAAGTCAAACGCTTTTTTTTCCATCTTTGTCAACAGCTTGCAAAGTGGGGGGAACCCTGTTAATGAGCGTAATAGCTGGCCTTGCTCCAAGTCTAGAGCCGTAGACGATTGCATCTTGGTGCAACATCCAACAATGCAGATACCCATAAGGCGAGGAGAACACAGACGACAGAACCATGTAACTCAACAACAATTCCTAATCGCGACTAAGCCGCGTACTATCGAACATGTTCTAAACCACGTACTACTTCTACTACGACACGATACACTGCAAGAAGCCGTTGCAAACGAACGAAGAACATGATCGCTGTTGGTCAACCAAAGCAGCCGCAAACCTGTTGCCAGCCTGTTGTCCCCCAACACCACATTCAATACTTTCACCTTCACTACAATCATCTTCAGCTGCTGTATCAAACTTGTTTCTTTGCCACTTCTCGTCGTGACCTGGCCGACTGTGACTCTTTCGCTTCTGTATTCCACGCTTCTTTTTCTCGCGTTTCGTCTTCGCAGCAGCATATCTCTTAAAAACCCTCGAATTGCCATAGTAATGACACAAGACTGCATCAACTTGGTCTACTGCAACGCGCGTCTGGCTCATGTACGTCTGCGCTGGTATCGTGCCCTTCAAGTCTACCTGTCTGTTCTCTTCGTCCTTTGGGTTAACTAAAGGAAGTTTCAGGTATCGACAAATTGGGTTGCAGCGGTGTGAGCCCAAGAATCGCGCAAAACCTCGCAGCGCCAAGTTGCCTTTTCCAAATTCCTTTCCGCGTCTTGAGTGAATTTGAGGGTCTGTATAGTGGTCACCAACTCCCTGAATATCGACTACAATAATCTGTTGTCCCGACGCTTCGTAGGTGAAATGTGAAAATGCCTGCGGTGTGTTGCGTTCCAGTTCGCTCACGTAGCCGAAGTTATTGTTGTGTTTGTGGTACTCGCCAGCAATGAACGGTTCCACACCGCAAATTGTACCGCTAAGCGTTAGGTTTTCAACGGTCTGGTCTCCAGCTTCACTAGCGCCGGCAGGAATCAACTGAAGAATACATGCCTCTAAGAACTCAACCCGACGTGGCGGGTTGTATGAGTTGTACAGCTTGGCGTACTTAGCAGCCACAGCTTGCATTTCTACGTCTTTGAAGTACGTGTCCGGGTTTTCGTTCGGATCAATCGCGATTTTAGCAACGTGACTAGTACACTTTGCTATCACACTATCCTCATAAATGCCGCCTACACTCGTAGTAGGGGGTGGTATACTAAGGTCCTGGAGATGGAACACTTGACGAAGACCGCCATTAGCAAACGGCTCCGCATCAATCTTTATTTTGATTCGCGACGTAGTCCACTGCAAGACACAAACAGCGTTAACTACAACATTTACAAGAATCGGCATAACTAAGGTTCCTCCTACCGTGCGTTGCTCCGAGTCGAACACGTGTTTAATGGCATCACGTTCGCGCAAGAGAGAAAAGTCAGGTGGTTCTCGGTAGACTATGGGTAGCTCCAATGACAGTAAATCCGACGTCTTTGCTATTGCTAAAGAACCAGACGCAACACATAAGCAGGCGAACACAACACATTAGTTGCATTGCTTCAAATGACTCAAATGAACAGTATGTTTCTAACATACTTTGATCCACTTCGCTCAACTCGCCCACTAGCTGTGCACGACGGTCCTTGTACTCCGTAATCGTGATAAACCCTTCCTGATACAGTTTTTGCAAATTGCGTAGTTTTTCCAAATTCTCCTCATCACTTTTAACCGAATACCATGATCCAGACTCTGATCTCCGTCCGTCTTTACTAGAAACCCCAGCTTGCTGTATTGCTAAAGACTGCGATGACCACACACCATCAAAGTGATCATCCATACATCGACCTTCTGCCACATCTTCTGCAAAGACCTTCTTCTCCAAATCTTCTTGAAATTCCACCGGCAATTGATCTCGAGCATTTTTACTTGTCTGCTGTCGTTCCTTCATCACACCCTGCTTCACTTTCCACCTCTCTTGATCATCAAAGCTCTTTAAATCATCGACATGGTAGAAAGAGTCGAGTTTGTGGAAATTAAACCATGAAAATGCTGCACTTGTCGTAAAATTCTCCGAACGCGTTCTCCGTCTCAGTGCAAGATGATCAGGTTCAGCAACTGGCTCATCATCCTCGTTTACTTCTCCAATATCCCTGCATCGAGCATTTAACCCGCATTTGTGTTTTTTGTTTCCATCTCGAATGTCTCCAAACTCAAAAAATCGACTGGTTTTTTTCGTCATCATTTTGCCACTAGGGCGTATAATAATGTCCGAGCTATGGAATCGACGACGCATTGGCACAAAATCGTCCTCTTTGTGCTCATCGTCCTGGGTTTTTTGCTCGTGGGTCCACGATTTCCATGATAATGTAAGGTTATTAGTTGGAGAATTCCTCACAAATTTGGGTTTAATGGGTTTTTTAAAAACAGCGACGACAAACGAATTGGACCGTTGAGACAGCACGGAAGTACAATTTAGTGATGCAGTGTCAGGTACGGGAGATACGACAACATCGTAGACTTTACTCTGCATTTTGGCGTCCTCTTTAATGGCGGGTAGCGCCATTATCACGGAAGAGAACGCGTGTGGGTGCTTGCAGCTTTTTTTAGTACAAAACTGGGTTTTTATCATAAACGATACGGATTGGACAAAATCGAGCCATATTTTGGAATATTTAGACATTTGTCGATTTCGTGTTGTGAATATTTCATTACTTATCGTTATTTTTTGTCTGAATTTTTAATCACAAAGAATTTGTGATATCTGTAGTTTCTAAATTTAATATAACCTAATCACACAGCTACAAAATTGTAGGTTACAAACTACATCATTTTATAGCTTTGGCATCGGTAATATATCAACTACTTCTAGCTGCATCATCGCTGTCAATACTTCTATATCTTACCGATCCGACTCTTGCTTTGCAGGATGGTTGATCTTAAGCTGCAAAAGGTGCTCAAGACACTTCTCTGCCTTGAAGAAAATATCACGTAAGGATACTAGTCATAGCAATAAAGCGAGCAACAACACACGTCTTCATGAAAATATGAAATTTATAAAAAACCTCAAGTGCTGGAAATAAATGACATGCAACATGGCTACAGTCTGACATATAACTTCCTTGAGTATGTTCGAGGGCACTGAATCTCCTCCTCCTCTTCATCTTCACTTGATACAGACACCACACTATTATTACTATCAATACTGCTGCTGCTTTTTTCTGTGCTTGAGAACAACAACGTTTGTATTTTTTCGTCCATGTAAATCTCGTCAATGGTCAAGTCACTGCTCTCGATTGCAGCAGCTTTGCAGAGTCTACAATCTGGAATGCCATCGGTAGAAACATGTGACAATTGATCCATAAGTGTCGGAACACTGACAGATAAGATGCAGACGTCATTTGGTGGAGTAAAGTAGTCGGTAATGTAGTCCATGGCGTCTCCATCGACCTCTTCGTCCGACTCGGAGACAATTGGCAACAATGCAAAGCTGTTGTCCAAATCGACCTCTTCGTCCGACTCGGAGACAGTTGGCAACAGTGCAAAGCTGTTGTTCACATCGTGTTCTTTTTGCTGGGAGTACTTGGTACTTATAGTGTAGTCGTCACCTGTAGACGTTGGTTTGGTATGTAAATGTAAGGTTTCAGCATCAACGATACACTTGGGTTCGTGGTCGTCTAGAATTCGATTTAGTAGCCAACATGCCGTCGTAATTGCTCCTGCTGTACCAGCAGCAACAATTGCTTTCGAGACTGCTTGCAGTGTTCGAGATTGCATTGTGAGGACTATGCACTGATACGGAACTTTGCGTTATGAACATGAACACTGTCATCACTTTCAAGTTCCATTCAATGTGGTGTTGTGTAATTAGTGGAACACAAAACCCGATGGTGGTGCCAGATATTTCAAATCAAAGCAAGCTCGTTCGAAGAAATTTGACGATAGTCAATTGTAAGGTTCAAGCAAGCGTTTATTCATTGACACTGATGGCTCAAACAAACGTCATGTTGTCGCCATGGTGTCTAGAGTTCGATAAAAATAGAACTGTGTCTTCTTCACCTCGACACAAGTAGTACAGAGCTTCGACGCTGTTGGTCTTCATTGTCATCTGACATAATCCTCGTCAAAGCTTTCTCCTCGTCTTTAAATATTGCTAGCGATTCGCGCAGTTCCATAGACTTGCGGTCAATGAAGGTCGCCTTCATCGCAGGTCTTTATTCTACAGTGAAAGTACAAGTTTGGGCGGTCGGAATGCCAGCCATGTAAGTTCAATTTAAACAAAAGCCGCTCGCCACTTTCAAGCAAATGCTGTTCCACGTCCGCGTTGTCTAGACCGAGGAACCGACACAACACGACCAGAACTTTACATGCACGGGCTCCGACCGGTGTGTTGTAGTTATGAAAGTGATGAATGCGGTAGGTTGTTCGCAGTACAACTAGCACAGTGCGTATTAATGTGTTAAGTGCTTGCATCCGCTGTGTGAAAATGCTTGTGGACTGGCGGTTGAATAGCGTCCGTTTAGGAAAATGAAGACTACCCAGCACCGCAAATAGTGACCAGAAAGGACACGACCCAAGCGCGCAACTGCACGCCTTCACATTAGTACAATCGGTTAGACGTTGTAGCTCTCGGTATAGCGTTCGACATTGACTGTAGGTGTGTAAGACCTCGTGCACTACTGGTACCTTGTCTTTGTCGAGAGTCGTGTGATCCAAGTCCTGTCGCCGAGCAGCTTCTCCTTCGTTGTGGTTTGGACTCCGTGGTCGGATGACAAACACATACTCGGGTGACGAAGAACACTCTCCTTGTGGATTTACTCGCGCCACTTGCGCGTCAATTTCTCGTAACATACAGGTCTTCATTTCGACTGACAGTCTGCTTTTTTGGTGGAGTAGGTCTCTTTATAATTGGAATGCTATTAGGAAGTGGCCAACCTGTTCTCTACCAGTGGTTGACAATGACGAGGATGCTAGTGTTTTCAGCAGTGTGAGTAGTAGACAAAGCGTTGTTCACACGTAAGTTCCGGCTGTGACGATGATAGACAAACACACCCGAAATACGTGTGTAACATCGTTCTAAAGACGCAGCGGTAAAGCACTTCGTCGTTGTGCTTGTTCAAGTCGGACCGTCTATCCATGCAAGGCAGAAGCGATACGCATTTAGTGCACCTTTGCTTTGAAATGTCAATCGGTCGTCTTTTCACGCGCGAATTTGGTCAAGGAAAATGACGAGTTAGCTGTAGTTCTGATACATCGATTGAATGCGGTCACCACAAAAAGACTCTCACAGACTTGTAAGACACTACACATGTCATCAGGTCAGGTCGGATAACGATCACGTAGTGTTTCAAGCGCAGTGTTCGTAACGGAATCTAGCTTCATCCGTACTTGATGATACGCAAACATCATGCAACGTAAAGTCGAAACATAAGCTCTACGCTATGCCATCAAAAAGACATCCTCTTCATGCATCAACGTCACGCTTTGCCAGATTGCGTGATTGTTGAAGACGATGCACCATTCCACAGGTTTGTGCACGCAGAAGCTCGAGCTATGTACTTGGTCAAACGATCCCCTTTGCGACTAATTCTCTTGCGTACCACTTATCAATCTCACTTCTGTTTCGGTGTGCTGGCAGCGGATTACAGGATGTCAGTGTGACTGATACTAAAGGGATATTGTTGAGCTTCTACCAGCTTGTACGAAGTCGCGCTTCAAAAGTCAAGAGTCAATTTCATTCGGTTCATCGTGATGTCTCAACTGCTTTGCCTTGCTTGCATCTAACCGTGTTTTGCGGATGAATGGTTGAAAGGAATAACACCTTGTAGTGGCAAGCTATTTCCATATGCAGCATCGTGATGCATTGAGTACCAACATCATGACTACACTTCCGACGAAGGTCAAAGTCTCCATAACTAATGCTCCAACGTAGACGTTTACAATCAAGCACCGACCTGGTGGTCCATGACTTTGTACTCTACCACGTATATTGTACACTTGACACCATTGCAATGAGTACTGACTAAATCGACTCCACTCATGTTGTTTGAACATGGAACATCAGGAATGAATACACGATGGCAGTCATAGCGCCTTTATTTCAGAAATATCCACCTTCCTCAACATGGTCACTACTAATACGATCATCACTTCAATTGCGACGCTCTTTGCCTCCCTTCGATGGGCAAAAGAGTAAAGTCACATAGACAACAAATAAACTTTGAGCAGTAATAGACAGCTGATTTTGGTGTTGTGTTCTAGCAGAGTTCGACCTCAACTTCAACAACTAGACACATCCAACAGCAAAATTAGCATATGATCATTCTCTACTGTGGCCAGCAAAACTGCCTCAATGAATGGCACCAAGAACTTGATCTACATCTTGTGTCGTCTTCATCCGACAGACGCTATATAAAAAGGTCACGTAACTCTACAGCAATGACACGACCGACCGGCCTAACTCTACTGCTTACATGTGGCAACAAGACTTTTTGGAAGCACAGCGTTGAATGGACGACAAGCTCAGCAATTGACGTGGCGCTAGTGCTCAAAGCGGGAGCGTGGAAAAGATCGCTCGTGTTGTTGTTGTTGAAAGCAGATGTAGCAAGCAATATGGTGTATGACGCATCAACGCATCATGTATCATCAGGCGTTCAGTTGCTACGGGAGGAACAGGATGTCTCAAAGCACTTGAGTATCAGTTCTTATCCAAGAAAGAGAGAGCGCAAAGTCCATCAGTCAGTATGAGCATTACAATGCTCAAACACTCGACAGATTGATAATCGAACCACCACGACTGGTTGCATCAGCATCACGTCACGATATTGTACAACAGCTTGCTAAAGGCAGACAAGTTGTAATTTTGATGTCTTCCTCATAGGTCCGTTCCAGGATCTGGTGTTCATGTAGAGCTTTTGTCGGCTGACGATCACTGGCCCCAAATATTAGTTAATGATTCGCCTTAGTCGCTGAATCCACAGTGTAGTACGAAAGATATCAAACAATCATACGAAAGATTTGAGGACGTGTATGTTTGACATACGAGCATGGTAGTGCTTGCTTTGTCTATCAGTCTGTCAGTTGTCGCTTAAACGTAGCAACAGTAATGTAACAATGCATTCTATCGATCATGATGAACCAAATAGCACAAGACGATTGTGCACTAGCTCAAACTTGAACCTTGTCATACCATTTCGATAAAAAAATGGTGACGTAAAGATTCCTACCGTTTGCACGACATGCAGTCAAAACTACATGAAGAACTGCTAATAAAGACCGCTAGAAACTGGACAATGCTTTCACTCGAGTCTTGACGGAATGGTGCATAAGTAAATAGTCGCGTGGTTTGCTATTGCGACGACAGCTACAAGGCTGATCTGTCCAGTGCGTTTGTTGTCAATTGACAAGACCTTGTTGAAAAAAAGCATGACTCGGTAGCGTTGAAGCAGGAGACAAGAAGGTATGAGTGAGGTCGTGCTGACCCGAAAAACTGGTCTTACTTAAGCATCACAAGACATTGGACACGTCTCTCACTATCAATCAATTGCATTGTGCTGGATTTTTTCCACTCAATCCTTTCCACACCATACTAGCGTGCTTACGATTCCCAGGAGTCAAGAGCACAAACAACAGTATGGTTGGCTTCCTGCAATAACTTTGCTGCAACCCTTCACTTCATGACACAAGAACACGTTAAGAATCCACGAATTGGATTTTTCTGCTATCAGAAAATAAACGATGGACAACCACTGCCCAGCCTCGTTCATTCCAGGTGTCTGTCTGTCTGACTAGAGAGCGTGTTGGTTTAAGAAGATTAACTAACTTTGTCTCACGTTTGAAATCACATAGAAACACACAATGACGTTCATTGCATCATCATCATTCGTTGTCAATCAATCAAATATATAGATACAACACCATCACCATCTCATTGTTCCTTTTGCATTGTATCACACACACACTTGAAGCACTTTTCGTTGACAAAGAGTGAAGTAAAGTCGTTGAAACATGGCAATCACTGCTGACGTGAAGAATCAATTATTTACAACGGGTCACTATGGAAATGGTCAGCTAATACGTCTTCCATCGGAAGCATCAACGTCATCCTTTCACGCATTGAATGGAGAAGACATGACAGTGACAAATACTAATGGACGAGCATGGACTACGGAAGAACATAATCGGTTCCTAGAAGGTCTTGAACTCTTTCCGTCGGGACCGTGGAAGGAAATTGCAGCTCATGTGGGTTCACGCACCACGCGACAAACAATGACCCATGCACAAAAATACCGTGAAAAGATTGCGCGAAGAAAGCGGGGATTGCGTTCGTCTGTGAAAGACACACACTTGTTCAAACGACAACGTCACCACCACGAACGCAAGGCCAAGCACAAAACAGTGAGTGCAACAACTTCACCTTGTTCAGTTGCAATGCCGTCAGTGAGTGCTAGAAGAAATGTGGATTCCATGGATGCACACGAATACCTTGTATCGGAACCTGTGGTGATACAATCTCAATACGAAATCTACAATGATCTGGATCCGATTTCAAACATTGAAATCTCGAGCTTTGCAGCTACGTTAAGTGACTATGACCCTCTCCCCATGTCCGAGGAGGAAATTGACTTTATTCTTGAAGCAGCTACATTCCAACCACCAACTTTCCAGACCTACCATAGCTCGTGCTCGGATGACATTTTCTTTCAATGACCAAGAAGAAGAAGAAGAAGAAGAAGCGTATCATAAACAAGAAGCCAAATGATGTAAGAGGGATGTATTCTCAGCTATTTCAGCAACAATCCGTACAGATTTCATCACGTGCGTGATTAGTGTCAAACCTTACGGTATGTCGTCGTTGCGTACTATCAAGTACCTGTTGAAGAAGACACAAGGTAGTGAGGGAAGAGAAGGTTTTGAATGAAGTACAGTGTAAACAAGATCGACATTGTTCTCAGACTTTGTTTTCTTCTTAGTAGTTTTCTCTATGCTTGGTAAAGCATATTCCAAGAACATCATGACGCTAGTGTTAGTTATCACACCGATAGCAGTACTTCTCTTGCGTGTTGCTAGGTCACGTGCGGTTACAGTACATGTATGACGATCCTACAAGCTGCAACACAAGCGCCGACTCTAATCCCAATACTTGATAAGGCCATCCCAACCGCACGAGATCACCTTACTAGGCTCAAGTGGATGCCAGATGGCGCCCATTGTCGGTCCTCGGTCATGAGCTCGCAGCTTCTTTATCATCTTTGTCGATTTCCAGTCCCAAAACACCAGCTTGCCTTCTCCATCGCCTGACATGACATACTGGCCATTGGGAGAAAATCCAATCTGGCATGCGTATCCAGCATTCTGGTGGCCCTTAAACACCTTCTTACGGTTAGCCTTGAACTTATCACGTGCAGAGTAGACATCGATCTGGTTGTTGAGTGACTGGCCAGCAAAGAAACTACCGCTTGGGTGAAGGGTCACGGCTGGCATCGAGTGCATGCTTGGCTCTGAAATGTACTTGATTGGCACCGGAATGCCCCATTCCCACACCAGCAGCTTCTTGTCATCGGAGGTACTCACAAAACGCTTGTTGTCGTCAACAAACGTAACTGAGTTTACAGCCTGCAAGTGATGGTTATATTCCTGCACGATCTCGCCCGACCGAGTGTCAAACTGCACTACCATGTTGTTTGAGTCACCCACAACAAACTGCGTGTTATCCAAAGGATAGAACTTGACGCAGTATGGCACCCGTCGTGTCGTAAATGAATTCACTGTCTGTCCTGTTTCCGTGTCCCACAACTGTATGAATCGATCAAAGCTGCAGCTCAAGAACTGCCGTCCGTCAGCACTTAAATTTATGCCACGCACGGCACCCGAGTGGCCTTCATACACTCGTTGACATTTTCGCTCATTGTAGACGTCCCAGATACGCACAGTGTTGTCCATGCTACCGGAAAGCAATAAGTGACCATACTTGGGAAATAGCTCAATCGTCTGCACACCCTTTGTATGTCCTGTCCATTTGTGCACACAACGCTTGGGCAAGAAAACCTGGTGATCGCCATCGTCAGGTTTCAACGTACGTGGAGGCTCCACCCATGCACGTCCTTGATAATCGTACTCGTGATCTCCACAAAACGTCGACTTTCCTTCCAGTGCCTTCTGTCCTGCCTTTAGTCTAGCAGGTAACAAATGCCCCGTTTTCTTCTCAACCATCCGGTCAAAGTCCATTTCATCGTCCATTTCATCTTTTGCTTCAGCCTTGCGTCGCTTTGCTTCCTGATGTTCCTTTAAAAGTGCTTGTTGCTGTTCACTCAATGTTCCCTGCTCTGCATCGGTCAAGTATTTGCCCTTATCATTATATGGTGCCCATATACTACTCGTACTTTCATTTCCATAATCTTCTGCAGCTCTGCGTTCCTTGGCAATTGTCTCGTTCGTTCTCTTTCTAGTGTTTGGTCTGGTAAAAACATTTTCTTCGTCTGGTGCAACAATTGCATCAACAAGCTTCTCTCCAGGTAATGCTGGAGCAGCTGGTGGAGCTCCGTTGACTCGATTTCGAGTGCGATTACGACCAAGAGAGTGATTAAATGTATGATATTGTGCCTCAAAGCTGTAATCTTCCATAGCTGTTTGTTCCACGACACCCGTAACGATTTCCTTGCCGCTTCCAACGCGTAGTGGATCCATCATCGCCACTTCCCTTGAGTTTGTACTCTGTGGTCCAACAAATGGAGCTAAAGTCGACTCTACCGGCAAATTTACAGTCAATTGTGTTTGTGTTCCAGCTTTGAGAAATGCCGTTTTGTTTTCATGTTCTTGACTGTTAGAGACTGTCATACAAGGTGAAGAATCGATCACAGGTAGGAAAAAGACTGGAGAATTCGTAGCATTGTTTATGTTCGATTGTCGTGTCTCTTCCTCGTCACTAGACACGTAGATACCAAGTGCTTCCATGAGAACTTTCGCTCGTCTTTAGATGGCAAATAAGTATGGTGTAGTACACACGATTTAGTGCTGACAACATAAAGTAGATCAGATTCCATGTGGTTCACACGAATCCAATCGTTTTGAAATATCACAAGTGAGAGGGAGGAGGGATGACCCATCATCGAATGTACAATTAGATATCGCTCAGGTTATCTCGATTCCGTGAGATTTCAATCAATCAATCGTCGTCACGTCATACGTCACACGTCACACATGGCAAGTTCGTTGCATGCTTCATCACCTTATATCATAGGTCGTCGTGAATCGGAACCTGGATTTTCTGATACTACAACACCAAAAGCACTTGATATTGCTGTACCCGGTGGTTTTCGACGTCATCATTTAACCCAAACAACCCAACGACCACTTGTGTCAAGAGCATTACGTAATCAAATTATTGATCGTATTAATAGTGTCTATGATCCATTTATTGGTAGTATCCTAAGTCAAGATAATGATGAATATGATGAATTAAATGTCGGTGTCCGGGCTCAAAGTCTTTTACTGACACCAAAATTCACATTACCGGTATCTCGAGATTCACGACGTCAGGAGTAAGTTATAATTTTTTTTGATCTATATATTGACTGACTATACAAAAGTTACGATCAAATGAGCCAATAATACTTATTGTATTGTATTGTAGTTACATACCTATATCATGGTAATCTATTTATAACTTACCACACTATTACATGTATCAGATGGGGAACACCTACTGAGAGCACGAAGTTATTCGAATCGGGATCAAGAAGTGAACCAATTGAAAGTGACAAGACAACAACGCTATGGCATGCTTTACTTACATTACTCAAGTCATTTGTCGGGACTGGTATTTTATTCTTACCCGATGGATTTCGTAGTGGTGGTATTTTATTTTCTCCCTTCTGTTTAACACTTGTTGCAATCCTAACGTTATTTGCCATGTTGCGGTTATTACAATGCCGTCAACTTGTGGGTGGAACCTATGGATATATTGGATTTCAAGCTTATGGATCATGGGGACGTCGTATGGTGCAGAGTTCGATTATTCTCATGCAAACGGGATTCTGCTGTACGTACGTGATCTTTGTGGCACAGAATTTATCCCAAGTAGTTGAGTTTTTGGGATACAATATCAATCCATCCATGCTGATTCTACTACAATTTGCTATCTACGTCCCATTGTCTTGGATCCGATATATTAGCTACTTTTCCATCAGTAATCTCATTGCTGATGTGTTTATTCTATATGGACTTGTGTTTATATTGGGCAATAGCTTTTGGCTCCTTGCTACTCAAGGTCCAGCAAAAGATGTGGAACTATTTAATCAACAGGACTATGCTGTCTTTATTGGAACATCGATCTTTACATTTGAGGGTATTGGACTCGTCCTACCAACGCAAAGTTCGTTGAATAAAGCACGTCAAAAACGTTTTCCACGCCTGTTAACATGGACAGTTGTCGGTCTACTGTGCTTTTACTCGTTCTTTGCTGGTATCAATTACATTACGTTTGGAAGCCGCATTACTCCCATGGCCACTTCTAGTCTACCACGCAATGGTTGGTCCAGTTCTGTACAATTTGGCTATGCGTTTGCTCAGCTCCTGTCGTATCCGTTATTCCTCTTTCCTGCTGTGAAGATTATGGAGGAAATGTTAGGGTTTCCAAAACGTGCATCCGGTCAAAAAATAGCCAAGAACTGTTTTCGTGCTGTGGTTGTACTTGGCACTATTTTTGTTGCTTACTTTGGCCAAGGGCGTCTCGATCTCTTTGTCTCGATTGTCGGCGCTTTCTGCTGCGGTAAGTCCATGATGAATAGCTCTAGTCGTTCTTTATTAGTCTAATCTAACTGTTTGGAATCGTTGCGATTAGTCCCACTGAGCTTGGTGTATCCGCCGTTGTTTCATTTGAAATTGAGCTCAAACTTGTCATGGACGTGCAAACTTGTTGACATGTTTGTGATTGGCGTAGGCTTGCTCACTTTCTTCTACGTTACGTACTCGAACCTCCAGTCATGGAGTAAGTAGCTGGGTTTCATGCTGCACACGTGCTATTTCGTCACCCGTTTTGGTCGCAACACGATTCATTCACAACCACAAGTACACGTCAAATTTGTCGGATATTAACACTACCGTGGCATGATACAAATCGACAACACCAGTTCAGCCAACCGTTTTCAGCGCTTCAACAGCATTGAACAAAGCATGATCGATTCATTCACAAGGCACGGTCAGTTAAGTTCATGGAATTGCTTTTTCAATATCTCTTTTACCAGATTTCAAAACTGTCTTTATTATTCTATGCACTCAAAACATACGAGCAAGAAGAAGAATCCATCCTCAACGTAATCATGCAATGCATTTGTCATGCGAGAGATCCCATGTGAAACATTGCTTAGTCATCCTCCTCAACCTTTGGCGCGAGGTAAAAACGCATATAACCCATGTCACCAATCGCGTATTCAACAACCACTGGAATACCAGGTGACATGCTTAGCGTGACCGTCTCGGACAATGGCGTTGCTTTCGCAAACATATTTAAATACCGGAGAGCAAACGTCAGTTCAACAGGTTCTTCCATCGTGATAATAACACGATCACTCTCTTTTTCAGCAGCTGTATTGTTCTTGAGCGTAATATTTCCAGCACCAAGATCACCTGATACGGAAAACTTGACCCCTTCTTTTCCCACTGAGATTGTACATGTATCTCCCATGGTTTGTAAATCACGACAAATGCGTTGGAATTCACCTGATGGCATACGGACCGTTGCTACATATTCCGTACCAGGAATACCCAAATGTTCACTATCAATGTCCATTAACTTGAGTGAAAAGTCTGAGACACGGTCACCCGCTACGATACATGAACAACAACATATAGAAAGGGTAAGTCCACACATATATAGGACACGACTGATAGAAAGATAGATAAATAGATAGATTGTTAATTCATAACGTACATGTTGCTTCAAACATGATATTGAGTGCATCACCATTATCTTCAGCAGAGAGTGATAGTGCGTCATCATTACCGGAGCATTTGAGAATCTTGGATAAAGATGCAGTCTGTATACCCAATGAAATGTTACGGTCACAACGGTAATGCTCAAAACCTTCGGCACGGAGCAATAGTGACACAAGAGACACGTGTGAACCATCCATTGATTGCAGTGCGAGTCCTGATTTAGTGCAATCAATATTGCCCTCGGAGATAAGATCCTTCATGGCCTCAACAATGAGCTTTACGATACGGCCTTGGGGAAGTCGAGCCTCAAACATGATTGCGTAATGTCTTGTAATGGAAAGATTGGTGATAAATTGTCGACTGAGTGAGTCTCCATACGCTTGGTTTTGGTTGGCAGTAGGATTTTCGCGCGAAAAAATAGTAGGACGGAAGACAGATGGATGTACGACTTGAAATTTGTATAAGTATGGAAGGAGTGGACTCTCTCCCGCCAAAAATTTGACCTTTTTTTCAACAAATAAATGAATAACTACTGGCAAATGACTTTGTTGCCTTGAGGTTCTGCTAAAATGCTCGTAAGCAGCAAATGATGCCACTGGCAATGCATTTCTATCGCCTCTAGTAACTGTAGGACCTCTAATGTTTCTTTACTGTAGCATTGAGATGCTCAAGTTTCTTCTTAGCTCGTGCTCGTTCGCATTCGTCCATTCGATCTCTCGATCGAGCAGTGCCAAGCATAATGGACTGAAGCGCAGATGCATTTGGTGCCGTGCGTCGAAAGACGCTGCGAGAAGCTACAGTATCATCAACGTCACATACTTCACGATCTGTCGCTTCTTTGCCTTGGTGGTTGATACGCCGCTATACAAAAGACACCCAACGTCAACGGTGTTCCAAACGTTAACACGAGATAACTCTGGAGCTAGATGATGTACCTGAGTCATGAAACAAGTGTCGTTGCATTCAGTATCTTCGTCTTTATCCAGAGCATTTGAAGGACATACGTGAAAGCGTCGGCGTTCATGAGTACGGATTATACAGCGAGGACTTTTACGACGGTGACAACGTCGTGCATTATGGCTTCTAGAATCGCGACTGCGGCTTAAAAAGTGGCTATTTGTATCAGAAGAAGACGAGATGGAGTATGAACGACTACATGATTGCTTTCGATGTCGCCTTTGGGGTGAACAGGAGCTTTGGCGGCTGTCACGCTTTTCCATGGACTTGTTCTAATCCGCTATTGGTGTCACTCACGCGAGGGATACGAGATGTATACCACATGTCACAGTAGCTAACATACATAGGCGGGACAATAGGACTGTACTAGAGTGACAAGTTGGCACCTTCCGTACACTTCTGGCATCAAATGACCCATTTTCAGCCCAAAAAAGTGTCCATTTTGTAGTGACCGTCATTCTTGGGCACCTTCTAGTCACATAAACCGACCGAAAACAGTGATTTGAGGTCCCTGACTTCAACTGCCATTAATGGCGTCTCCTTCCATTCCCTTTGTACTGGATGCAGTCCATTTACAATTCCCGTCGTACAAGTTCTGCTGGTTCATCAGATCTTGACAATGTCAGAGACGCACAAGTCCAGCAATTTCCAGCTACAGAGATTACTATACCTTCTTTTGATAAAATAGACGGTACGTTTTTCAGCTATACACCATCGATTTCATCTTATCCGGCAGTATGTGCATCTGATGAACCGTGTGGACTGTATACTTCCGGATATTTGCAACATTATGATTCCAACACTGCACCAAAATGGCAAGAACGCTATTGTCGACTAGAAGAGAAGCGACTTTTGTGCTACAAGAAGGAAAAGGACCGTACGCTGCTATTTCAAGTCAATTTTACTCGAAACTCTGTGCTTCTTTATCATAAAGAAGCAAGCGACGATCATGTAGTGAATCAGCAGCAGCAGCATGCTACGAATCAATTGGTGGAAACAACTAAGAGCTCCCTGTCACTTTATCCGGCAGCAGTTCACATGGAATCAATGACGTTTCTTCTTGACGGTGTAGAGATTTGTGGCCATTCAGTAATTGGTCAAAATATTGAAATACCAGTGAGATTCAAGACAGAGAAGGAAGGTGACTATGTGACATGGATCACGTGTTTCAATGATGTGATTCAACGACGGGAACGTGATGCTTTGGTTCAAGTGACAGTGGAAACGAGTCAGAGTGATTCAGATGTAGAGAACATGGAACTGCCAATTGCGTTACGAAAAACAAGTAAAAGTACGACGTTGGTGGATTCTCCGAAGCGTCGGATTTTAGATATGAACGGTCAGGAAGGTGCAAAGATGCCACGACAGACTAGCAGCGCTTTAGCTGGATTCGAGAGACCAATGGAGTCACAGAGCTTGGTCAACGTTGAGACGTACGAAACATTTCGATCCAGGTACTTGCTGATGAAGGAGATTGGTGAAGGCTCGTTTTCTATCGTTCATCGTGCTGTGAATCGCTTGACGGGTCACGTGTGTGCGGTAAAATGTTGCAAAGTGTCACAGGCTTTGGAAGAAGAGGAACGACTACTACGCACTTTATCGCACCCAAATGTCGTTAGCCTTGAAGGTGTTTTTGAACGAAACAAGAATCTTCACTATGTCGTTATGGATTATTTAAAAGACGGAGATATGTGCGACCAGCTTATTAAACGCCAGCGCCTTCCTGAACCTGAAGTACGACGTATCATTCGGCAAGTCGTTGAGGGATTAGCATACTTGCACCGGCGCTGCGTTCTTCATCGCGATATCAAGCCGGAAAACATTTTAATCCATGGCAACATGGTAAAGATCGCGGATTTTGGACTGGCAAAGGAACTTGAGCAGCCGACGACTCTGCTTCAGCGCAGCTGTGGCACATTGGAATACGCTGCCCCTGAACTACTCTGTGGTCAGCCATACGGTCTCAAGTCTGACGTATTCAGCTTAGGCATCGTGCTGTACGTGCTGCTCTTCGGTTCGTTCCCGTTCAGCGTGGAAACGGCAGCTGCTTTAAAGTGTATGGACCCCTTTCCGACAGATGTTGACGTACGCGATATGAGTTGCCTTAGCAGCTCAAATGTGCAGTGGAGAATAATAAGCCCTCTGGCACAAGATGCGCTGCTGAAGATGCTAAAGACAAACGACGCTGAACGCATATCCGCTGAAGACTTGCTGGGTCATCCTTGGTTTAATGACACGATGGCTGGCATGTCGAAATCGATCAGCTGTACCCCAGACGAGTTGGAGCATTCACGTATTGAAGACTGCGAAGCTATGGGGTTTGCCGAGCTGCTGTCTCGTGGCTTTCGGGTTATCAAATATGGCAACAAGGAGTCAACGATGCCTTACGTCGCTTTGTTGAGTCTCAATTTTATGGAGGAACGTATCAATTGGACAGCTCATGAAAATCCACTGCCGACAGAGATGGTGAAAGACACTAGTAAAAACACGATAGTCTGCTGTACCGGAGGAAGTCGTGGCATCTTTCTTCGTGATATCAAAGAAATTCGAGAGGGTCACACGACCAAGGCGTTCCTGTCTCACAACAACATCAAGTCCATACCGCCACCCGAGCTCTGCCTATCCATTATTTGCCCATGGAGAACTCTTGACCTTGCGGTAGAAGCTCCAAGTCAACGGGAGTTTATGGTTCGTGGTCTTCGACGCCTGACAGCCTCTCATGCCTGATCGCAGTTATTTTATGCGAAAATTTCGGCTGCCTTCAGGTCTAACGTGCCGAGCATCATTGCGTAAAGATTGGGATACCATGAGCAGTAAAACAGCGCATATGGCTCAAGTATTGTTCCTAGAACGTCCTTACATCGTTTGAACACAACAAATCCAGCCAAGCACAGTGTAATATTATACCACAGCTGTCAATTAGTCAATCGCGAAGCACTCAAGTCCTTCGTCCCTTACATTTTGCTCAGGTAGTCCGTGCTTTTCTAAAAACTGTAAGCAAAATATAAGTTGCTGTAAGTATTCACGAAACTCCAAAACGTGTTCATCGCTAAACATATGCGGTGAGAGCATTGATGCCAAATTGCTTTCGAGATCTTCACGAGTCACACCAAACGGGAATAGACGCACAATTGATACGGCGTACATAAGAAGAAATACACCACAGTCGGAACTATTACTCTGCAAAGGGATCTAACACAGCAAATTTCAGCAAAAAGGTAAGCATACTTAGGCACCACTCAAATCATGAACGCTAGGCAAGAGCTTACGTTAGGTTCAACTAAACCAATGCCATCCGAGTCAAAAACTGTTATAACGGTCTTTTCCTCACTCAACCCGTTACCACCAATTGCACTTTTCGCCTCCGACATGCTGCCAGCAGAACTCGAAGCGAAGCGTACTTTATATTCACACTCCAAATAATTGCGCAGCATTTTGGCAAACTTCTTTTTACGATGGCACCGAAGTGAGTCCAGAAATAAGATACAGGGAGGGTGTGCCACCCGGTCCTCTTGACATGACTTCAGCTCCTCTTCCTCAACCTCTTCATCAACACAGCTACCATGACATGCTAGCGCAAATGAACTTCTGTCACCTCCGATACTGCTGCCATGGCTATCCACCAAATCCACGACCTTTCTTGGATCCAAGTTGCACGCGTCTGTATTCACTCGGCGCCTCACCTTTCGATGCTTTTTGATCACGGCGGAGCCTGGGTTACAGAAAACAGCAAGGCTCCAATGGAAACTAAACCGCATAGAGATGTAGAGTAGTTAGGTTTGCAGTGCCAATACCAACCTTCATCTTGCAAGCTACAACACCTGTCATTTATAGGAATAAATAGAAAACGCTTGTCAAAAAGGTTTGTCTCCTTGTGCGTCCAGCGAGCCACTCGAGTAAACCGTTCATCCGGATTTGCAGTCGACAGTTCATAGGTACCGTTCGTGCCATTCAACTGCGAAAAGAAATGTGAGGTAAAAAAATACATTTGCTGCTGCTGTAAGGAATCCAAATGCCGCCACAAAAATCTGTCAAAGCACGTCACATGTTACATCTCGCCTAATATTACACTTATCGGAGCAGACGTACCTGAGATAGAAATCAATGATGTTGTCGTTCAAGAACTCCCCGGGAACAAGGCGATCGACATCACCGAGTGTCAACGATATCCTTCCCAGGTTATCGGAGCCATCATAAGGATATTCAAGTAATCCTTCATTCCGGCGACTTTCGATTCTCCTCCGTTTCACCCTTTCATTGTCAAGCCAACTAAACGATGCTCCTTTCTTTGGCTTTGCATTCTCGCTATGCTTTTCATTTTGCGGCACTACTGAAAATGTTGTAGCATCAGTTGCTCTTACAATGCCAGATTGCTCACGTGGGGTGCGAAGTATGGTCAAAGTTTGTTCCCCGCTTTCTGCACGTGACCCACACTTCAGTTTCTCTGTACCAACATCGTCAATCAAAATCGGTGACTTCTCCTCACCAGAGTCAGGATGCAATACTTCATTGCTATTACCTGACAGCTTTAGCGTTCGAGACTGTTTCGTATTATCATGTTCTTCAACATCAGAGAGGCTACTGTCCTCTTCCAAAACAGAAGACCGCGCTGTGGGACGGAAGAACGAAGTCACACTACCAAGCGCTTGTTTCGCACCTTTCCCCATTACTTCTGCAAAGCTGTGATGTCGAGCATCACAGAACGAGCTCTCTTTTGTCCCGTCGCGGTGTAGGTACCGCGACATCCTCAATTCGTCGAGTCTCGTATACTGTCGCACTTCACTCTCTCTGTATTCATTTTCACACACACATTAGCCGATAGCAACAAGTTCGACCAAAACACATCACCAACTCCTTACGCCAATTTTTCACTAAATAAATCCGCAAGCATCGGATAGCTATCAGCCATACTTTGGCAGCGCATATAGTCCATCACTTCATCAAAGAAAAACACAACGCCATATACTTGTACACATCCAAACAAATCACACAAAACGACACAAAAAATCGATTAACAAAAGCACACAACACAAAAATCAAGCACAGACCTCGACACACACATATCACACATCATCATTCATCGTACTTGATATTGTTGATTCTTCTTCTTTTGTGTCGTTTTCTTGGCAAACTTTTGCAAAAATAGGATCGTAAAAACCAGCAAAATCCGATTTGCTACCTCTTTCATTATCCAATTGAAGCAATAAAATATAAGGTGGATGATCAATTTGTGAAAAGCTTTGCACACGTAGAGAGCATAAGAACAAACAAGAAAACAAAAAAAGTCAGTGGTCCATCATGTCAAGTACATAGAATAACTAGCACAAATTCCTCGCTTATTTATCTTTTTGTATCACGTACCAAAACCGTCTCATGTGCACGTACATCACGTGTCCTTGCCATTGTAGCTGTATGTCCTTCCAAATTTTTAATTGAATGTGATCTTGTCGAAACTGAAGCTCACAGCGATCAAATTGCTTGCTACAAATGCTCGTACGAGCTGCAATAATCCTCTTGTGTCGTTTCTCGGTAGGAATAGAAGCAGCAGAAGTAGCAGCAAAAGAGAATGTGTCTTTGCTACAAGCAGTAGAGATGGAGCTCAAGCTCGAACTATCTCGCTGCTGTTGCTGCAGTGTGAATGGCGTCTTCATATTGAAGAAGAAATCAAAGTGATTCTTGTGTCCTAATGACTGCTTGGGCTGAGAGAACGCGTGATTGCTGCTATGCTCTTGTTCTTGAACGTCTTTGGCCTTGTTCTTGCTCTTATAGTGTTTTTGCTCTTTTTGTAACGGTAATATTGTGTTACCGGTAATACCGGTGATACCGGTAGTAGAATTTGCATCGAGATGAAAGAGTGATGGTCGAGTGTAAATCGACAAGTCGTGAGGAAATGACAGCTCCATGTCGTCTGCAGAGTCATCAACGTCGACGGCAATGGGACTATATGCAGATGTGTGGGATGATATGATAGGTGGACGATGACCAGTAGACACATGTGAAGCCATGCGTGGCGATAGAGAATCGAGACCAAGACGCATGGTTGATGTATTCAATGCTTGTGTTGAATGCATGTAGATGTCATTAAAGTGAAGAATGACACCAAATGATGGCGACACGATATACTGTGCAATACGAGATAGATACATGTCTTTATATTATAGAAAATATATGGACTAAGGCAATATATATCATAAAAGAAGAAAGGATCCATCGTCTACTTTTTTTTCCTCTCCAGCCGTCTCTGCGAAAATATTGTACATCTCAACTGTACTGCAAGATGAGCGACTGATCATTGACCTTCTGTGTAAATCTGGTATGCTAAAGCAGGGCGACAACGGTCCACTCTCTCACATTTTTTTATTGTTCGGTCCGTAACGCATATAAAGGCAGAAAAAAGGAACCCAGACGAGAAAACTAGGCTGCGTAACGCAATGCAGTTTGTACGTCGTGCGGCTGCACACCTTAGACTCTATCAATGCCATCTGGGCGTAAAACGATGGGAAGAAGAAGAAAATAAGGTCATTCTTGCTCCACGTGAAATATTCCATACAAAAACAAACGTGTCCTGTCGTAAGTGCCCTTTCATTGCATAGGGCTGGGGTGGAGGAGGTGAAGAGATTTCCATGCAACGTATACCGTGTATAGTCTCATCCGGCTCTACGTCAATGTAAACATTTTCTCTTTTCCATGCTGCTGCTACGACCATCATCGTCATACAACAAACCGTCTGCCAGTTAGACAGCGCCACTTGATGCTAACAATGCTGTTTGACGCGACGTAGGTAGCAAACAGCACAGACGGTCGACAGCTGCCCTTTTCAAATCGAACCAGCTTCCAAGCACTGCATTCCCAAGAGATAGGGTCATTCGACGATTGAACAGTCACCTATGATAAAGAGTGAGTCTCACTCACTCACTCACTCCTACTCGAGAGTGGGTTGAAAAAGGCTCGGGACTAATACAATGCATGCATGCTGCGTATACTGGATAAGGAAACAAAAAATGATGCTCTCAACTTTGCAAGAGACAGCTTCCTTACTGGTCTAAGAATGTTTGCACGAGATTTACTCGATTTCTTTATGCCTCATTGTAAAAAGGCCAAACTCGCAATGGACTTTTGATCTCAAAGGACGAGGCTCCATCCAGCTGGGTCAAAAAAAAACTTTTCCGTCTTCCTAACGTGACTATCGCACCCGACTGACGATGCGCTCGAAACGCGGCCAACCAGGAAAAAGGATCTGTTTGTGACGGCAGATTTGCTTTGCACGGCTGGCCAGTCGGTTGCAGTAATATTTTTCGCAGAGTCATCCGATTTGCTATAATTTGCCATAAGCAGTTACACAGCCGCCCCAAGTCTTGTGTTTTTTCCTAATTGTTTCTGTATACTCTTTCTGTCTCCCCCCCTGTCCCAGAATCAAGTAAGCTACTGCGGTTTTTCTTCCCCCCCCCTCCTCCTCCTCCTCCTCCTCCCTCCATCGCAGACCCAATTGCACCTCATTTCCGCTTTCTCTTCAAGACGCACAGTTGGTCCTCGGTCTAGTCACGTATTTCACTCTCACTCTCTCTCTTTTTCTCTCTCGTCTTTTCATCCCTTAGAGGTTCTTTCTTTTTACTTCGACATTATGGTGACCAAGACCTCTACTTCTTCCAGTACACCTGCTGATGCAAGCGTGTCGTCGGCTAGTGCGACGGCTACAGCTACGGCTTCGTCTAGTGTCGTAGCTACGACGCCGTCACCGGCCTCAAGCGACTGTCTGAAGTCGCCTACAGGGACGGCAACGTCGTCCAGTGTGATTTCATCTACGGACTCGACGTCTCCGTCCTCTACTCAGAGGTACGCATGCGTCCCACCAGCAGTTTTGCAGAGTGTCAAGACGTCATTGACCTTTCGAAAAAGTTGCCTTAGGCGCTCCAAGTCATCGACGCTGCCGTTGTCGGTCTTTACTGAAGACAATGATACTACGACTGTGATGAAGCAAGTAGAGACGAGTGAAGAGAAGAAGAAGAAGGAGGAGGAAAAACCTGTCCAAACGAACCGTCGACGTTGCTGGGAGTGCAAGGTAAAGGTAGGCTTGACTGCTGTAACATGTCGTTGCGAGTACACGTTTTGCGGCAAGCATCGATACGCCGAGGAGCACAAGTGTGTCTTTAATTTTAAGACAGCGGGGAAGCGGAAACTGAAGGAGGAGAATCCTATTGTTGTGCCTACAAAAGTTGCTCGGATCAACTAAAGTGAACAACTTTTGTTTCTTTTTCTCTCTTTCCACTGAAGTTCTTCCACATGTTGTTGTGTGTGGGATCTTTGTTTGGATGATGGCGTGCGTTATGCGACTGGTTTCGTGATCAAGGACTTTATACACGACACGTACAACTTTATGCCCACTTTTCATTTGATAGAAAACAAGAAGTTATATAAGACCCGTGCGCCGATACTTCTCGACCTATCTCTCGGTCGTGTTGACGTGCTGTTGTTGTGCGAGCAACGTAGGACGCACGTTTGCTGTGATTCTCAGTAGGTTTATAGTATTAGGTAGACGTGACTGCTGCAGCGTTTCCGCCACAATTTCAGCGTAGTGCACGCATAGTTCAGCGCGGTCCAAGCTTGTAACGAACTTTGAAGTATAGTAGTATATTTGCCTTCCTAGTGTTGATTGTGTGGGTGTGTGTGTCTATTTCAGCTTTTTTAATTGTTTGTGAGCGTCGTGTCGCGTCGTGTCGCGTCACGGACATTGGTTGCGGCATCTTGTTGATGGGAGAAGCGAGAAGTTGGCTGTAATGAAACAAGCACAAGAAATCAGTGTGTTAAAACAGGCCAAAGAGATGGTCGACGTGGCACAATCAAGAAAAGGGTGCAAAAGGACAATTTCAGTGCGTTTTCCTCTCCTTTTCTTACTCCATCTACCTATCCGGTTGGTAAAAACGTGTATATACACACGTTCGATTATGTATACAGGCGTGTACAAAAAATAGAACTCAATTGCCACTATGTAAATGATAGTTTTGTGCTCAAGATACATACATCGTCACATCATTTCCTAGTCAAGAAACTACTCACAAGTCGTCAACCATGTCCACCCCATTATTATCGTCGTATCTCGATATTATTTTCAACCCACTTCGACGGCCTGCATCGATGTTATTCCTATTTTATCGTATGGTGTCAGTATACGAACTTTTTACAAGCATTTGATGCATTTTTAGTCTCAAACCGCTACATTTTGTACAACTTATATAGCGGGATAGGGTTAAGTAAAAGTGAGCGAACTAGCAACGCTTGACGATGACGCGCCGAGAATGGTCATAAACCAGAAAAAAGAATGAGAATACTGTTAACCAAAACCGAGAAATAGAAATAAGGTTTTTCCTTGGACGAGATCAGAAATAGAATACCTTATTAGAATACCGATTATATTTAGTCTATCCTAAGAAAAATAGAGCTGCGTTTGCTTTATTATAAAGTCGACCACGCATCACGACGCAAGATACTTAAATGCAAGTAATGGGAGTTTATCTACCGTAAAAGCAATCATATCACTTGTATTTGCTTCCTTCTATGGCAAATTCATGGACTTTTTCATCTCATGCCACATACGTGCTCCAAGCTTTTGAGGAAGAGGTGAAAGTGGAGATACTTTCAACTGTTTCTCTGCTTTTTGTCCAGCTTCTTTCATATTGATGGCACAAGCTTGATCCCAATCTAAAAACGCCTTGACAATATCCGGCATTTCTGTTGGAGCTTCAATGATGTCGTCACTAGATGGATTGACTTCAGCAAACAATTCATGTGCAGGTACTCGACGTTTCTCTTTCATAACGACACCACGTACAAGACCTTCCGCAAATTGTTTACCAGTGGCTGCATCTTGAAATTGATGCAATATATAAAGCCAATCATTGTCCCAATAGACTACTTGAGTCTTAATCTCATACGCTTGAAATGGAGAGATTGCATGACGATAGCGAATTGCCTGTGAGCCAACAAGTATCATACGTCGACTCTTGATAACTTGCCACAAGAATCCATTGGCACTAGAAGAAATGGTGTGCCACAAATGAAAAAAACAGGAGAGCGTTAGTGTGTTATTTGTACTGCTGCTAAACAAAGCAGTGCGTTTTACAATCGATACAGCAAAAGAGAGAGAGAGAGATTGATACATACGCTGAAAAATGCCAACGAGCGAGTTCCATACTGTAGAGATACGACGCATTGTTAAGATGAAGATTCACGTCACAATCCAAGAACCCCGTTCGTCCTTTCCAAACTGATGGATAACTCACACCCATAATACCTTTCTTCATTGAGCGTTTGTTCATCAAGCGATACATGAGTCCAGTACTGATGTTCCAGAACGTACGCAGCACCATTTATTTAATCTTGTACAAAGTATTATAATATATAATGAGCGGATCCGAGTACTATTTCGACAAAGTACTTGAATATCGAGACAAAGGAAAAAAATTTGTCAGTTAAATGCGATTTTAAACCATCACATTCACATTTTGGTCTTATACACAAGATCTAGTCACTTTTCTAAAATTCATGGTCGTATTGAATATAGAAAAAGGGACAAACTACAAATCAAGGAACAAAAGAAGTTTGAAAGCTGAAATTTGTTGAAGAATCACAACTTCTTCTTTTTCATATGGAACCGACTGATTCTTCAGATTTCTCACGTGTCTCTCCCAAAATATCCAGTTCTTAGCAATAGAATCTACCTTTTTTTTTTTACCATCTAGCTTGCCCCATTCGTTTAGAAATTTGAGACCATAATGTGACATAACGATTACCCATACCGTACAAATAGAAATTTAGAACAGCTACAAAAGAATCGGAATACCTTTTTTTTATGCATGGTCCAATAACTATTAATTCATAGAGGTCATCTAAGGTGTGTTCGACAAGTGTGCAAATATCTCATTGGAAATGAAGGAATTTGATGGACCTCATGTGCATTTATTCCATACAGTATTTTCTTACCATATGAGCCAATGTGCAAGCCAATGTTCGTGTCCTGGCTCTTGACGTCGAGCAAATACCTTAACCGTTTCATTGTATACGCAAGTAATGACGCCCGTACCACACATCCAATCAGCCACGGGACATAGTCAACTGATGCCGTTCCAAAAGCAGACTGAAGTCCAGGTACGTAGACAACAAGCACGACAATCAAGAGCTCGGTTGCAGTCCCAAACATCATGACCGTGTTTTGAACCAAACTCGTTCGAAACACGGAAGTGCATCGAGTTTTTGCAACCCAAATGTGGAAAAACTGACAAACTATCAACGCAATGTACCATGAACCACGTGCTTGTTCAAGCAAATACATTTGTTCTGCTTCTTCAAAGCACTCTCCATCCACAGTACAAAACACTTGAGCATCAGTTTTCCAGTGGTGATCATCACTCATAAACAAGTCCGAGAACGATATGCCGTGACGCCAAAAGGCGGTGCCATAAGCTGCTAGACAACCTCCAGCATTGATCATGCCAGCGATAACATATGAGTACACTAAAAGCGCATTTGACAAAAGACGATCCTTGTGTAAATCACGCGGAGGGCGCTTCATAATGTCCTGTTCTGCGCTTTCATAGGCGATTGAAATGGCGGGGCCAAGCTCTGTTCCAAGATCGATACTCAAAATTTGCAGCGATGTCATGGGGGGGGGGGGGGGGGGGGGGGGGGGGGGGGGGGGGGGGGGGGGGGGGGGGGGGGGGGGGGGGGGGGGGGGGGGGGGGGGGGGGGGGGGGGGGGGGGGGGGGGGGGGGGGGGGGGGGGGGGGGGGGGGTGGGGGGGGGGGGGGGGGGGGGGGGGGGGGGGGGGGGGGGGGGGGGGGGGGGGGGGGGGGGGGGGGGGGGGGGGGGGGGGGGGGGGGGGGGGGGGGGGGGGGGGGGGGGGGGGGGGGGGGGGGGGGGGGGGGGGGGGGGGGGGGGGGGGGGGGGGGGGGGGGGGGGGGGGGGGGGGGGGGGGGGGGGGGGGGGGGGGGGGGGGGGGGGGGGGGGGGGGGGGGGGGGGGGGGGGGGGGGGGGGGGGGGGGGGGGGGGGGGGGGGGGGGGGGGGGGGGGGGGGGGGGGGGGGGGGGGGGGGGGGGGGGGGGGGGGGGGGGGGGGGGGGGGGGGGGGGGGGGGGGGGGGGGGGGGGGGGGGGGGGGGGGGGGGGGGGGGGGGGGGGGGGGGGGGGGGGGGGGGGGGGGGGGGGGGGGGGGGGGGGGGGGGGGGGGGGGGGGGGGGGGGGGGGGGGGGGGGGGGGGGGGGGGGGGGGGGGGGGGGGGGGGGGGGGGGGGGGGGGGGGGGGGGGGGGGGGGGGGGGGGGGGGGGGGGGGGGGGGGGGGGGGGGGGGGGGGGGGGGGGGGGGGGGGGGGGGGGGGGGGGGGGGGGGGGGGGGGGGGGGGGGGGGGGGGGGGGGGGGGGGGGGGGGGGGGGGGGGGGGGGGGGGGGGGGGGGGGGGGGGGGGGGGGGGGGGGGGGGGGGGGGGGGGGGGGGGGGGGGGGGGGGGGGGGGGGGGGGGGGGGGGGGGGGGGGGGGGGGGGGGGGGGGGGGGGGGGGGGGGGGGGGGGGGGGGGGGGGGGGGGGGGGGGGGGGGGGGGGGGGGGGGGGGGGGGGGGGGGGGGGGGGGGGGGGGGGGGGGGGGGGGGGGGGGGGGGGGGGGGGGGGGGGGGGGGGGGGGGGGGGGGGGGGGGGGGGGGGGGGGGGGGGGGGGGGGGGGGGGGGGGGGGGGGGGGGGGGGGGGGGGGGTGGGGGGGGGGGGGGGGGGGGGGGGGGGGGGGGGGGGGGGGGGGGGGGGGGGGGGGGGGGGGGGGGGGGGGGGGGGGGGGGGGGGGGGGGGGGGGGGGGGGGGGGGGGGGGGGGGGGGGGGGGGGGGGGGGGGGGGGGGGGGGGGGGGGGGGGGGGGGGGGGGGGGGGGGGGGGGGGTGTGGGGGGGGGGGGGGGGGGGGGGGGGGGGGGGGGGGGGGGGGGGGGGGGGGGGGGGGGGGGGGGGGGGGGGGGGGGGGGGGGGGGGGGGGGGGGTGGGGGGGGGGGGGGGGGGGGGGGGGGGGGGGGGGGGGGGGGGGGGGGGGGGGGGGGGGGGGGGGGGGGGGGGGGGGGGGGGGGGGGGGGGGGGGGGGGGGGGGGGGGGGGGGGGGGGGGGGGGGGGGGGGGGGGGGGGGGGGGGGGGGGGGGGGGGGGGGGGGGGGGGGGGGGGGGGGGGGGGGGGGGGGGGGGGGGGGGGGGGGGGGGTGGGGGGGGGGGGGGGGGGGGGGGGGGGGGGGGGGGGGGGGGGGGGGGGGGGGGGGGGGGGGGGGGGGGGGGGGGGGGGGGGGGGGGGGGGGGGGGGGGGGGGGGGGGGGGGGGGGGGGGGGGGGGGGGGGGGGGGGGGGGGGGGGGGGGGGGGGGGGGGGGGGGGGGGGGGGGGGGGGGGGGGGGGGGGGGGGGGGGGGGGGGGGGGGGGGGGGGGGGGGGGGGGGGGGGGGGGGGGGGGGGGGGGGGGGGGGGGGGGGGGGGGGGGGGGGGGGGGGGGGGGGGGGGGGGGGGGGGGGGGGGGGGGGGGGGGGGGGGGGGGGGGGGGGGGGGGGGGGGGGGGGGGGGGGGGGGGGGGGGGGGGGGGGGGGGGGGGGGGGGGGGGGGGGGGGGGGGGGGGGGGGGGGGGGGGGGGGGGGGGGGGGGGGGGGGGGGGGGGGGGGGGGGGGGGGGGGGGGGGGGGGGGGGGGGGGGGGGGGGGGGGGGGGGGGGGGGGGGGGGGGGGGGGGGGGGGGGGGGGGGGGGGGGGGGGGGGGGGGGGGGGGGGGGGGGGGGGGGGGGGGGGGGGGGGGGGGGGGGGGGGGGGGGGGGGGGGGGGGGGGGGGGGGGGGGGGGGGGGGGGGGGGGGGGGGGGGGGGGGGGGGGGGGGGGGGGGGGGGGGGGGGGGGGGGGGGGGGGGGGGGGGGGGGGGGGGGGGGGGGGGGGGGGGGGGGGGGGGGGGGGGGGGGGGGGGGGGGGGGGGGGGGGGGGGGGGGGGGGGGGGGGGGGGGGGGGGGGGGGGGGGGGGGGGGGGGGGGGGGGGGGGGGGGGGGGGGGGGGGGGGGGGGGGGGGGGGGGGGGGGGGGGGGGGGGGGGGGGGGGGGGGGGGGGGGGGGGGGGGGGGGGGGGGGGGGGGGGGGGGGGGGGGGGGGGGGGGGGGGGGGGGGGGGGGGGGGGGGGGGGGGGGGGGGGGGGGGGGGGGGGGGGGGGGGGGGGGGGGGGGGGGGGGGGGGGGGGGGGGGGGGGGGGGGGGGGGGGGGGGGGGGGGGGGGGGGGGGGGGGGGGGGGGGGGGGGGGGGGGGGGGGGGGGGGGGGGGGGGGGGGGGGGGGGGGGGGGGGGGGGGGGGGGGGGGGGGGGGGGGGGGGGGGGGGGGGGGGGGGGGGGGGGGGGGGGGGGGGGGGGGGGGGGGGGGGGGGGGGGGGGGGGGGGGGGGGGGGGGGGGGGGGGGGGGGGGGGGGGGGGGGGGGGGGGGGGGGGGGGGGGGGGGGGGGGGGGGGGGGGGGGGGGGGGGGGGGGGGGGGGGGGGGGGGGGGGGGGGGGGGGGGGGGGGGGGGGGGGGGGGGGGGGGGGGGGGGGGGGGGGGGGGGGGGGGGGGGGGGGGGGGGGGGGGGGGGGGGGGGGGGGGGGGGGGGGGGGGGGGGGGGGGGGGGGGGGGGGGGGGGGGGGGGGGGGGGGGGGGGGGGGGGGGGGGGGGGGGGGGGGGGGGGGGGGGGGGGGGGGGGGGGGGGGGGGGGGGGGGGGGGGGGGGGGGGGGGGGGGCGCGCCGCGGCCCCGGCGGGCCCCCCCCCCCCCCCCCCCCCCCCCCCCCCTCGCGTGCTTTCGAAACAAAACGATTGAAAAATAACTTTATTTAGAATACAGTCGATGTTTCCAGGATAGGAGATCTAGCTAATGAGTAGTATGAAGAAAGCACCTGGTTGACTCTTTTTTTTTCATTGTCCATGCATGTCTACTACTAACTGTTCGAACATTACGTAACTATGTTGGTCACTAGTAGTTTAGTGTTTCGTGTGGTCAGCGGATTCAAACTTCGTCGACTGACCACTTGCTGACACGTTCAGTGTCTTTGTCTTTTAACGAACTTTCACTTGAGCTCATGAATGCGTCTAGCAAGTCTTCGGATCAATAACCTTTGTGCATTTTTGAATTTGTTCTCTTGACGACCATATTCGAGTAAGATGCCGAACCTGTATACCATTGCGGGGTTACTATCTCCACTAGAAATCTCTACACAAGAAGACAATATGTTAGTCGAACTTACGGAAGCACTTACGCAGCACAATCTTGCTCAATGTAGTACCGTACTAGTAACGAAACACGGTCATGCTGATTCAAGAGCGTGGAAAGAACTTCGACATAAAGATAACATTCGAATATACAAGGAACGCCCACGATCGAAATCCATGCCTACTACACCATCTCTCTTACTTCTTGGAAAGATGCAAGGTAGTCTCGACGATGTCATGTACGCTATCATGACCCCCACTGAAGAGTCATTGAAAATAAAGTCAAGCTGTATGCAAGACGGCGCGATTGACCACAAAGTGTTGCGTGAAATTGTACGACCGAGCACGGATAATCCGTTTCGCCATATTAGCATTAATTGGTCGCTCTATGCCGACGCGAATCCACACGACTACGTCTGTGTTGATGCTACGGGCATCACCCAGACATTGCGCGGTGAGCGTGTGGGTTTCCACCTGTCGCACTCCGTCGCGTTTTCACCACTGCCGGACTTTTCAAAATCCCACGGTGTCGAGCGCGGTAACAGATCCATCTGCTCCCTGTACAAAGAGACACCAACAGGTGAAGTGGAGTGCTACGTACGTGGATTCTTCAATTTTTGTAACAGTGACAATGAGTTGATGACAACCATCTATTTACACGCTATTGCAAACCAATGGTTATCCTTTTCTCGCCAAGTCGACTTTGCGCACATGAAAAAACTAGTGTGGCGTTTGCGACGCAACAGTAGTAGCTCCAGTGACTTTGTCATTGCTGCTGCTGCGGAAGAGCATAAACGGAAGACACTCGAAGCGACTTTGAGTCGACACGATTCTTGTCGAGTTTGTCGCAAGACATTTGGTTTGCTTGATCGCAAAAAGACTTGTAAGAACTGCGAACAGGTCATTTGTCCTCGCTGTCGTATCAAAAAGCGCGTATGCGTCTTTGCCCCGGATCAACGGACCTTGTTAGAGAAAAAACGAAGCTTTTGTGCCCCATGCATTGAACAAGTTGCAATGAGCAACGCGCGTGTAATTGCTCAAGAGGAACTTCAATTGCAAGTGAAAGATCATGAGGATGGAGTGAACATTGCAATGGAACAAACATTTGCTTTTTCCCGACAACATATAACGTCATGGGTGACCATGAACGAGTCTGGATGTGGCTCATGTTAAAAGACGTCGCATGTTGTTGTATTGCAATATGACAACCGACGGTCTATACAATGTAAGAACAATTACTGTACGGACATTTACATTCTTATTATATTGTCCCATTAGTCGAATACGTATTCTAGCAAACGTTTGAAAGAAATGAAGCAATAGCGTTGAGCTGAAAATTTTTGCCTGCAAGATGTCCGGAGGAAGGATGAAATGGCTACAGACGAGAAAAAAAGCTTTCTTGTCCCTTCCAAAATTAATCGGAAATTTGACATTGTGACAAAATAAACCTTTGCGGTTTGGTGAGTTTTCAGCCAAGTCCTTTCAACAAATTTTGATCGGCAGAGAATAAGTAGCGAGCGAGCAGGGCACTTGGTCGACACTGTCATTGCTCGATGATACCACCAACTACTTGGTAGGAAAGATGCCAAAAGCTGTTCTAGTACGTGGAGCTGCATTATGCAACCACGCAATTCCCGAGATGACGGTAACCGAAAACAACACGCTAGCTACAGACGTGTCAATGGATACCATGGATGACAAATTGACTGGTGTATTACGACCTCTGGTGGTCGAGCTTCAGCTAGCCCGTCTCAGCTCAGCATCAAAGTAACTTGTCGGGTCACAAGCGGCGCAAATGTGTCAATAAGCGGCAATATATACGGGCAGTTCATCTGACATTGCACTTCTCCGTTGCGATGCTACTACCCACATTGCTGATGTTGCACACATCTGCCACATGACGCCATTAGCTCCCGTATATACAAACAACAAACACCACAATTAAGGCTGCACACATCGCGAATATATCTGCTTGTTTGTGCGCGATTTAGCATGTCCGACATAGCAGAAAAGGTATGTCACATGAGCGTAATATCCCGAATTGCTGAGATGTTTCAGATTCAAGCTGTTCATTTGATCAGAAACCAGCCAGCTTCAATAGTGCTGTACAGACCAACTGCTAGGGATACTCACATTTGTACGTATCTACTCGTGCTCGAAAGCGACCTTATACACGTCACTATAGTAGTCGGCAAAATGCACGTCCAAGTCCTTACGCAAGTACTCTTCAAGCTCGTCAAAGTCACGCTTGTTGTCAAGTGGCAAAATGAGCGTTTTTACGCCTGATCGCTTCGCAGCAATAGTCTTCTCCTTAATGCCACCCACTGGCAAAACTTTGCCCACAAGCGACAGCTCTCCTGTCATAGCAAGATCAGGCTTCACGGTCCTGTTCAATTGACAAGAACGTTAGTGAAGCGATCAACCAACACGATCATTAAAAACGACGTACTTGTTCATAGCTAAAGACAGTAACGCCGTCACCATAGTACAACCAGCAGACGGTCCGTCCTTAGGTGTTGCTCCCTCCGGAACGTGCAAGTGCACTTCATTCTCTTCAAAAAACTTGTTCTCCTCCTCAATTACGCGCATCTGGCTGCGTGCAAACGTGTGTGCAATTTTTGTACTCTCCTCCATTACAGATCCCATCTGGCCCGTTGTGATCAGACCAGAGCGCTCGCTTTTTGCATGTACCGTCGTGGTCTCGATGTAGAGAGAAGCTCCGCCCATGGCTGTCCAGGCAAGACCCATCACAACACCCGGGAACTGTTTGTCAAACATGCGATCACTAAAGCAACGCAAAAAATGATCAGTATATACAACAACGGTAAGTTTTGCGCTCATAGGCATACTTACGACGTGAAGATGGGCTTGCCAACGTATTGTGACAGTTTCTCAGGTGTGATCAAGAAGCGGTCCTTGTCTTCCGACACTTCTTCTCTATGCTCCTCCGCCGCAGAAGTCGGTTCACCACCCTCTTGAATGTCAGCAGCCTTGGTGCTCTCAATGTCTCTAACAACCTCAAGGGCAACCTTGCGGAAAATCTTCTCAACATGTTTCTCTAGATTTCGGACACCATTCTCGCGACAGTACTGCTTGACTAGCATCAAAATAGCATCGTCTGTCAAACCCAGCGGCTCCGGCATTGTCTCGGACTTCTGCAAACCCGATTTCTCGAGGGCCTTGGGCACAAGGTATCCCTTAGCAATTGCTAGTTTCTCCGGCGAGTCGTAGCCCGACAAACGCAAGACCTCCATTCGATCCAGCAAGGGACCCGGAATAGTGTCAGTAACATTAGCGGTACAGATGAACAGAACGCGAGATAAATCAACAGGCACATCCATGTAATGGTCGACAAAGCCGCTGTTCTGCGAAGGATCCAGAAGCTCTAGTAAAGCTGACGCAGGGTCACCTTGATAGCCGCGCCCTAGCTTGTCAATCTCATCGATCAAGATCAACGGGTTAGAGCTCTGAGTAGATTTCAAGCACTGAATGACTTTACCCGGCATTGCACCAACGTACGTACGACGGTGACCTTTGATTTCAGCAACGTCACTGAGACCACCAACCGAGAAACGGAAAAACTCGCGGTTCAGCGATCGAGCGATGGACTTGCCAATGCTCGTCTTGCCCACACCAGGAGGACCAACGAAGCAAATTATTTTGCCCTGGACATCACCTTTTAATTTGGATACCGCAATAAACTCCAAAATTCGTTCCTTAATATCTTTCAGCCCATAGTGGTCTTCATCCAAGATTTGCTTGGCCTTGGTCAGATCAAAATTCTCTTCCGTCGCCTTGCCCCACGGCAATTGTGTCAGCCAGTCCAAATAATTGCGTGTGACATTAAACTCTGAAGAGTTCTTTTCCAACATTGACATCTTGTTCAGCTCGTCTTCTACCACTTCATTAACATTATCTGGAATACTACCCGGTGCGAATTCAGCAAGACGTTCACGATACTTTGTGATCATTGCATCCTTGTCATCCTTCTCCATACCAAGTTCCTTCTTAATAGCCTTCAGCTGTTCCATTAACAAATAATTGCGTTGATTCTTTGACACTTTTTCTTCCACCTGTTCCTTGATCGTCTGTTGCACTTTACTCAACTCTAATTCTTTCGTAATGAGTTCTAATGCTTTTTTCAATCTTGCTTCACACGACATTTCTTCCATCACCTGCTGTAGCTCTTCACCATCGGCTGACGTTACCGATGCTGCAAAATCTGCTAATTTATATGGATTATGAATATCAACTCGCTGAGAAAAGTACTGCATATGGTCTTTAAATAATGGATTCATCTTGACAATCTCACGTAATGTAGCCACAATTTCATTCGAGTAAGCTCGAATCAATTGACTTGTTGCATCAAATGGTAAATTATCCAAATTACTAATATTCACTCGAACAGGTGGACCTTGATCTCGAAGATCACTAATAGTAATGCGACGCTGTGATACCATAAGAATTTGTATTGAAGTTGCATCAAAGGGCAACATATTATCAATCCGTGCAAAACTGCCCACATGATGAATCTCACTGAGATTTTGTATCAGATCATCTCCACCACTGGATTTAATCATATCGAGATTAGATTTTTTCAGGAAGACACCAACATATTTTTGACCACTTTCTTTTAGTGCTACAAGAGCACGTGTCACATCTGGATTAGTAATCGTCATGGGTAAGACAACTCCTGGAAAAAATGGACGACGATGGGCCGGTATCGCTAGCACATGAGGATAAGTAGGTGCATTGTCACCTTCCCCTACTTTCGCCAAGTCATGATTCATAACAACTTCAACACTTGCATCTTGATTCTTGTTGATGTCATCATTTACAACAGCCTTCTTGTCGTCTTTGTTCTTGCTGTCGGTTGAGTAGAAAGCACCACGCGTATAACGGCTACGAGAAGTAAAAGGATTCGACATTGCATGCTCCGATATAGATACAGATCGATATTGTAAACAACGTAGTGTGTTAATTGGATGAAGTAGATGAACGTGAGAACGTGCCATTGCAAAGCGACGTAATGCCGTTGCCATAGTCACAGACAGTGAGTGGTGAGTGGCGCGGATAAGCCGAAAATGCGGAATGACCATCACTCTCTTTTAATTACGTACCGTACATAAAATACTTTGAAATATTCTGTTCATAACCAACCTCGGCTAGAAAACGTCCATGGTCTATTGTGACTAATGGCTACAGTATATGCTGTATCGAGAGATTTAAGATGCTGTATGAAAGGGTCTTATCGAACCTCAGCCTATCAACGAGATGATCATGCAGCGCACGAGCGGCATTGTACGTCGCCTTATGGAACAAGAAGAGGTGCAGTGTGCATTTAATCGCCATGTGATTATTGAGGTAGATACTGTAAATGACCCTGACGCTTTATAAAGACAAGAATGTAGCTTGATAGTATGATTTTCGTTGAATTCTTTCATTGGCAATAGGTACAAAGTGTGCTGAATGAAATGGTGTATGACGTCGAGAGCTGTGCACATGAGTGTGAACTTGTGAAACTGAAAAGAAAGCTTGATATAAAGGAGAGCTCACTCGTTGAGTACCAGGAGCGCGAGAGCAAGTTGTTACAGGAGAGACAGCAAGTTCGTTTGTATCTTTTGTTTGAGAGCAAAAGAAGGAGAGTTGGGCAATAACTTTATGATTTGGATGAGTTTATAGGCTTATGAGTATGCTACTAAAGTAGAACATGAAGGTCGAACGATTATGTGTAAGTTGAATGGACATTTGGGTGTCGTTGTTGCGGAACTCGCTAAGAAGGAAGTGTACGTGACGCTCTTGCAAACCTTTGGGGTGTTTGGATATTGCAGATTCGTTGTTGAGTTTCTCTTGCTGTGTCTTTTTTTGTAGAATGGAGAGTGAGCTGCAGCAAGCAAAAGAGCAACTCAAGCTAGCTAGCCACTTGTCAAAGGAGCTGGCAAATGCTCAACGCGAGATCCGAGAGCTTCGACGAGAAAATGATATCCAGCATATCTTGACGAGGAAGAATTTAGCACCATCAAAGTTTGTGTCGGAGTCGAGGATACCTTTGCGAGGAAGTCATGGAATAGTACGAGCCACGTCGGGATCAGAGGAACTGTCGGCTGCAAAAAGACAAGGAGAAAACATTTTTCGCCGTTGCCGGATAAAGTAATGCTCAAGCTATTTTCATTTTTGGATGAGGAAGGCATGGTGGCAATAAGTGTCATTGATCGAACGCTAGTACAACGTGTAAATTTCGTATTTGGCATAACGACACCCTCTAGTGTAGCGAATAGTGCTCCTCGTGCACCTGTTCGACAACCATCGCCCCTACGGCGAAAGCTGTCAAAGACACGCAGTTTTATTGGGTCAACTGAGAAGGATAAAGTAATGTGCCATGTACTGATTGAGGTGCTCTAATATTTACTCACATGGTCCTGTAATATTGATTATGTATAGCTTTCAAAGGTGGATGCAATCGTGAAATCCTTGAAACCGGATCAAGTTAAGCTCTTTCACGACATGTCGACCAGAGTGAAGACATTAGAGGTAAGCTGTGATGTCAAGATAGATGCGCACGTTGGTTGAGACAAATGACTTACTGGTTGTATAGGTTCATCTTACTCAGGTGCAGACCGAAAAGGAAGACATAGCTGCACGATTGTATAGCACTGAGAGTGTGCGTGATTTCTTAATGGAGAAGCTAAAGGGTTTGGAAGATAAGCTAGCAGACCTCATGGCAATTACGGCAAAGAAAGATGAACAGACTGCTCTTGATCGTGAGATTATCGGCTTTCTCGATGCAAAAACGCAGGAGTACGAAACCACGTTAAAGGAATATGCGCAGCAAAACAATGCACTCCGAATGAATATCGCCCAATTTCAAGAGGAACAGGGTTCCAAGACAACGGTGCGTTGTTGGTTTTATTATGTACATGACGCTATTGTTGTATCGATTGGATTTTACAAAGTAATGATGTTTACGTGATACTGCACGTATTGTTGTATAATAGATTATTCAAGATATGGTTGAACTGTTGACGGAAGAGAAACAAGAACTTGAAGCTCAAGTCCGGTCGCAACGCAAGGTTTTAGTGCGTGAAGTAAAAGTATTGCGAGCTCAGAACCAGCAACTTACTGCTGAGAGAGACCAATATTTTACGCAACTTCAGCAACTGAAACACGCATTGCAACATTTGGACGAACTTCACTAAACCAGACCATGCCAGTACCGGTATCTGCAAAAGTACTACTGTTTGAATGAAATGATAGAATCCAAACTAATATCAAGAAATATCGGTCAATGCACAGGTTTCGATTCTGAAGTAGCGCCAAAGTATAATCTTCTTTTCTTTGTACTACTTTTCCACTACTTTATTCAATCGAATCAAGCCATTTCAAAAATGCACGACACTGTCAAGATATTACAAGAAGAAGGGAATGCTCATTATGCCTGCGGTCGTTATGACGCTGCTCGTGCAAGCTACACGACAGCAATCGATATTTTAAATGCAGTATATACGACCAAAGTCAATGATCTTCCTATCCGTGACAGTATTGTCCCATGGGAGGCTCTAACATTGTCACAATTGCTTTCAAACCGAGCACAGACAGCCATCCAAGAACGCAATTTTAAAGCAGCTTTAAATGGTCTCAAGTAGTTTCTATATACTATAAACAAGTCAATTAGTACGTCACTTCTCATCATTATTCTTATTATCGTGTATCTTATCCTCGTTTAGATGCAACACAAGCATTACAATACAATACAAAGAATGAAAAAGCGCTACGACGCAAACTTGTGGCACTAGAGAACTTGGAAAAGTTTGAAGTAGCGTTAGCATTGATTGACAAGATACTGAATAATCAACGACAGTATCGAGAAGAAGAAGGAGATAAAGATGAGTCATATCACAGTATTGTGCCATATTGGGTGGCTGCACGACGTCGTGTGCGCAATAATTTGTCAAAGGATCGTGAAGTGGCGGCTAGTGAAGTAAAACAGATGGGGAACATGGTGCATGATAACCAACAGCTACGAATTAATTTTGGGTTGTTGTTGTGTTTTGAATTTGGGGCCTTTTTCCAAGGCGTATAAGAGAGAGAGAGGTAGACGATCGTGTGCTAATATTCTTCTTCTTGTGTGTCTGTGTGTGACGTTGTTTATTGTAGATGTTTATTGCCATCACAAGTACCATTGAAGACGTCTTTTAACGTGAATGTCAATATTGGGAACGAGTTTGGACTTTTTCGACGGGATTATGTTGAAAAAGGCAAACACATTTATCTGCACTGCTCGTTGCGTAACAACAGTAACGGTAGATACAAGTTGGTATTTCAAGAACCACTGGATCTATCAGGTGTTGATGATCAAGGCAGTGTGGATGCAACCGGTAGAATAATGCTGAATAACCGGGGCAAGGCCAGCTTTCAAGTTGCTATTGTAACTACCGATATAGTGAAAGGCGACGTATTGTCGAATCAACTGGCGCTTGAGATCCGCGCGCACGTGACATCGATAGCAAAGTGGAACCTCTTTCCTGTCGTGTCTTTGCCGTTCACTGTGGTAAATGCCTGTGGTGATTTAAAGGAAGGGGATTCGGGTGGTCTTGGAGTGCACTGCTGTCGACCTGTGTCAATGGCAGGACTGCAACATGATATTCTTCTTGCAGAGTCACCAGGAAATCTTGGTACGAAAGAAGATGCATTTTTGGATACGTTTGTACTGCAATGTTAGAGATCGCAACCATTTAATGACGTCACACTACAATTTATTATTTCAAACTCAGGCATTGGAGGCAAGCTTTGGGACTCATGCCTTGTGTTGACGCGCTACCTGGCTGCGCGGCGGGAACTACTGGTCGGGAAGGAAGTAGTGGAGCTTGGCAGCGGTTTGGGCCTCGTTGGTATATTTTGTTCCAAGCTTGGCGCTCGGGTCACCCTCACAGACGTTGAGGTAGCGTTGGCTTGCTGTAACTTGCAGCTCCCGTGCTGATTGACGTACTCTCTTTTTTGTTCTGTATCGATGATGTTATTTCACGTATAGGAGGTTGTTCCTTTACTGGACTACAACATACGTTTAAACTATACGGAAAGAGGTGAAGCAAACACTTCTACACAAAGCTTTGCTAAAGACGATGCTGTCGTACAGGTGTTTCCTGTTGCAAGAGCACACCTTTGGGGAAAACCTCCGCGCGATTTGCCAACGCAACCGGACATGCTCGTGCTCTCCGATGTCGTGTATGATCCTGAAGGATACGCGCCCCTTGTGGCGTCGATGAGCGCACTAGCAATTTCTCCTGACACCCTTGTGCTGATGGCTCACCGCTCGCGCAATCCCATAGAGCACCAGTTTTTTGAGCTTCTGTCGCAGAGCTTCACGTGCAAGGAGATTGATTGGCTTTCCACCGAGAAGTCCACTTCTGAAGCGGCTCCAGCTGGCGGCTTGTCAAGTGGAGAAAATGCGCTTCAGGATGTGAAAATTTTTGAAATTCGACGGCTGGTAGGCTGTGATCGTGCTTGAGCAATTTCTACTGACTGTCGCTAGCGCTCCCAGTAATTTGCCAAAGCTACAGTGAAAAGCCTGGTAGATGAATTGCTTCGAGGTCGGATATGTGGTAGGTGAAGGTGGGAAACAATAAAAGGGCAACGCTCAAGTTCATAAAACTTTGTTGAGGACACGCTAGGAGACGAAGACAAGACAGAAACGATTGCTTAACGTCGTTCATTAGGTGCATAGAAGCAAAGGAGGTGACCGGTATGTCAGTGCATAAAACAGGAATCGACATGAATACGACGTTTGCTTCCATACGTGGATATAAACACAGATATCACTGTGAATTGATTGAGAGATCATTTCTTGCGGTTGATACTTCATGATGGTAGTATCATTTGTTGCTGATGGGTGTCACAAGCTACAAACCAACTTACATACGACTAGCCAAACACAGTTGCGTCACGTCTCCGATGCTCGCACGCATGAGACAAGAAAGACGTTGACCCGATCAAGTTTTGGACGATTCCAATGCGTCTGTGGTGAATGTTTGCAAAGAGGTAATCCAAGACGTGTTCCTGCTGGAAGTCAAGAACCGTATGAACCAAATGACATTCAAGAAAAAGATAATGAAGCTGCTGTGAAACGATATTGCTGAAGCCTAACGATGGTGAACTCTTGCGCTTATTGATGTACGTAGGACATTAGTGAGCTCTTGCATCTGGACTGTGACGCTTCGATCTCTTCATTTATTTTCCAGCTGCAAAAAAGCACCAGATGGAGTGAAAACTCAGTAGAGAGAGAGCAAGCGTCAGCTGGAGCATTCAGATGCTTGTGATACGTACGAAGTAGCTCTGCAATATTTTAATTTGGAGTCAAGCGTTTTCACGAACCGTCATTGCTGAGACCTTGTACGTCCTTTCAATCAATTTGCTACTGTAGCACCACCTACGACCGTCCATGTATGCTTATCACTGAAAGGCACTACTTGCCCCGTTGCGAAGAGCGTTTGGCAGATTACATGTTACAATCAGTGGGGTGACTATGTGATGGGAGAAGTCACATCTCAGGATGTCCAAGAGAAACATTTGAACACCCTAGCTGCAGCTGATCTCTAAGGGGTTTCTAGGGTGCAAAGTGCGTGTCAAACGATGGATAGCTGCGTAATGTGCTTTATCGATCGTCAAAGACAAGGTAGCTCAGAAGTTGCACCAAACCGGCATTTCAGAGCTTACATATCTACCACGCTACAGCGTGCACCACCTTGTCTCAGCGATACGATTACGTGCACAGCGTACTAAACGCATAAATAAAATTTGAAGTGTTAGTGCATTAGCAGCAGGAGCAGCCGTTCGACGTGTACACGGCAGAGAGCATTGCGTTGACGACAAAGCGGCTTGCAAACGCGTTTGAAACCGTTTTAAAGAGGGAGCGTATGGGCTCAACTCTTGATTCTGCTAGCTATGATGCTCATTACCCCAAACAGCGTTTGTCGACGCTTTCTTGCGTGATTCAGCAAGACGTAGCAGCTGTCATAGGGCAGCATTGTACGCAAGACAAGCGAATATGTAATCTACATGTGTCATGAAAACATTACGTCACATGTGAAATAGTGCAACAATGAAAGCGTAGGTTCTCTACAAATGATTCGAAGCTGCGTGTGCTATCGTCATTTTTACATGCGGTGTGGCAATTCCTTCCATGCCTATGTCCGGTCCTTCGGGTAGTCTAGTCTAGTCTAGTCTAGTCTAGCCCGGAACATGTTTCATCGGTAAATTTGTTGCAGCTTTATCGGCAGACAACACTCGCGTGTGATATAGCTTGATAGCTATGCTAGACGCCACCAATTCTACGAACCATGGTAACATTTAGCAAGGGCCTGATATCCTCACGCTCATTACCAGCTCATTTCATTGCGCGAGCGTGTCGGCTTGTCATCGAACGTTGTATGTACGAGGCGCTATCTGCCATCGCCGTCTTCATCCAATTCAACCGTCAAATAGACTGACCCATTCAATTGCGATTGATAAAGTTATGGTGTGCACCCATATCCCACGAAAGTAGCTAGCTGTGTGATCGACCAAAGACAATGTTTTCGACCATACCTCATCAACGGCGTCTTTTGCCATGACAGAACCTCCTTCTCTTCTTTATAAATGGATGTGGAGTCTACTCCTTCAGTACGATCAGATTTGTGTGAAAGGTGGCATGTTGCAATCCTCGGCTCAATGGTGTCAAAGGATGTCGTTTAGTCAAGCACCGCGTCAATATTTCTGGTTTTGATACCGAAGGTGTGAAGCATGATATCTGTGCCTTGCAACCGTCAAGCAGATGCTTGTGTACGTTATTACCGCTCGACCTTTTTACCCTCACGCGGACCATTACAACGTGGTAGCGTTTGATGCGTTCGTTGCTACGAGATCAGATGGTTACGCACCATCTTCTTTACTAGCAACAGACCAATTCTAATCGGCTTTGAGCACTCAAATTAACAACCATCATGCTCGCAATTTTTGCTTTGACCTTGTTATTGTCCGTCGTAACACGTCCGTCCGGTGTAATTGGATCAATAGTGTCACGCATTACGAATGCTGGATTTTGGATGACCCTGACCCCCTCAAAGCTCGTCTTCTTTGATACCATTCTCGACAGGAAGTTAGGCCCCTGTGCGGTGAAAGCAGCAAAGCTTATCCATCCCACTTGCGTTGAAGTCGTCGGCGCGTTGTCCAACGCAACAAGCATTACGGGTCGGAGCAAACCTCATAGACAGTGCAGCATGTACAGCTTTGCCCTGTGACGCCAGCCGGAGCACTCAAGTCAGTCACGCATGTGAACCATCCGGTTTGATGCTATCACTGATAGTATCACGGCTGTCTACAACAACGTTTGTGTCACCGGTGCAACCAGACAAAGGAGATGATTTTCAAAACAGAGGAGATAGGAAGTCTCGCACCGAGCTGCTCATTCTTAAATTTGACTACTGGTAAGCCAACGTTCTCAGTCTTAACATCTCTGCTAAAGACGGCCAGTATCAGCCACTTTACTAGTTGAACACTCCGACGATTACCAGACCATTTTAATCAGCAGTTGTCGGTAGGAACCAGATCATCAACTCTCAAACTTTGTAGTACGACAGACGGAAGCCAGCGAGTCAGTTGGAACACTGTACAGCTCAAACCAGCTTTTACTAAACGAATCGCGAGATACACCATAGTTTATATGTCCTTTGGAATGACTGAGCGGCATCATGTGCGTGCCAGTGACTCCAAGATCGACGCCAAGGCTGAGGAGAAAAAGACCGTGCAGCATGGCACTGAGGAGTCTACGCCAAGCAACGATGACTACAACCTTTCATCTTCGCCTATCATTGAGCTGGACCGCAAGGACCTGTTGATCGTCAAGGATGGCACCGTACGCGTTGCCGAGTCTCTGGAGCGCGAGCAGCTGGATGCTAACGGAGAAGTTGTCAAGGCATCGGGTACTTGGACTAAGGCTGAACATGATCGCTTCATGCGCGCAATGGAGACTTTCCCTAAGGGTCCATGGAAGGCCGTCGCCGAGATGGTGGCTACTCGGACAGTGCGTCAAACTCAGACACACGCGCAAAAGTACCGGGAGAAGCTAGCTCGCCGCATGCGCGGTCTCCGTAATCGAAACGGTACTCTACAGACCGCACCTATGGCAGGAATGACAGGCTACTCCCGGCGCGTTATTTCTCCCTACGCAAATATGCATGGACCTGTTTATCTAGATGCATCTCACGGTGCTAAGACAGGCTATACTTCTTCATCGATGTCACTTGCACGAACTACTTCACTTCCAGCCATGCCTCTGCACAGTCTACCCGTTCATCACAACCACACGCCGTACGTTGTTTCCACGGCGGTACCAGTATCAATTGATCTCATGGATTTTGAATTCAGTCAGCCAAGTACGTCAACAAGTATGAGTGCTCTCAATGAAGCCGCTTCCTATCTGTCATCTTGGAACGTGACTGACGTGACTGACGTGGCCGAAACGAAGCAGATCGTTCCAGACTTTGACGAGTCCATGGATTTCCTCATGAATGTGTATTCGACTAACCCGAGTCAGATCAATATGGTGGTACCATTGCAATCCACTGAAATGACCGTGACACCAACCGCTTGTATCCCACGGACTCCACATACACCAATGTCATCCATAGCGTTAAAACGACATCCAGGATACGGATCGCTTCAACAACAGAAAAACCATGACAAGGAGCATTTTACTACCGTAGACAACCACAACAACAACCACAACTATCAAGGTGAAGAAGACGTGAACAGGTTGTAAAATACAAATTTGAACCACCTTTTCTTATTTATTTGTATATCTATAGTTCTAGATCATCGCTATCGAACTGCTGCAATTCTTGCATACTATTGATATTGATCCTAACCATGCCTACTGAGCTACAGAATGTCCATGTTATACCTTGTCAACAACTACCGAAATTATGTATTGACGATTCTGTCCTTTTTGCAAGACAGTCCCAGTTTGATTGTTCATGTTAATGTTGCTAATGAGAAGTGCAACAACATTGTATATTACGTTGCAATAACACACCACAAGTTTAACTGATAGCAACGTAAGCCAAGCTCATGCTTGTGACAAAAAAGCAATAAAAGACTTTTTAAGAAAAGCAAAAACATCATCACTAATGGACCGAGACACCACTAGCTAGTACGTCCTATTGTAAAGGGAAAACGCACGTCCGTCCATCTTCATCGTCAACGTCTCTGTTTTCTGTATCGCTTCCATCTCTCTTGGCCTACAATCGTAGTGCAGAATGTGCCTGTAGTTTTTTTTCCTCCTGTAACGTCCATTTCTTGTTCTGATGGCCTACAAGTTTTCAAATTGGTTCATGCACTTTTTTCCAAAACTGCTTACAGCTGCTGCGAGTCCTTGATCGTCTGTTTGAATGAGAACGGATGGAACTTGTAGCCGTCAGCTTTGTAAAATTTGTTCTGGAATTCCACCCAATGCAGACGCAGTGCGTGCAAAAAGCATTCGAGCACGTCCATGGCAAGGATAACGCCGAACGTTGTTGCTGCAAATACAGCGAAACCGATGAAAATCGCAATGAACGAGTCGCTATTGATGGTAGACAACATCGTCTTTTCCCAAAATACAGTAGCCAGTTCAGAGTGAGCCAGACTTAGAGCCCATAGACGCAGGTACGATGCCGTATTCGAAACCATACCCAGTACAAACTCGATGGTCTCAATGCCTTGGTGGATGACAACTTCGCCAAACTCAAACTCCTCGCCATGACTACCGTGACCACCGCTAGTGTTGCTATGACTGTGCGACACCAAGTGCTCCTCAGCTTCGTCATCAAAGTCCGTGTGGTGGCTCACAATTGGTGCAGTGCGGTCGTTCTGGAACTTCATGTACATGGGCTTGATGAACAACATTGCCGGCACAGACAACAAGGCCATCGTGAGCAGCATCTGCTGCGTTTCAAGCTGACCCTCGTAAAGTGGATCCACTACGTTGCCAGGGGCAAGCGCGATGTTAATAAGCGTGTTCACAAGCGAAGGCGGACGGCAGCCAGTGTGCTTACCGGCAAAGTTATATGGACACACCTCGTGCTTCATGCGTTCAGTCCAGTCAATACTCCACTTCATCACTATAAGCACGATCATGTAGCAAAAGAGCGAGACGGCAAACACGATCTGCGGAATAAACTCGAAGAAAAAAGTCGAGTAATCACGGAAGTACAGGTTGTTCCAGCCCTTAAGGAGAATACCGAACGTCATCTGAACTATTCCAAATATCACAGAGATCTTCATCTTAAACGAGTTGAAGAAAAGCAGCTCATTCGAAGACGTCTTCCAAATCGGATCCAAACCAACGGCGTACACATTGTCGCCACGAGAGACGTCCGTAGCGTTTACGTATGTCATATCGCCGTCAATCATGTACTCAGCCACACACTTGACATCGCGATCGTGAGACTCAAGGCAGTTTGGGTATGCGAACTTAGAGCCGAACAGATTTAGCGGTAGCGAGAAGAAATCGTTGTAGATGATACCAGCATAAATGGCAAACGCACCCATCATGAACAACATGTATCGTCCACTGTAAATTGATGCCGTCATTTCACCCATGCTTCCCGGCTGCTCGAGACGGCGTTCCGTCAGGATCAAATACAGTCCAAATAGCAGCACACATAAGCCGTGACCAATATCACCGTACATTACGCCGAACAGGAACGGGAATGTTACAGCAGTAAAAACAGACGGGTTTACCTCGCGGTAACGAGGACAGCCGTATGTCTCCACAAAGTTCTGGAAAGCATCAGTAAATTTGTTTGTCTCAAAATAAGTTGGTGGTACTGGCCAAGGCTTGGACACAGTGTCCACGAGCGACGGCATCGACTTGTCATCAACTGCTGTATGGGCACGCGTAACAGCACGACGAACACTCGCGAGGGCCTCCTTAATGACCCAGCCCTCGGCGCGGAGCATGCCACTCACGTCAGCACGGAACATGTTAAGCGCATGATACGTCGCTTTCTCTTGTAGCACAGACCACTTCCACAACTCGAGCGTCTCAGCCAGGTCACGACACAGCAGCACACAGCTCTCGCGGTTGCGACGTAGAATGTGACTGCTCTGATTCAGTTCTCCAGCATTGCTCTGAATCAAGTGTGCAATCGCAGCACGATCATCCATTGATGGGAGCGAGTATAACCTTGCATGAAAAGCATCACAGATCTTACGTAGCTTATTCTCAATATAAGTCGACTGAAAGAAAATAACAAAGGCATGCTTTGTAACGGGTTGACCATTACTAGGATCAACCAATGACTCCTGAATCGGTGAGAACCGTGTAAAACAATTACCACGCGTCATACGAAAGACCATTCTCTCAAATTTCAGTCGTTCATCAGCCGGTACAACACCTGTCACATTACGAAAACGCAATGACGACGTATCCTCTCCTTCCGTCGTTCCAGATGAAGAATCCACAAAACTATACCCTCCTGTCCGTGACGAGATTCTTGATCCATGACCCGTTTGTACTTCAGGAACTACATTAAAAACATCAAATCACAACCACAACCACCACAACAACATCACAATCAGCACCAACAAAAACAAACCCACATCAACAGCAGCTACAGGCCAACAACAATCGCCACAAGAGAATCTCGTGGTCTTTCTTTTTCTTCTTCTCCTCCTGTCCCAACAAACTCACTCTCAATTTCAAAAAAATCACCCGCACGTGCGAGAATTTCCTGTAATTCTTTCCGTTCATTGTATTCCCTCGTTAATTTCTCATGCATGGAATTCCATTGAATCAATTCCTGCTCCTTCTCTTCCAACACTCGTTCCAATGTATCCAACGCTCGTGTCGCTGTTTCTTGTGACCCATCGCGTCGAGTGGCACTGCCAGCCAAGAATTGATCCATAGAACCCACGGGTTTCACGTGAATACTAAATTTAGCCACTTCCAGCTTCAAAAAAACGTAATTTACGCTCCATTTCATCGCATCGTTTGACGTAATTGACGTAACGACGTTGAAATGGCGTTAATTCCGGGTTCAAGTCGGTAAATTCGACCACCCCCAAGTCACCTAGTTTTTGTATACAATCATGCGCTGCATCTTCATTCACAATGAGTGAAATATACTCCATTTCAGCAGAACGAAGCCATTTCATTGTGACGTGTGACGCGGGTGTGTTTTAATATTTTGGGTGGTTTCTAGGATACGATATGGCATGAATAGGGTATGAGAGAATACGTTAGAGAAAGGTGCATCGACTACGTGTTGGTAGAATGACGTACAATGGATACTTGAAGCGTCAAATACGCGTGATAGTAGATGAAGCGACTTGAGGACGTGACGCGTTTTTGGGGCTTTTTTTTCGACGAATGGGTCCTTTGCGACTAAGTTCGTTTTTTCGTGTGGTATGTATGAATCAAAAAGATCGCATTGATGATAGAACTGATATTTTTTTTGATTGTTATTAAGTCAAAAAGTAGTAGTAGTACGAGTCGTAGTACTTGTTGTTTGCGAAATGTGTACTATTTTGTAAATAGTAAGCTGCTTAGTAGTATTGCCGAAGCTCGTCATACCCCATGGACAGTAATACCATGACAAGATGATATTCATGTGGTTGCAATACGTTGAGAACGTGTATGAAAAAAGACCCGGCATCACCTAACGATTTGATATTATTATGTGCATGAAATGGAATGCTTCGAGTTTGGTAGCTTGACGATAATAAGGATCTCGGCGTTTGATTGTCCCTTGCTTCATTTAAAGCAATCTCTTGATACTTGAGTTGCAAGCGTGGCAAGTAAGTATTCCAACATCACGAGGCTTCTTTGTCAACTACTGACTCAATTTCATTCATATTCGATGATAATCGTTTATTATTATTCAACAACATGCTCCATAGCCTTTTAGAAAGAAAAAACTAGATGAAACCATCATCCTGGCGGTTATTGCTGAGATAACGTATTGAAAAATACGCAGCGTTAAAAGTATTGGCACAATGGACAAAGCTGTTCAGGACATATCTCTGGAACGGTTGATAGAAATAATAAAGCAATCCTCCGGTCCATGCCGATATTATCATAACGACCAGACAGTACGGTAGATTATAGCCTTTTTCTGCCCTCTTTATTATCATCTACGTGTACCACACTATTTCAAGACAATATCGTTGAAACCCCAATTGAATTATGACAATGACTCAAGTCGTGACCGACTTTCTCCAGTACTTGGAAGACCCAGATGTCGCTGTTGCCGTGGCTGTGATCAAAGCTTTGACTCGCGTGATTCTTCATAGCGAGGCTACTACTATGATGCAGATGGAGGGAGAATTACAAGGTGCAGCACAGCAGTTACGCACCTTCCAAGCTGCGGACGACCAGACATTGACCACACGTTTTCACAATTCCATTGCTACTACCGCCGGTTGCCAATTGTTCTTACGATATGTAACACGTTGTTTTTTGGAATTCGATGACTTTGATCTCTGTCGCTCGCAACTTATTGACCGTGGAAAGTTATTTGCCGAGACGTCACTCTCTAGTCGTCAGCGCATTAGTGATGTCGGTCATAACTTCATTCGCGACGGCATGGTCAGTTGGTGTGAATTTACTTGTTGTGTACCGGTATTTCATCACAGTAGTTTTGAAATTCGAGTCCAAACTCTAAACTGGAAACTTTTTTTTCGGATTTTTGGCACGTACGTAGAAAGTGCTGACGCATGGCAAGTCCCGCGTTGTAATTGCGCTGCTTCGTGAAGCTGCAAAGTCAAAGAACTTTTCTGTGTTTGTAACAGAAGGAAAAAGCACAACATCCGGGTAAGAGGGAGAATATATTTAGTATTGTATTTGGGAACATGTGACCGCTATATTGTCGTGTTTATCTCTTTTTTTTCTCTTTTAATTTCTTGTAGAGTTGGTACAGCAAAAGAACTCGCACAAGCGGGTATTCCTACGACAGTAATTCTAGACTCGGCGGTTGCGTACTATATGGAACAAGTTGATATTGTGATCGTTGGAGCAGAAGGTGTGGTTGAAAACGGCGGAATCGTCAACTCGGTACGATTTTTGTGTTTTGTAGTCTAGATAAAAGGCGAGAATGTTTTGATTTATCAAATGTGTCGAGAGGTTTTCATAGATTGGCACATATTCGACTGCAGTGATTGCACAAGCGCTGAAGAAACAATTTTACGTGGCAGCAGAAAGCTACAAGTTTGCTCGTCTGTATCCCTTGACACAGCGTGACCTCCCGCAGAAACACATGGCTGCAATATCGGGTGGCGAACTCACTGACGTAACGATTCAAAATGTGTCGTACGAGAGCCCGTTTTTCGACTACACTCCGCCTGGATACATTGCGTTGATGTTCACAGATTTAGGTGTTCTCACTCCGTCTGCAGTTTCCGACGAATTGATAAAGCTATATCAGTAATTACTCAAAAAACAGGTAGAAGCTCAACCGAGGTGTTTTGACGCATTGAAAAGCGATAGTTCTGCATTGCTACTGGTTGTTTCACTGCTCACTGTTTTTTCTTCTTCTTCTTCTTCTCCTCCCAATGCTGTAGCAGACACAATCATGGACAGATTTCTGTAGCAAGCAAGGAAACAAAGTGGAGAGACGACATCTTTAGCGGCTTGTTTGCCGTGTACCCACCCACCCACATTTCAGCTGAAGCCTTGATTTTGACTATGCACGAAGAATGGTACACAATCGCCGCTTTACGTCAAAGCAATAATACGACTGATAACTAAGCGACATACAAGGCCTTTCACCCGACGAAGCTCTTAATGATGAAAAAGCGCAGCAAGCGACCATGATAAGTGCAGATCTATAGGATGTTATTGCCAGGGTAGTCAGTCCAGGGTAGTCAGTCCAGGGTAAAGATCATAGCATCATACACTCAGCAAAGTATAAGTATCCTGATCTGATCTTAGATACGTGGGCCATGGATAAATGTGTGTATGGAAAACCGGATAGCGTCGTAAGATCTCTCTAAAATCACGGCTATGATTTCAGCGCGCTGCGACCACGTATGTATAGTCGACATGACATCAGCCTAACAGCAAGCACCGCTGTAAAAGCCACCAAATCTCTTTCACGAGCTGCAGTGCTTAAAGCTTGCAAGACCGTCAAACCAATATCATGCGTAGAGTAGGTAGGGCACTAAGCTATATTAGAACAAGCACTCGCTAGTTTTTTCTCCTTACAACGTCTCACAGGTGGATAATACAAACGATGCAACCTAAAGATTGGAGTTTTCTTCAAGTGAATCACCTTTGTGGCATGTTCAATGGCACATTACAATAGCAGATTTTCGGCATGGAGTGGAGCACTGTTTGCCCAGCACGAAGGCAATCATGCCCGATTCGACAACTTCCTTTTAAAGACCTCACCGGGACAACAATCAATTGCTATGCTTCCGCAGGAGTCTTGACAAAGTAAGGTCACCATAGCAAAGGTACCAAGGTACACACAAAATGCTACAAGCTGATGTGAACTCGCAAGTTTAGTACATTCTGCGCAGGGCATCACTATTTGCGGCACGGAGCGTCAACAAACCATGTAGTATAAGGTCAACTAGTCACCACCAACGCTTTGGCGGCACGTAAATGTTATCACCAGAGCGAGTTCTTGTACGAATGAAAGTGCATATCGTGTCAAGTCTGTTGAATACTAGGATCTCCGTGCTGTAAAGCAAGATACTTGTTTTCTGTATCCTTAGAATACCTTGCATCATGATAGCTCTTCGAGATTCAGTGTAGTGCTTTGGGAAGGGGTATTTCAATCATTGAAATTGCTATAGCGTGTCAAGTAGTAGAGCCCGACAGAAACCAATTCGTCAGGTAGATTCATTTGACGGTAGCCGTGACATTCACTACCGTTCAACATCCTCAGACACATCATATTGTACAAATATGGACGAGCGAGACCACCACGTTTTCCCGCCGTTACTATCTATTCCTTCAGCTTACGGTCACAAATTCATGCTTCTCGATCTGCAACGTATTCTGTTACTTCCATACTAGGAAAAGGAGATTACAAGCAAAAATAAAGCATGACCTTCGAATATTTCGTCCTGCATCCTGGTTACTTGGCGGTTGGACGGTCCTTTTTTCCGCTTGGAGGTGCACGTTGAAATTTAGCAAGAGACTGTGGACACGTCGCATCGTTGAGTGCCGCTTCACTTCAAAATTTACGTCTGAAGACGTCGTGCGTCTTAATAGACGTACGCAGCTGTCCAGTGTAATCACTCGTCTATTGACCAGCATTGCTGTAAACTAGATCCACGACATTTTGTGGTTCAGTATGGAGACCACTCTCACGCATCTCAACTTGGAGCTCAGCAGTGGCATGTGGAAGCAGCCATCATCGCATGCTACTGACTCGCTCACTGATGAAAGCCATTGTGCGGGGCTATGCAGCCATTTTCCAAGAAAAGAGTCACCTACACCCACATCTAGCACTAGCAACACAGAGTGGTTGCCTCGCATAATGGGCATGAGCGATGTGCTTCGATCGCACGTGTCGCCACTGACGGCAAAGAGTTTTACGCGTCTACCATCCATAGGCGTCATGATTAATCGTGACGCGAGTCCAATGAGTCTCATTCCTGTCCAGACACCCGCTATGCATGTTAACAAGCAGCGACAGGACACTAAAATGACCTCGCTGCGTCATCCTGAGCTAAAGCCCAGCAATGTGCTGGCTAACGTCGCTGTCCGTGGGCTGACAGAGCAGCAGATTTGCAAGGTTTGGCCGGCACTAAACCGCTCTACCAGCAGTGACAAGAGCAAACGCACCAGCAACGCCAAGCTCTGTGGTATGGCGAAGTGCAACAAGCGCACCAAGGCTGGTGGCTTTTGCATCGCGCATGGTGGTGGTCTTCGCTGCTCGAAAGCGGGTTGCACCAAGCACGCAGTGAGTCTTGGACTGTGCATCAGTCACGGCGGGGGAAAGCGCTGCACTATGAAAGGGTGCCTCAATGCGTCACGCAAAAATGGCGTGTGCTGGACCCATGGCGGTAAACGTATGTGCAAGATCGAGGGCTGTAACAAGGGCCCCAAGTCTGGCGGTTACTGTTGGAGTCACGGTGGTAAGATGAGGAAATAAGCTACAGGTGGAGCTCTAAGCTATTTATCTGTTGTTTTTAATGGAGACGCGTATTGTATTGTATTGCATATGTACTTGTACACCTATGAAACGTATTGGTTTGATCACAACATGAAAACGCCACCTTATCTAGTTCCAAGCACGTTCAGTGACTGGCTGCCATGAAATGCACTTTCCAACTTACTCTTATAATGTATTAATAGTGATCCGAAGACAAAGCTACATGTCACCTCAAGTGTGCATCAAACTTGAGCGCTTCTTCCGTTTCATTGTTAGTTGATCTCTAATTGTATCATGACTTGCAACCTTTTTTCGCTTTGCTAGGCACGTAGAAGGCAGATCAGTCGACAACAGCTGCTGTGTCTATCCATGTATGCAAACCCATTCCACACTTACGTTCGAGTCTTCTGGACTTGACTGAGGAGAAACTTTCTCAAAGGACATTGTTTGTAGATTAATATTTGCGTGAAACATGCTTTCATCATATAACTTCTTCTGTCGGTTGAAGCTTTTAATCCAATTCTCCTATGTTTCTATCGACTTCAAGCGCCATCTTAACAGTCAAGGATAGGACTCTACAAACTGAGTTTCTATTACGATGTTCTGTAAAATTGCACGACCAATATTGACCCAAGTTTTTCTTCGTATTTTTAAGGGATAGTACGAGTCAGTTAGTTAGTCACGCTTTCGGTTAGCACTCGTATTATCCTTTGAAGCGATTTCAATGATTGAAAATATTCTCCCAAAGCATTTCACTGCATATTGAAAAGCTATCATGATGCAAAATATCCAGAGAATACTGACAAAAATATCTTGCTTCACAGCACAGAGATCCCAATACTCACCACGTATCATCCTTCAAAAGTGATGACCTTTGTGCGGCCTAGTTTCTGCGACTTTGAAGTTCATTTGACGAAGCTGATGCGTCCGCATAACTCGATGATAGTTCAGTATATGGTCACGAATTTATGCTGCGTTGTCGAGCTCGTTGTTGCTCTAGTGATTATGAGTGAGCTGCACGGCAAACGTCTCGGTCCAACTTGCATGGAAGGAAAACGAGGTATGACTTGTAAAGTGAAGACGAAGCTATCACGGAGTGAAAAAAGTCCGGCCCAAAAGTCGCTCGCTTTGTGGCTTGGTAACGACAGAGTGCGCCCAGTACAGTACAATAAATTTGGTGTCTCATCCAGGTATATCGATTGAGGATGCACCAGATACGGACGCAGGACCGGGCTAGCACATTCACATTAATTCTTGAAGCCAGAGACGGTCAATACAGGTTTGAAGACGGAGAGAACAAGGCACCTCTTTCTTTCTTCGCATTTGCGTCAACAGCTCATGCGATAGCTCTATTTAAGCCCATGGCGGATGCAGATCCTGATGCTGAAATCGAAGTGACGTGAGCGAGTTAAGCAATGACCTCGTGGATCTCACATGCCGACGTTTTACTTGAGCGCGCAATACTGAAACAAAACTCCGCCCGAGCAACAAAAAGAGACGAAGAAGATTGACACGTACAGACAAATCAAAAAGACGACATTACCAAATCTTGGCTGGACGCAGCAAAACCATCGGGCGTTGCGGGATAATTTGGCAGTATAGAGACGAGCTGATGATGGAATGAAATCAGCAGTATTGTCGTTGAGTACAAGCGTATTTTTCTATCCACGGATGCGGTAAGCAAATGCTCTTATTGAATGTTGCGAAGCCTGCATTGAGTACTGGGCTTAACGGCAAAGATTTTCTCGTGCTTACGAACGTTACTGTAGATTTGAGTCTTACTTCGTACTTCATACTTCGTACTTCATACTTCGTACTTCGTGTACCGTGGCAAACGCAACTTCCTCACTACGTTGAGACGCGTAAGACTTTGACATGCAGCTAGCATGATGTCGACCTGCCTACAAATCGTGCAACTGTGCCATCTACTGCATTTTACCTATAACGTCTGAAAGGGCAACACTTGCAGCAGCTTTAGTGAATCATTAAGCGACGTGTTCAGCCTCTAAATACAAGACGAATATGAACTAGCCTTATCAGCACTACTGAAGCTAGCGTTTCACCGCCAATTTCTGAACGGCTGTAATACTGCTTGCAAAGTCTCTGATACCTCGCGGAAACGCATTGTAGCCCTACAATCGAAGTACAACTTTGTATGAACTTGCTAGACAAGAAATTTACCGTCACCGCTGATACTTACAATCGGTAGAACGCGAAGGCGCTAGCAATCGGGGCTTGGAGGTGAAAGACATAGAATGTCGGTGTGGTATTCGGCACTTTGAATGTGGCAATCCAGGCAACTATGATGGTTTGTTTCACTGGGAAATATAATTTGCTGCTTGACCAAGAAAACCAAAGGCCAACTGGCTCGACGTTGTAGACGACGGCTTCACGTTGAAAGACACATCACTGTCTGCGTGTACACAAAAGCTCGCGCTGTAAACTACAGATACAGAAACTTGTCAGCATTGCCATGCGCACAACAATTGCAGGAATAACCTGAGCTTTTGTAAGTGCAAATAAGGGTTTTGTATATTATGGTAACTTTGGAAGACGTCCGTGCGTTGCGTGCTGCGAAACCATTGCACGACTTCGAGTGGTTAAAGAGTCCATACGATACTGCAGCGACTGATCTTTTTGAATTTTATAACGTACCCGTGTGTATAAGACCTTCTCAATACGATAAAGCTGTTGTGGCTGCAAATTGATGCGGTTCGTATTGCAGGCGGAAAGTCTTGTGATATAGCTCGTATTCACTGGCATGAGATCTCAAAGTGAACATCGCAACTATCGACAATTACACATTTTAAGCTCGACATCTTCGTAGTTGAGCTATAGCACAAAAGCCTATACGTTGCAAGATCAACAATTTATGACTGTAACACTAAAGAGAAAAAACACGGTGTATTTATTAGGTAGGCGCCACCTTTTTACTGCTAGATCTTAGTCTGGGCATGTATGTCGCATCACAGTTCGGATCTTGAGTGTATCAGCTCGGACTGCTGCTACATTTGACAAGGACCATGTAAACATGTTAGTTATACGAAGACGGATTGCGCCAAATACTCTGAATTCTGTTTACGCTTGCGTGCCTAGAATCACGGAGGGAGAGGTCTTACAACGTCTTCTTTTATGGACCTTTTGAAGCTCTTTACGGTTATTGGAGAACTCTTAGAAGTATCTTGCACTGCACCTCTTGTCACCAATGACATTATCGCTACTAAATTCTCAAGCCTTGATTCCGCTAATTTGTTCACACTAACACTGTCGCCAAACACTAGGTCGTGAAGCTTCTTTAAGGAATTCATGGGCACGGGTTGCTCGTCACCAATAGCGTTCATTCTCTCTTCAGTATTGTCAACTGCACCAGTCGGTATGACGCAAGTGCCGTTCGTCATCGATGGGGACCGAGGCAACAGCACCGGGAGGTGCGCCTAACGCAGAAATCGCGTTGAGGGCCTCATCAATTGCGGTACTGCTGCTTTGGAGAGTGGCCGCAATCAGGACGGCAATGATGCGACCAAGACGCATGCTTGATTACAAGTTTGGACGAAAAGATGACAAGCAGTTTAAAGGTTGGAGTAGATGAAAGAACGAGTGACTGAAAGGAGGAGGTTGGAGGTTTGTAGTTGCTGCACTGTGCTTTCTCCAAAACATGCAGGCGAGGGCAACGCCAGATTCTTCCCATTTGTAGCCTACATCAGCTGCCCTCACGAGGAATATTACGAGAGAATGTGCTGTGTTACCTTCAATAGACCATGTTAGTCAGTCAAGAAATTTTTCAGAAGACCGCACGTATTTCTATGCTCTCATTCCGCTTAAAATGCGCCTTGCTTTGCAGTAAAATACAGAAACGAGGTGCGCTTCTGACTGACGTTTCCCCAAGTATTTTGCGGGAAGAAAAGCAAGCAAAGCTAACCTCTAATGACCGTCCTGGAATACGATGATGAGCAAGCTTGTTCATGCAGTATCGTTCGAGGTGGTCTGTGATCATTCAAGTACTTAATCACCCCACGTAAAAAAAGAGTGTAAGCCTTTATGGACACGCTTTGGTCTACCTCTCGGCGAAAACGACGGCAAAGTTGCATGGCAATGCAGATCTAACGTTCGGAACTGTCTGTTGATATGCCTCGCTGCAAAAACAAAACATATCTATCTGGTGAACAGATCAAACTACATGCGTCATTCAATGGAAGCTCGTCGACACTGACCAGCAATCAGCGTCTGCGAAATGACACAGCATCACGTTTCAGACATGATTTAATGACTGGCAAAAAATGGTCGGACCAGACGCCATGACGTTTTGACGCAATCGTGTCGTAAACGACCATCGAAGCTGCTAGATGCGTTCTCAAGCTGTAAGGAGTATGAGAGGAGAATAAGGGTATATTGATATGCTCTACCGTGCATCTCATCGCTATATATCACCCTCGGTGCTTGTTTAGACGAACTGAATGCTTAAATCCTGCATCAACATTGTTGCTTGATATGCTAAAGTACATAGTTGCAATTGCCATCAATGACATGATATCATGTTTGGTGGTGATGGTGTAGTAAATCCGGATACCTACTGGTCACACTCGAAGGCAAAAATTAGAGATATAAACATTGAAGTAGGTGTAGTAGAGCTGATACCAACGAACTGACCTTAACAATCGTGAAATGGCCGACGCTGCTCCAATTGCATGGAGGCGTGAACCTTCACGCTTCAATATCGTCAAACCCTTCACCTCTGCTGTGCTCTATAATTTCAAAACCATAAGGATAATGTGGGTGCCATGCTTGTGGATCTACTGGTCTACGGTGATCCTGTCGCTGAGAAGTTTGCTGCGTGCGCAGACAAGGCCTAATACGAGCTGTGTCCAGGGGACGAACTGCTCCAGGCTTTCGAGAAGATCAGTCATTGTATCCTGATGTCCGTGCTCCGACGATGTGAAAGGAATTTATCAGTTTTTGTACGGGGTAACCTGTATCTCAACAACCGAGGATGATGAGGAGGAGACGCAGAGTGCGTGCTGCCTTGCACGTCTTTTGCTATTGTTAAGATTTTCGAAAATATTGGCATCTACGACATGTTGAAGCCTAGTGACAACCACTTGAAACGTATCAACATCACAGCAATCAACAGTAGTGACATCGTAGGCTGTTCGCTAGCAGCTATGCTTGCCAATGACGGTGATAACGTGTACCTTGCCAACATTGACTCGCTCAACCTATTCCTTTTGTGGTAAATTCGTTCTCAGCGAATAGACGCAGCAGACAGTGTGCAAAAAGTCTCGTGTTATCCCTATTGGCGTGCCGTGAAGAGCTACAAGCCGCCACTTGAGTGGGTGCGGCGGTCATCAGCGCTGCGTCGATGAAGAATATTGACGAGGCCCAGTTGCTCAAGACTAAAGAAGAGAAGTATGTGCGGCTCATGGGCAATGTCGCCGTTGCCATACTGCAATACAACCCGCTGCGATTTTGTCCAAAGAATAGCGCAATGGCCATCACACCGCCCTTTCATACCTCACAAGAGGATATCACAATGACGGGTCCTGATATCATGGATCGGGTTCCGCTAATGCGCCACGTGCCTCATATATTTTACTTACCACAGGTACACATGTGCTTGGAAAGTCTGTGCCACTTAACGAGTCACTCAGGCTGCCTGTTAAACTTTTTGATTCTTTACAAGCGTTTTCAATGTGCAGCTCACCGCCAATTTCCTCATCGAGTATCACCGGCAGTTCTTTCGATGCTGGCCGGCTGCAGAACCTCGTTGTGTTCGGAACAAATGGCTTAACAAATATACGTTGGAACTTGGGTGCCATCTGCTGAGGTCTCGAGACAGCGCGAGGATGGATACATTGTTGTTTATCATTGCTTCAATCTTGAACAGCCCGCTCTTCTTTGGACACCAGCTTTGTCTTTGTTGTGTCTTGTCCGGTATTGCGATCGCGTAGATTGAGATGTCTGGAATCGAGCGTGACCATATCTCCAAAGTATTACCATAGCTTCAATGTATTGCTGCATTCCCTGTCGTAGTACTCTTGTTGGTTTTCTTTTGCTTCCGTCAAGTTTGGTTCGTGCAAGTTCGACGATAGCTTTTCCTCTTGTCTGCGTAGTTCTGTGTATACTCTGCTTCAGGTAATTGCTTCACCACGTCACTTGTTTGTGCGATAGCACTGCTGACGTGTCATCAGGTGCCAGCTTCAACAAACGAAAGCTGTGTAGACTTGCTCACCAGAGTAGCGTTGCGGAAACTATATAGTAACGAGGTAAGCCGACCAGACGTTACCATGATACGAAATCATGCAATGAGCGTGTTTTCCTTAATGTGATTCTGGCGCTCGTTTTGACGTCTGCCTGCGAGCACCAAGCTCTCACTAACGACAGCACATCACGCATTATGGCCATAAGCGACTTCTAGAATTTTAGCGTAACTTTCAGTCACGATCCCTATGATAGATTTCGGTACACCATGATGACGAACGACGAATCAAAAAAGACTAGCAACGTGTGGCGTATGGTGTTCGTGCGTGCAGCACACCTTAGCGCGCTTCGACCGGTTATTGGCTCCATCATGATGGCGTCAAACCCATTTTTTTTACACTGGCAAGCTAGTCACAAGAAGTCCGTGAAGACAACTTTCTATCGACATTGGCCTTGCCGGAAGAGCACTTGCTTCTGTGCGCGAATAATAGTTCTCGGCGAAGCACTTCAAATGCCGCGCACAGATGTTTCTGATATCCTCGGTCGATTGTGAGAGCAAGCACATGTCGTCGAAGTAGACTACCACGACGTCAATCTGTCAAACTGCACTCGCATGGGTATTAACCACACACCCGGCATTCCCGCCAATGTAATTGGTGCGACACATCTTCTTATGCGTTCAAAATGCAGTGTACTGGCGGCTTGGCTTTCGACGAGCGTCTGATGCTTGCCTTGTGCCAAGTCAAGAAAGGTGAATACACCGCATCCTGCCATTCAATCAAAAAGCTGCTCAACAAGAGGAAATAGACCCTTGGGATCTTAATCTAGCTGTTCGCGCAGCGATGAGCGACAACCCAGTAAATAGGTTGCAAGCTGCTCCGAACCTAGCCACTTTCCACTTGTTGGAGCGTGTTCCGTGGCGTGGTCGTTTTCTAGTATGATTTATATGTTTGACACGACGGCGAGTTCGATACTTCGACCCAGCCTTTCGTTAAATTGTCTGCAACAGACGCCTCAAGTGGTTCTTTCTCTGTCCCGGCAACATGGAACCAGGGAGCGAGCTTGGATCGAGTCTGGTGTCATCTCGACGTCGAACAGCACCGCTCGTACCGGTGGAACTACGTCTGGTAATTGTACCGGTAATGCGTCCCAGTACTCCTCAACACGACCACTGTAGCCGAACTACTGTAGCCACGCTACTTATGCACTATGTGCAGAAACAGACAAGATCAGAGAGCTTATACGTCTTAGGGTGCTTAAGTATCCTAGGCTAGCTTGTAATCTTGTGCCTATCGGTTGTTACAACTGGTCTCAAAGAGACCAGTATCAATGATACGATTTCTCAGTAGGAATAGAATATTTAAGCAGTGATGCTAACTAGAAACTGATTTATATTATGTTTATCTTGTAACACAAAATATAGAAGCAACATATAGCGTCTGGGTACAGGTAGGGAAGTCGACTGAATCTGTCTGCCTCGTGTTGCGCACCCTCGACAACACCCCGCACTACATCCAGCGCAGCCATGACTTCCCGCTTAGCCGCATCCTGTGTGCACCCGGGCACCGGGTATACAGGCGTGGTTTCATAACACGCAAGGTGTTGTCCGGCGCCCAAATACGGATAGTGACGTTATTGTGATCGGCCTCGAAACCGGGTACTGAATGGGCGACGTCACGGATCCAGGCTCCATGACGCGAGCTAGCATACCACCGGTCCAAACGGGATCTAGCTGAACCACCTCCTGGCAGTGGGTAGAAGTAAGTGTACGTCGCAGCATGAATCTTCAAAGCTTCCCTTTCGTCAAACACTCTGTCTATTTTGTCTTCGAGGACATCGCTTGACGTTTCGCGCGCTAGAAGCCGCCGCAGCGCCGGGGTATCGTGACGACTGACAGAAGTCGCGTAGAAACGATCGAGATGAGGAAAAAGCGTCGCGGTTAAAATCACCACCCACCAACAACGGGCCACTAAACTCAGCAACTTGTAACCAAAGCACGTCGTATATCATGTACAGACGAATATCCTTGGCTGAAAGCGTCCCTATGGCTGACTGGTGCTGCCGTGGTCGGGATATCGGCAGCTCATAATGTCTGCCAAGGAGACGTGGAGGCGGTGCGTAGCCGCGCTTCTCGCGTTTCCTCGATGGACGAGATTGGCTACAATGGTGACGGCAGTGTCGCGGATGATGTTCGAGACGCACTCGATGACGCCTTGTGCAACGACGTTGCGGCAAACTTCGCCCTATTCGGACGCTTCGACACCCAGTGGATCGTACACGCACAGGTGGATGATCTGTCGTTCTCAGGGACTGCAGGAGGTAGATCATACAACCTGAACGGGGCCAGTTTGCGAGGGCCAAAAAGTGCCTTGGTGACGCGTTGTCTTGGCAATCGGTTCAGCGCGCAGATATCCGTTTTTTTGCCTGCAATCGACATGGCACCCCAGTAATCGCCAAGCGCCGGCACTTCGTGTCCTTTGTCTCGTCTTCATGTACAACTTTCCTGCGCTATTGTATCACGCTCTCGACCAAGGGGCTTTAATAGCTTACTCGGCGAAGGTACATCAACATCATGAATGGATCCTCAACCTCTGTGATTCACATCTTTCGCACTTCGACATGGGCATGGCCGACAGCATCGAAGAAGTTCATTCGATGCTGGCGTGCGACCGCGCTACTTTCCTAAGTAATAGGGTAGCTGTCCGTTCTGGCGCTTATTCGGCGTTTCACACTTTCTTAGCGCAGCTCTTGGCAGGCTCTACACTCTGGTGGCTATAGATATGAGTATGGGACGCGAAATAAGCTTAAAAAGCTGATTTCGCGTCTCCTCCGTCACTCAGAAAGACAAGAACGCGATAAGAGACATCAAAAATGGACTTTTGAGCATTTCCGCAGGTGTGGATTTGGTCGACTGGATAGACCTCTGGTCATACGACCCTGTAATATTGTATAACAGACCATCGGTCAGTTGCATAACGATGTAATCTCGCACGATTACGTGGTGACAGCTTTACCTTAGGATTTTAATAGCACGCTACCTAGCGCCTGCAGAATGGCAATGCATGCCTCATCATGTAAATACGACACACGGATACGATCCGTTACTGACGAACTCACATCAGTGAGATGAGCAAGCTCATAGTCAAGTCTACGCAATAACGCGTCAGCCAATACATTCTGTTTTCCCGGCTTATACTTCACCTCGAAGTTATACTCCGCGAAAAAGAAAGCCAACGAGCCATTCTCTGCGAGAGATGAGGCGACTGTGTCGCTGTGCGTAATGACGCATGATCAGTATAGATCACAAAAACGGCTTTGAGTCTAACAGGTGTACCCTGAACTTAACAAGGGTATACTTCATCGCAAGTAGCTCCTTTTCATGAACTGGATAGTTCTTCTCTGAAGCTTTCAGCTGGAGAGACTAAAACGCAATGACACGTTCTCGACCCTCAGAGTCGACTTGCAAAAGTGCACTGCCAATGACAAAGTCCAAAGCGTCACATACGACGCTAAACGGGCGAGCAGGATCAGGCAAAGCCACAATTGGCGCCTGCCTCTCTTTAATGGCTTCAAAAGCTTTGTGGTGCTCGGTGTTCCAACACCATTCCACATCCTTTGTAAGGAGATTCGACAATGGCATAGCCACTTCCTCATAATTGTGGCTATACTTACGCAAGTAATTTGCCAATCCCAACCTCTTTCGGAGGTCCTTCTGATTCCTCAGAACCGACCAATTTAATATGGCTTTGACGTTGACAGGGTCTGCTTGAATACCTCGCTTCCCAATGAAGCATCCCAAAAAAGGGAATCTCTTCCGCACCGAAGATGCATTTGTCAATATTGGCATATAGCTTATGCATCCTCATGCAACCAGTGTAATGCTCCACATCAGTCTTTCCATTTTTGGCTCGACTATGGATGAATATATCGTCAAAGTATGTCTGTGCATACGCCCTATGGGGCCGACAGAACTTCACTTATACGTTGCAGGTGCGTTATACAAGCCTTGGGGCATCACTTTTTACTCCCAGAGCATACCGCTCGGAGTGCTGAACTGTCAGCGGGATATCCCTAGCTCGCATGAGCAGTTGGTAATATCCATCGACGAAGTCGAGTGCACTGTACATCGTACATCCCACCATATTGTTCTGAAGAACATCTTTGCGAGGAATAGGTGATTTAGCCGGGATAGTGGCTGCTTTCAGCTTATTGTAAGCATGCACTATTTGCCACTTCCATTGGATTTCTTACACAAAACGTGAGCGTAGAATAAGGAGACTTACTCTCACACACCCTGCCAGTCGTGTGCTTTGCACGAACGGAAATCGTCAATGGCGTCACATCGTTCTCGTGGCAGCTGCCGCTGTCGCGTCACACAAAATTTGGTTCCTGGAACCAGGTCAATCTCATGACGTACACCTCTATCCGGAGGTAACCTCGTAGGAGGTTCTTTGGATACAACATCTCCATATTCCTTCAACAAAGGAAAGTAAGGATCCGAGGGTTCCTTCAGGATCTGTGATTCACTGCGTACATTCAACGTCGTCTTGGTATCCTCAAGAACTGCTATATCCAAAAGCGATGAGGAGTTCAGCTCCTCCTCAGGTCGTATAACGACCACTTCGGCGATGTCGCCTGCCTGTAAGGCAATGCCATACACGGCAAAGGACAACTCGTCCAGCTCTAACAGAGCACTTACTGCGGGTATAGCTGAAAGAGCCATCGGCTCTTCAACATCCCCAGTCAAACCGTTGACGAGTGTATATAGCTGTTCGCTATCACCTTCACTCACGATGTTATCATCGGTACTCATGATGCTCTCAGCATCCGACGCATTAGCGTCCACATATACACACCTAAAGGTCACAGACCACTTCGTTTACTGACTGTATTCAACCCTCTTGGGTCAATGCCTCGTCATGAGATGCTTGCACCTCGTTTTACTCAAAGCCAAACGTCATTTTGACTTCACCCGACCCTCTTTGGCCAATTTCTCGTCGCTAGGTGCTGGCACCTTGTTGTCCTCAAAGACAACATCCATTGATGTTTTCACCCGACCCTCTTGGGCCAGTATCTCGACACTAGGTGCTTGCGCCTCCTTGTCCTTAAAGACCTCATCCACTGATGATTTCACCCGACCCTTCAGGGTCAGTATCTTGTCACCGATGTCACTCGGACTCGTGTCCTGACATCTTGTCTTGCAGCTACCAACACCACCCACGGTGTCTAATGATGTAAAATCATTCTCATGCCGTATGTCACATGTTCCATTTAGTGGGTTCTCAACCACACTATCGACAGTCCTTGGCCTCGCCCAGGACTACTGTCGTCGCCACTTACAGTGTCTACGAAGTCGTATATTCTGACCTTCAGCATATTGACCGACTCGGTCCAATTATCGTTCCAAAAGCGCATTTGCTTTCTAGCAGAGGTGGGTTCATGACTCTTTAGAGCCCCACCAGGTGCATTGCGCGTTGTACTTAAACTCTTCCACCTCCAATAAATCCTTGGCTCATGGCGTTCTAGCCATGTCATGCTTAGGATGAGGTCATACCTTGCATCCAGGTCTAAGCACAAACATCTTTACATGCTGCTAGAGTCCAAAAACTTTACATTTAATTCCATAGGACTATGGGTACCATCACACGCGTACCCATCGCTAAGCGAACTGCGACTGTGTCACTCTCACGCGCTACAAGTGCTTCAGCATACTACTGACTACCTTCCTCGGTGGCACGGCGAACATTATTGCCCGATGACCCCGAATCGATCAAAATGTTCCATGGCTTATCAAAGCCCTTAATCGTCCCTTTGACGACTAGCAAGCCTGGCTTGCAGTCTCGTTCCGTTTGTGAGGGTTCGGGTCTCTTTAAGGCTGGGCCCTGTCTACTTCTAATTCCTAAAAGTTTAACAGACTCAGTTCTTCCGCGGGTCGCCCTACTGGGCTCCATCTTTTCCCTGTGGCAAACCAGAGGGGTTACCCATGGGGCGCCGGCCCTTCGAGGCCAAATATGCCTTTCTGCACGGCATTTTGCCATCAAATGGCCCGTGCTCTTGGAGATATAATATCTGCGCACAATTTGCTGCTCCGCAGCATGAAGCGCTCCATCAGACTACAGTCCATGGGTACAGACTCATCAGACGAGTAGCTATAAGTGGCAGGCCTAGCGGCGTTTAAGTTGGTCACGGCATTCCATACCACCCCAATAGCTTCCTCAAATGAGGACGGGTTAACCCGGAAGACTTCCGTTCTGGAAACGCCAGCTCGGAGGACCTTCATGAAGACCGTGACGGCCACTGCCTCAGGCATATGATCTATGATCATGGCTGCAATAAAAGCTCTCAACTCTTGCACATATGCCGCAAGCTCATGCTTGCCTTGGCGACACGCCAAAAATCGCAACCGGTTACGGTGTGCTTGGTTTGGCGGTGCATACTGCCGAGTCATCTGAACTTTCAGATCGGCCCATGTTGGAAACCCGTTTTGCTGTAATGCACCGCATGTGAATGCCCACTGTTTGGCTAAGCCACTTAACTTGCCCGTGGCAAAGCTCACACGGTACGGTTCATAGGTGATGTCGGCTATAAACATAGCCGACTCAACCTTTAGGAACCACAGCATAAGCTTATCACCGTCCTTACCGTCGAACTTATCGACCTCCATATGTATGGGTTTTGGTCTGCAGACCATTTCCTGCGCCATAGTCGCCATGGGCGTAGGCGCAGAAGAAGTTATCTGTGCCTTTACATGCTCAGCTACAGCATTTTATACTCCTCAAGCATACAAATACGCTTGTTAACCTCTTCTTTGCCTTTAGCGATGAGGTACTCCACGCCCTTAGGGCCAAGGATAGAGAGAAGCTTCTGCACCCCTTCCTGTTGTGCCTGTGACAGGCCAACCGCTGACAACTCATCGATGTCCATTCCTACACAGAGAAGTAGTCGCAAACTCAAGTGAGGATTTGACTACAAGTGCTACCAGGTGTAGCAGAGCTACTGTAGCTAAGCTACTTACGCAATGAGTGCAGAGAAAGACAAGCTCAAAGAGCTTATACGTCTTAGAGTTCTTAACCCTCCCAAGGCTAGCTTCACAAGCTTATGCCTTTTGGATGAAAACAACCACGTCTCCAAGAGACTAATATCAAAGGTACAATTCCTTACAAAGGAATATAACGCTCTAGCACTTGTGCTATTCTGAGCAGGTTTGTAATTGATTTATATTTATGTTTATCTTCTAGCACTAACTATACAAGCACCTATTCAATGCTTAGTGCTAGTCACTATTTACTGGCTCTGTAGCCTATTAATATGTAAACATACGTGGTCACAATACTTAGTTATAGTGAATATTTGCACGATGCGACCCTTCGTACCTTAGGTACGGTCACATCAACCAACCACTGTACCCAAGGTACAACAGCCACACCCGTGTGTGTATGCGCAATACACA